GTGGCTTGAATACAGGCTCGTCTTTCATCTCACAACATGAAGGGATGTCTGAATCTACTTTCGAGACCTTAGAAAAAGCTCTAGGTCCCTGCCTCATTGTGACGGAATGCCTCACATTCATTTGCCACCTCGAGAGGCAGTTGGAGTTCACTGCTTCAAAATATCAGGATGTCTGACTCCTCTTGAACAATGTTAGGAATCCCAAAATCCCTGTGGCACCAGGAAAGGGTCCTTGGGTGCCCTGCCTCACGTCGGAAGCGTCCCTTTTGCAATGCCGAGCCTTGAAGAGATTCCTGAGGTGTCCCTCGTTACTAGACAGGAGTCCTGACGTCTCTGAATAAACACGTCTTTTGAAGGGCCATCCCCTCCGTAACTCGAGAAGATACACCAGGTCCCCGCCGCAAGTCGAGAAAAACCAGGAGACTTCCCCCTAGATGCGAGATGAGGCCCGATTCCCCTGCAGTGCATGCAGAACAATTCCGTGATCATCATCAAACATGTAAGGAGCTGCGACTAGATTAATGGATCTCGAGACAGTCCCCAGGAACATTGTCACAAGTCTAGACGGACGCTGAGGTCACCCCAGTAAAGCAAAGCAGCTTCATGTGCAGCAAATCAACTCGAGATGAGGCCCGATTCCCCTGCATTGAATCCAGAGCCATCCCCCTGTCCCCATTAATCACGACCAGTGGTTTGACTTCCTTCAGGCAGCTCCAGAGATTCCCTGAGAACACTGTCACAAGTCTAGAAGAACACCAACTTCAGCAAAGGAACTCGAGGAATGCTCCGTGTACCCCTAATCGTCTCGAGATGAGAGCTGATTCCCTGGCTTAGGCTCAAGACGTATGCCAACTTGCCAGAAACACCGAAAGAGAAGGCTTCTCTCAGCGATAAGTATGTGGGAGGGACCCCGAGTTTGCTGCCTCAAGTGGAATATATAGCGAGAAGCCCTAACTTGATAGGAGGACGGATTTCCTTGCAGTGGCTTGAATATAGGCTAGTCTTTCATCTCACAATATGAAGGGATGTCTGAATCCCCTGTCGACACCTTAGAGAAAGATCTATGTCCCTGACTCATTTTGACGGAATGCCTCAAATCTATTTGATACCTCGAGAGACACGCAGAGTTCATTGCTTCAAAAGGTAACGATGCCGAACTAATCTTGAACATTGTTAGGAATCCCAAAATCCCTGAGACTACTGAAAAGGGACCTTGGGTGCCCTGCCTCACATCGAGAAGCATTCCTTTTACACTGCCAAGCCTCAAAGAGATTCCTGAGGTGTCCCTCGTTACTAGACAGGAGTCCTGACATCACTATATAAAGACGTGTTTTGAAGGGCTATCCCCGCCGTAACTCGAGAACATACCCCAGGTCACCGCCGAAAATCGAGAAAAACCATGTGACTTCCCCCTAGAGGCGAGATGAGGCCCGATTCCCCTGCATTGCATGCAGAGCCATTCTGTGATCTCCATCAAACATGTAAGGAGCTTCGATTTGGTTAATGGATCTCAAGACAGTCACCAAGAACACTGTCACAAGTCTAGACGGACCCTGAGGTCACGCCAGCAATGCAAAGCAGCTCCTTGTGCCCCAAATCAACTCGAGATGAGGCCAGATTCCCCTTCATTGACTCCAGAGCCATCCCCCGTTCCACATTAAATACGACCAGTGGCTCGACTTCCTTCACACAATTCCAGATATTCCCCAAGGACACTGTCCCAACTCTAGAAGAACAGGAACTTCAGCACAGCAACTCGAGGAATGTTCCGTGTACCCCTAATCGTCTCGAGATGAGAGCTGATTCCCCGGATTAAACTCAAAACTTATGCCAACTTTCCAGAAACCCCGAAAGAGGAGGCTTCCTCAGCAATAGGTATGTGGGAGGGACCCCGAGTTTGCTGCTTCAATTGGAATATACAGCGAGAATCCCTAACTTGAAAGGAGGCCGGATTTCCTTGCAGTGGCTTGAATACAGGCTCATCGTTCATCTCAAACATGAAGGGATATCTGAATCCCCTGTCGAGACCTTAGCAGATCTCTAGGTCCCTGCCTCATTTGACGGAATGCCTCACATCCATATGGCAGCTCGAGAGGCAGGCGGAGTTCACTGCTTCAAAATGTCACGATGCCTGACTCCTCTTGAACAATGTTAGGAATCTCAAATCCCTGTGGCTCCTGAAAAGGGTCCTTGGGTGCCCTGCCTCACCTCGAGAAGCGTCCCTTTTGCCCTGCCAAGCCTCAAAATATTCCTGAGGTGTCCCTCATTACTAGACAGGAGTCCTGTTTGTCACTGATTAAACACGTGTTTTGAAGGGCCATCCCCGCTTTAACTCGAGAACATACCCCCGGTCACCGCCGAAAATCGAGAAAAACCATGTGACTTCCCCCTAGAGGCGAGATGAGGCCCGATTCCCCTGCATTGCATCAGAGCCATTCCATGATCTCCATCAAACCTGAAGGAGCTTCGACTTAGTTAATGGATCTCAAGACAGTCCCCAAGAACACTGTCACAAGTCTAGACGGACCCTGAGGTCACCCCAGCAATGCAAAGCAGCTCCACGTGCCCCAAATCAACTCCAGATGAGGACTGATTCCCCTGCATTGAGTCCAGAGCCATTCCCCGTTCCCCATTAAACATGACCATTGGCTCGACTTCCTTCAGGCAACTCCAGAGATTCCCCGAGAACACTGTCCCAAGTCTAGAAGAACACCAACTTCAGCACAGCAAGTCGAGGAATGCTCCGTGTACCCCAAATCGTCTGGAGATGAGAGCTGATTCCCTGGCTTAGACTCAACACTTATGCCAACTTTCCAGAAACACCGTAAGAGGAGGCGTCCTCAGCAATAGGTATGTGGGAGGGACCCCGAGTTTGGTGCCTCAATTGGAATATACAGCGAGAAGCCCTAACTTGAAAGGAGGCCGGATTTCCTTGCAGTGGCTTGAATACAGGCTCGTCTTTCATCTCAAACATGAAGGGATATCTGAATTCCCTGTCGAGACCTTAGCAGAGCTCTAGGTCCCTGCCTCATTTGACGGAATGCCTCACATCCATATGGCAGCTCGAGAGGCAGGCGGAGTTCACTGCTTCAAAATGTCACGATGCCTGACTCCTCTTGAACAATGTTAGGAATCTCAAATCCCTGTGGCTCCTGAAAAGGGTCCCTGGGTGCCCTGCCTAATCTCGAGAAGCGTCCCTTTTGCCCTGCCAAGCATCAAAATATTCCTGAGGTGTCCCTCATTACTAGACAGGAGTCCTTTTGTCACTGATTAAACACGTGTTTTGAAGGGCCATCAATGCCCTAACTCGAGAACATACCCCAGGTCCCCACCGCAACTCGAGAAAAACAATGAGACTTCCCCCTAGATGCGAGATTAGGCCGGATTCCCCTGCAATGTATGCAGAGCAATTCCATGATCCCCATCAAACAAGTCAGAAGCTTCGACTTGCTTAATGGATACCGAAACAGTCACCAAGAATACTGTCACAAGTCTAGACGGACCCTGAGGTCACCCCAGCAATGCAAAGCAGCTCCACGTGCCCCAAATCAACTCGAGATCAGGATCTATTGCACTGCATTGACTCCAGAGAAATTCCCCGTTCCTCATTAAACATGACCATTGGCTCGACTTCCTTCAGGCAACTCCAGAGATTCCCCGAGAACACTGTCCCAAGTTTAGAAGAACACCAACTTCAGGACAGCAACTCGAGGAATGCTCCGTGTACCCCAAATCGCCTCTAGATGTGAGCTGATTCCCTGGCTTAGACTCCACACTTATGCCAACTTTCCAGGAACCCCGTAAGAGGAGGCTTCTTCAGCAATAGGTTTGTGGGAGGGACCCCGAGTTTGCTGCCTCAAGTGGAATATACAGCGAGAAGCCATAACTTGAAAGGAGGCCGGATTTCCTTGCAGTGGCTTGAATACAGGCTCGTCTTTCATCTCACAACATGAAGGGATGTCTGAATCTACTTTCGAGACCTTAGAAAAAGCTCTAGGTCCCTGCCTCATTGTGACGGAATGCCTCACATTCATTTGCCACCTCGAGAGGCAGGCGGAGTTCACAGCTTCAAAATATCAGGATGTCTGACTCCTCTTGAACAATGTTACGAATCCCAAAATCCCTGTGGCACCAGGAAAGGGTCCTTGGGTGCCCTGCCTCACGTCGGAAGCGTCCCTTTTGCAATGCCGAGCCTTGAAGAGATTCCTGAGTTGTCCCTCGTTACTAGACAGGAGTCCTGACGTCTCTGAATAAACACGTGTTTTGAAGGGCCATCCCCTCCGTAACTCGAGAAGATACACCAGGTCCCCGCGGCAAGTCGAGAAAAACCAGGAGACTTCCCCCTAGATGCGAGATGAGGCCCGATTCCCCTGCAGTGCATGCATAACAATTCCGTGATCATCATCAAACATGTAAGGAGCTGCGACTAGATTAATGGATCTCGAGACAGTCCCCAAGAACATTGTCAAAAGACTAGACGGACGCTGAGGTCACCCCAGTAAAGCATAGCAGATTCATGTGCAGCAAATCAACTCGAGATGAGCCCCGATTCCCCTGCATTGAATCCAGAGCCATCTCCCTGTCCCCATTAATCACGACCAGTGGTTTGACTTCCTTCAGGCAACTCCAGAGATTCCCTGAGAACACTGTCACAAGTCTAGAAGAACACCAACTTCAGCAAAGCAACTCGAGGAATGCTCCGTGTACCCCTAATCGTCTCGAGATGAGAGCTGATTCCCTGGCTTAGGCTCAAGACGTATGCCAACTTGCCAGAAACACCGAAAGAGAAGGCTTCTCTCAGCGATAAGTATGTGGGAGGGACCCCGAGTTTGCTGCCTCAAGTGGAATATATAGCGAGAAGCCCTAACTTGATAGGAGGACGGATTTCCTTGCAGTGGCTTGAATATAGGCTAGTCTTTCATCTCACAATATGAAGGGATGTCTGAATCCCCTGTCGACACCTTAGAGAAAGATCTATGTCCCTGACTCATTTTGACGGAATGCCTCAAATCCATTTGATACCTCGAGAGACACGCAGAGTTCACTGCTTCAAAAGGTAACGATGCCTGACTAATCTTGAACATTATTAGGAATCCCCAAATCCCTGAGACTACTGAAAAGGGACCTTGGGTGCCCTGCCTCACATCGAGAAGCATTCCTTTTACACTGCCAAGCCTCAAAGAGATTCCTGAGGTGTCCCTCGTTACTAGACAGGAGTCCTGACATCACTATATAAAGACGTGTTTTGAAGGGCCATCCCCGCCGTAACTCGAGAACATACCCCAGGTCACCGCCGAAAATCGAGAAAAACCATGTGACTTCCCCCTAGAGGCGAGATGAGGCCTGATTCCCCTGCATTGCATGCAGAGCCATTCTGTGATCTCCATCAAACATGTAAGGAGCTTCGACTTGGTTAATGGATCTCAAGACAGTCCCCAAGAACACTGTCACAAGTCTAGACGGACCCTGAGGTCACGCCAGCAATGCAAAGCAGCTCCTTGTGCCCCAAATCAACTCGAGATGAGGCCAGATTCCCCTTCATTGACTCCAGAGCCATCCCCCGTTCCACATTAAATACGACCAGTGGCTCGACTTCCTTCACACAATTCCAGATATTCCCCAAGGACACTGTCCCAACTCTAGAAGAACAGGAACTTCAGCACAGCAACTCGAGGAATGTTCCGTGTACCCCTAATCGTCTCGAGATGAGAGCTGATTCCCCGGCTTAGACTCAAAACTTATGCCAACTTTCCAGACACCCCGAAAGAGGAGGCTTCCTCAGCAATATGTATGTGGGAGGGACCCCGAGTTTGCTGCTTCAATTGGAATATACAGCGAGAAGCCCTAACTTGAAAGGAGGCCGGATTTCCTTGCAGTGGCTTGAATACAGGCTCGTCTTTCATCTCAAACATGAAGGGATATCTGAATCCCCTGTCGAGACCTTAGCAGAGCTCTAGGTCCCCGCCTCATTTGACGGAATGCCTCACATCCATATGGCAGCTCGAGAGGCAGGCGGAGTTCACTGCTTCAAAATGTCACGATGCCTGACTCCTCTTGAACAATGTTAGGAATCTCAAATCCCTGTGGCTCCTGAAAAGGGTCCTTGGGTGCCCTGCCTCACCTCGAGAAGCGTCCCTTTTGCCCTGCCAAGCATCAAACTATTCCTGAGGTGTCCCTCATTACTAGACAGGAGTCCTGTTGTCACTGATTAAACACGTGTTTTGAAGGGCCATCCCCGCTGTACCTCGAGAACATACCCCAGGTCGCCGCCGAAAATCGAGAAAAACAATGTGACTTCCCCCTAGAGGCGAGATGAGGCCCGATTCCCCTGCATTGCATCAGAGCCATTCCATGATCTCCATCAAACCTGTAAGGAGCTTCGACTTAGTTAATGGATCTCAAGAGAGTCCCCAAGAACACTGTCACAAGTCTAGACGGACCCTGAGGTCACCCCAGCAATGGAAAGCAGCTCCACGTGCCCCAAATCAACTCCAGATGAGGACTGATTCCCCTGCATTGACTCCAGAGCCATTCCCCGTTCCCCATTAAACATGACCATTGGCTCGACTTCCTTCAGGCAACTCCAGAGATTCCCCGAGAACACTGTCCCAAGTCTAGAAGAACACCAACTTCAGCACAGTAACTCGAGGAATGCTCCGTGTACCCCAAATCGTCTCGAGATGAGAGCTGATTCCCTGGCTTAGACTCAACACTTATGCCAACTTTCCAGAAACACCGTAAGAGGAGGCGTCCTCAGCAATAGGTATGTGGGAGGGACCCCGAGTTTGCTGCCTCAAGTGGAATATACAGCGAGAAGCCCTAACTTGAAAGGAGGCCGGATTTCCTTGCAGTGGCTTGAATACAGGCTCGTCTTTCATCTCACAACATGAAGGGATGTCTGAATCCCCTGTCGAGACCTTAAAGAAAGCTCTAGGTCCCTGCCTCATTGTGACGGAATGCCTCACATTCATTTGGCACCCCGAGAGGCAGGCAGAGTTCACTGCTTCACAATGTCACGATGCCTTACTCCTCTTGAACAATATTAGGAATCCCAAAATCCCTGTGACTCCTGGAGAGGGTCCTTGGGTACCCTGCCTCACCTCGAGAAGCGTCCCTTTTGTAATGCCAAGCCTTGAAGAGATTCCTGAGGTCTCCCTCGTTACTAGACAGGAGTCCTGACGTCACTGAATAAACACGTGTTTTGAAGGGCCATCGCCGCCGTAACTCAAGAACATACACCAGGTCCCCGCTGCAAGTCGAGAAAAACCAGGAGACTTCCACCTAGATGCGAGATGAGGCCCGATTCCCCTGCATTGCATGCAGAACAATTCCGTGACCATCATCAAACATGTAAGGAGCTTTCACTAGATGAATGGATCTCGAGACAGTCCCCAAGAACACTGTCACAAGTCTAGACGGACCCTGAGGTCACCCCAGCAAAGCAAAGCAGCTTCATGTGCAGCAAATCAACTCGAGATGAGGCCCGATTCCCCTGCGTTGCTTCCAGATCCATCCCCCTTTCCCCATTAAACAGGACCCGTGGTTTGTCTTCCTTCAGGCAACTCCAGAGATTGCCTGAGAACAATGTCGCAAGTCTAGAAGAACACCAACTTCAGCACAGCAACTCGAGGAATGCTCCGTGTACCCCTAATCGTCTCGAGATGAGAGCTGATTCCCTGGCTTAGGCCCAAGACGTATGCCAACTTTCCAGAAACACAGAAAGAGGAGGCTTCTTTCAACAATAGGTATGTGGGAGGGACCCCGAGTTTGCTGCCTCAAATGGAATATACAGTGAGAAGCCCTAACTTGAAAGGAGGCCGGATTTCCTTGCAGTGGCGTGAATACAGGCTCCTCTTTCATGTCACAACATGAAGGGATGTCTGAATCCCCTGTCGAGACCTTAGAGAAAGATCTAGATCCCTGCCTCATTTTGACGGAATGCCTCACATCCCTTTGACACATCGAGAGGCACTCGGAGATCACTACTTCAAAGGGTGACGATGCATGACTCCTCTTGAACATTGTTAGGAATCCCGAAATCCCTGTGATTACTGGAAAGGGTCCTTGGGTGCCCTGCCTCACCTCGAGTAGCGTTCGTTTTACCCTGCCAAGACTCAAAGAGATTCCTGACGTGTCCCTCGTTACTGGACAGGAGTCGTGACATCATTATATAAACACGTGTTTTGAAGGGCCATCACCGCCGTAACTCGAGTACATATCCCAGGTCGCCACCGAAAATCGAGAAAAACCATGTGACTTCCCCCTAGAGGTTGATGAGGCCCGATTGCCCTTCATTGCATGCAGAGCGATTCTGTGATCTCCATCAAACATGTAAGGAGCTTCGACTTGGTTAATGGATCTCAAGACAGTCCCCAAGAACACTCTCACAAGTCTAGACGGACCCTGAGGTCACCCCAGCAATGCAAAGCAGCACCATGTGCAACAAATCAACTCGAGATGAGGCCCGATTTCCCTGCATTGCTTCCAGAGCCATCCCCCTTTCCCCATTAAACACGACCAGTGGTTTGACTTCCTTCAGGCAACTCCAGAGATTGCAGAGAACACTGTCGCAAGTCTAGAAGAACACCAACTTCAGCACAGCAACTCGAGGAATGCTCCGTGTACCCCTAATCGTCTCGAGAAGAGAGCTGATTCCCTGGCTTAGGCCCAAGACGTATGCCAACTTTCCAGAAACACCGAAAGAGGAGGCTTCTTTCAACAATAGGTATGTGGGAGGGACCCCGAGTTTGCTGCCTCAAATGGAATATACAGTGAGAAGCCCTAACTTGAAAGGAGGCCGGATTTCCTTGCAGTGGCTTGAATACAGGTTTGTCTTTAATCTCACAACATGAAGGGATGTTTGAATCCCCTGTCGAGAAGTTAGAGAAAGTTCTAGGTCCCTGCCTCATTTTGACGGAATGCCTAACATCCATTTGACACCTCGCGAGGCACGCGAGGTTCACTGATTCAAAAGGTGACGATTCTTGACTCTTCTTGAACATTGATAGGAATCCCAAAATCCCTGTGGCTACTGGAAAGGGTCCTTGGGTGCCATGCCTCACCTCGAGAAGCGTCCCTTTTACCCTGCCAATCCGCAAAATGATTCCTGAGGTGTCCCTCGTTAGTAGACAGGAGTCCTGATGTCACTGATTAAACACATGTTTTGAAGGGCCATCCCCACTGAAACTCGAGAATATAACCCGGGTCGCCGCTGAAAATCGAGAGAAACCATGTGACTTCCCCCTAGAGGCGAGATGAGGCCCGATTCCCATGCATTGCATGCAGAGCCATTCCGAGATCTCCATCAAAAATGTAAGGAGCTTCGCCTTGGTTAATGGATCTCAAGACTGTCTCCTAGAACACTTTCACAAGTCTAGACGGACCCTCAGGTCACACCAGCAACGCAAAGCAGCTCCATGTGCCCCAAATCAACTCGAGATGAGGCCAGATTCCCCTGCATTGACTCCAGAGCCATCCCCCGTTCCACATTAAATACGACCAGTGGCACGACTTCCTTCACGCAATTCCAGAGTTTCCCTAAGGACACTGTCCGAAGTCCAGAAGAACACCAACTTCAGCAGAGCAACTCGAGGAATGCTGCATGTAACCCACATCGTATGGAGATGAGAGCGGATTTCCTGGCTTAGGCCCAAGACGTATGCCAACTTTCCAGAAGCACCTCAAGAGGAGGCTTCCCTCAGCAATTGGTATGTGGCAGGGACCCTGAATTTGCTGCCTCAAGTGGAATATGCAGCGAGAAGCCCTATCTTGAAAGGAGGCTGGATTTCCTTGCAGTGGCTTGAATACAGGTTCGTCTTTCATCTCACAACATGAAGGGATGTCTGAATCCCCTGTCGAGAACTTAGAGAAAGTTCTAGGTCCCTGCCTCATTTTGACGGAATGCCTAACATCCATTTGACACCTCGCGAGGCACGCGGAGTTCACTGATTCAAAAGGTGACGATGCTTGACTCTTCTTGAACATTGATAGGAATCCCAAAATCCCTGTGGCTACTGGAAAGGGTCCTTGGGTGCCATGCCTCACCTCGAGAAGCGTCCCTTTTACCCTGCCAAGCCGCAAAAAATTCCTGAGGTGTCCCTCGTTACTAGACTGGAGTCCTGGCCTCACTGAATCACCCCGTGTTTTGAAGGGCCATTCCTGCCGTAACTCGAGAACATACCCCAGGTCCCCACCGCAACTCGAGAAAAACCGTGAGACTTCCCCCTAGATGCGAGATGAGGCCCGATTCACCTGCAGTGCATGCAGAGCAATTCCATGATCCCCATCAAACAAGTCAGGAGCTTCGACTTGCTTAATCGATCTCGAGACAGTCCCCAAGAATACTGTCACAAGTCTAGACGGACCCTGAGGTCACCCCAGCAATGCAAAGCAGCTCCACGTGCCCCAAGTCAACTCGAGATGAGGATCGATTCATCTGCATTGACTCCAGAGCCATTCCCCATTTCCCATTAAACACGACCATTGGCTCGACTTCCTTCAGGCAACTCCAGAGATGCCCCGAGAACACTGTACCAAGTCTAGAAGAACACCAACCTCAGCACAGCAACTCGAGGAATGCTCCGTGCACCCCATATCGTGTGGAGATGAGAGCTGATTGCCTGGCCTAGGCCCAAGGGGTATGCCAACTTTCCAGAAGCACCTCAAGAGGAGGCTTCTCTCAACAATACGTATGTGGGAGGGACCCCGAGTTTTCTGCCTTAAATGGAATATACAGAGAGAAGCCCTAACTAGAAAGGAGCCCCGATTTCCTAGCAGTGGCGTGAATGCAGGATCGTCTTTCATCTCACAACATGAAGGGGTATTTGAATCCCCTGTCGAGACCTTAGAGAAAGATCTAGGTCCCTGCCTCATTTTGACGGAATGCCTCATATCCCTTTGACACATCGAGAGGCACTCAGAGATCACTGCTCCAAAGGGTGACGATGCATGGCTCCTCTTGAACAATGTTAGGAATCCCAATATCTCTGTGGCTAATGGAAAGTGTCCTTGGTGCCCTGGCTCACCTCGAGAAGCGTCCCTTTTGCCCTGCCAAGCCTCAAAGAGATTCCTGAGGTGTCCCTCGTTACTAGACAGGAGTCCTGACGTCACTGAATAAACACGTGTTTTGAAGGGCCATCCCCTCCGTAACTCGAGAACATACACCAGGTCCCGGCCGCAAGTCGAGAAAAACAGGAGACTTCCCCCAAGATGCGAGATGAGGCCCGATTCCCCTGCAGTGCATGCAGAACAATTCCGTGATCATCATCAAACATGTAAGGAGCTGCGACTAGATTAATGGATCTCGAGACAGTGCCCAAGAACACTGTCACAAGTCTAGACGGACCCTGAGGTCAGCCCAGTAAAGCATAGCAGATTCATGTGCAGCAAATCAACTCGAGATGAGGCCCGATTCCCCTGCATTGAATCCAGAGCCATCCCCCTTTCCCCATTAATCACGACCAGTGGTTTGACTTCCTTCAGGCAACTCCAGAGATTCCCTGAGAACACTGTCACAAGTCTAGAAGAACACCAACTTCAGCAAAGCAACTCGAGGAATGCTCCGTGTACCCCTAATCGTCTCGAGATGAGAGCTGATTCCCTGGCTTAGGCCCAAGACGTATGCCAACTTGCCAGAAACACCGAAAGAGGAGGCTTCTCTCAGTGATAAGTATGTGGGAGGGACACCGAGTTTGCTGCCTCAAGTGGAATATACAGCGAGAAGCCCTAACTTGATAGGAGGACGGATTTCCTTGCAGTGGCTTGAATATAGGCTAGTCTTTCATCTCACAACATGAAGGGATGTCTGAATCCCCTGTCGACACCTCAGAGAAAAATCTAGGTCCCTGACTCATTTTGACGGAATGCCTCAAATCCATTTGATACCTCGAGAGACACGCAGAGTTCACTGCTTCAAAAGGTAACGATGCCTGGCTAATCTTGAACATTGTTAGGAATCGCAAAATCACTGTGACTACTGAAAAGGGACCTTGGGTGCCCTGCCTCACCTCGAGAAGCATTCCTTTTACACTGCCAAGCCTCAAAGAGATTCCTGAGGTGTCCCTCGTTACTAGACAGGAGTCCTGACATCGCTATATAAAGACGGGTTTTGAAGGGCCATCCCCGCCGTAACTCGAGAACAAACCCCAGGGCGCCGCCGAAAATCGAGAAAAACCATGTGACTTCCCCCTAGAGGCGAGATGAGGCCCGATTCCCCTGCATTGCATGCAGAGCCATTCTGTGATCTCCGTCAAACATGTAAGGAGCTTCGACTTGGTTAATGGATCTCAAGACAGTCCCCAAAACACTGTCACAACTCTAGACGGGCCCTGAGGTCACCCCAGCAATGCAAAGCAGCTCCATGTGCCCCAAATCAACTCGAGATGAGGCCAGATTCCGCTTCATTGACTCCAGAGCCAACCCCCGTTACACATTAAATACGGCCAGTGGCTCGACTTCCTTCACACAATTCCAGATATTCCCCAAGGACACTGTCCCAACTCTAGAAGAACACGAACTTCAGCACAGCAACTCGAGGAATGTTCCGTGTACCCCTAATCGTCTCGAGATGAGAGCTGATTCCCCGGCTTAGACTCAAAACTTATGCCAACTTTCCAGAGACACCGAGAGAGGAGGCTTCCTCAGCAATAGGTATGTGGGAGGGACCCCGAGTTTGCTGCCTCAAGTGGAATATACAGCGAGAAGCCCTAACTTGAAAGGAGGCCGGATTTCCTTGCAGTGGCTTGAATACAGGCTCGTCTTTCATCTCAAACATGAAGGGATGTCTGAATCCCCTGTCGAGACCTTAGCAGAGCTCTAGGTCCCCGCCTCATTTGACGGAATGCCTCACATCCATATGGCAGCTCGAGAGGCAGGCAGAGTTCACTGCTTCAAAATGTCACGATGCCTGACTCCTCTTGAACAATGTTAGGAATCTCAAATCCCTGTGGCTCCTGAAAAGGGTCCTTGGGTGCCCTGCCTCACCTCGAGAAGCGTCCCTTTTGCCCTGCCAAGCCTCAAAATATTCCTGAGGTGTCCCTCATTACTAGACAGGAGTCCTGTTGTCACTGAATAAACACGTGTTTTGAAGGGCCATCCCCGCTATACCTCGAGAAGATACCCCAGGTCGCCGCGGAAAATCGAGAAAAACCATGTGACTTCCCCCTAGAGGCGAGATGAGGCCCGATTCCCATGCATTGCATCAGAGCCATTCCATGATCTCCATCAAACCTGTAAGGAGCTTCGACTTAGTTAATGGATGTCAAGACAGTCCCCAAGAACACTGTCACAAGTCTAGACGGACCCTGAGGTCACCCCAGCAATGCAAAGCAGCTCCACGTGAACCCAAATCAACTCGAGAAGAGGACTGATTCCCCTGCAATGACTCCAGAGCCATTCCCCGTTTCCCATTAAACACGACCATTGGCTCGACTTCCTTCAGGCAACTCCAGAGATTTCCCGAGAACACTGTCCCAAGACTAGAAGAACACCAACTTCAGCACAGCAACTCGAGGAATGCTCCGTGTACCCCAAACCGTCTCGAGATGAGAGCTGATTTCCTGGCTTAGACTCAACACTTATGCCAACATTCCAGAAACACCGAAAGAGGAGGCTTCCTCAGCAATAGGTATGTGGGAGGGACCCCGAGTTTGCTGCCTCAAGTGGAACATACAGTGAGAAGCCCTAACTTGAAAGGAGGCCGGATTTCCTTGCAGTGGCTTGAATACAGGCTCGTCTTTCATCTCACAACATGAAGGGATGTCTGAATCCCCTGTCGAGACCTTAAAGAAAGCTCTAGGTCCCTGCCTCATTGTGACGGAATGCCTCACATTCATTTGGCACCCCGAGAGGCAGGCAGAGTTCACTGCTTGAAAATGTCACGATGCCTGACTCCTCTTGAACAATGTTAGGAATCCCAAAATCCCTGTGGCTCCTGGAAAGTGTCCTTGGTTACCCTGCCTCACCTCGAGAAGCGTCCCTTTTGTAATGCCAAGCCTTGAAGAGATTCCTGAGGTGTCCCTCCTTACTAGACAGTAGTCCTGACGTCACTGAATAAACACATGTTTTCAAGAGCCATCCCCGCCATAACTCAAGAACATACACCAGGTCCCCGCCGCAAGTCGAGAAAAACCAGGAGACATCCCCCTAGATGCGAGATGAGGCCCGATTCCCCTGCATTGCATGCAGAACAATTCCGTGACCATCATCAAACATGTAAGGAGCTTTCACTAGATGAATGGATCTCGAGACAGTCCCCAAGAACACTGTCACAAGTCTAGACGGACCCTGAGGTCACCCCAGCAAAGCAAAGCAGCTTCATGTGCAGCAAATCAACTCGAGATGAGGCCCGATTCCCCTGCGTTGCTTCCAGATCCATCCCCCTTTCCCCATTAAACAGGACCCGTGGTTTGTCTTCCTTCAGGCAACTCCAGAGATTGCCTGAGAACAATGTCGCAAGTCTAGAAGAACACCAACTTCAGCACAGCAACTCGAGGAATGCTCCGTGTACCCCTAATCGTCTCGAGATGAGAGCTGATTCCCTGGCTTAGGCCCAAGACGTATGCCAACTTTCCAGAAACACAGAAAGAGGAGGCTTCTTTCAACAATAGGTATGTGGGAGGGACCCCGAGTTTGCTGCCTCAAATGGAATATACAGTGAGAAGCCCTAACTTGAAAGGAGGCCGGATTTCCTTGCAGTGGCGTGAATACAGGCTCCTCTTTCATGTCACAACATGAAGGGATATCTGAATCCCCTGTCGAGACCTTAGAGAAAGATCTAGATCCCTGCCTCATTTTGACGGAATGCCTCACATCCCTTTGACACATCGAGAGGCACTCGGAGATCACTACTTCAAAGGGTGACGATGCATGACTCCTCTTGAACATTGTTAGGAATCCCGAAATCCCTGTGATTACTGGAAAGGGTCCTTGGGTGCCCTGCCTCACCTCGAGTAGCGTTCGTTTTACCCTGCCAAGACTCAAAGAGATTCCTGACGTGTCCCTCGTTACTGGACAGGAGTCGTGACATCATTATATAAACACGTGTTTTGAAGGGCCATCACCGCCGTAACTCGAGTACATATCCCAGGTCGCCACCGAAAATCGAGAAAAACCATGTGACTTCCCCCTAGAGGTTGATGAGGCCCGATTGCCCTTCATTGCATGCAGAGCGATTCTGTGATCTCCATCAAACATGTAAGGAGCTTCGACTTGGTTAATGGATCTCAAGACAGTCCCCAAGAACACTCTCACAAGTCTAGACGGACCCTGAGGTCACCCCAGCAATGCAAAGCAGCACCATGTGCAACAAATCAACTCGAGATGAGGCCCGATTTCCCTGCATTGCTTCCAGAGCCATCCCCCTTTCCCCATTAAACACGACCAGTGGTTTGACTTCCTTCAGGCAACTCCAGAGATTGCAGAGAACACTGTCGCAAGTCTAGAAGAACACCACCTTCAGCACAGCAACTCGAGGAATGCTCCGTGTACCCCTAATCGTCTCGAGAAGAGAGCTGATTCCCTGGCTTAGGCCCAAGACGTATGCCAACTTTCCAGAAACACCGAAAGAGGAGGCTTCTTTCAACAATAGGTATGTGGGAGGGACCCCGAGTTTGCTGCCTCAAATGGAATATACAGTGAGAAGCCCTAACTTGAAAGGAGGCCGGATTTCCTTGCAGTGGCTTGAATACAGGTTTGTCTTTAATCTCACAACATGAAGGGATGTTTGAATCCCCTGTCGAGAAGTTAGAGAAAGTTCTAGGTCCCTGCCTCATTTTGACGGAATGCCTAACATCCATTTGACACCTCGCGAGGCACGCGAGGTTCACTGATTCAAAAGGTGACGATTCTTGACTCTTCTTGAACATTGATAGGAATCCCAAAATCCCTGTGGCTACTGGAAAGGGTCCTTGGGTGCCATGCCTCACCTCGAGAAGCGTCCCTTTTACCCTGCCAATCCGCAAAATGATTCCTGAGGTGTCCCTCGTTAGTAGACAGGAGTCCTGATGTCACTGATTAAACACATGTTTTGAAGGGCCATCCCCACTGAAACTCGAGAATATAACCCGGGTCGCCGCTGAAAATCGAGAAAAACCATGTGACTTCCCCCTAGAGGCGAGATGAGGCCCGATTCCCCTGCATTGCATGCAGAGCCATTCCGAGATCTCCATCAAAAATGTAAGGAGCTTCGCCTTGGTTAATGGATCTCAAGACTGTCTCCTAGAACACTGTCACAAGTCTAGACGGACCCTCAGGTCACACCAGCAACGCAAAGCAGCTCCATGTGCCCCAAATCAACTCGAGATGAGGCCAGATTCCCCTGCATTGACTCCAGAGCCATCCCCCGTTCCACATTAAATACGACCAGTGGCACGACTTCCTTCACGCAATTCCAGAGTTTCCCTAAGGACACTGTCCGAAGTCCAGAAGAACACCAACTTCAGCAGAGCAACTCGAGGAATGCTGCATGTAACCCACATCGTATGGAGATGAGAGCGGATTTCCTGGCTTAGGCCCAAGACGTATGCCAACTTTCCAGAAGCACCTCAAGAGGAGGCTTCCCTCAGCAATTGGTATGTGGCAGGGACCCTGAATTTGCTGCCTCAAGTGGAATATGCAGCGAGAAGCCCTATCTTGAAAGGAGGCTGGATTTCCTTGCAGTGGCTTGAATAGAGGTTCGTCTTTCATCTCACAACATGAAGGGATGTCTGAATCCCCTGTCGAGAACTTAGAGAAAGTTCTAGGTCCCTGCCTCATTTTGACGGAATGCCTAACATCCATTTGACACCTCGCGAGGCACGCGGAGTTCACTGATTCAAAAGGTGACGATGCTTGACTCTTCTTGAACATTGATAGGAATCCCAAAATCCCTGTGGCTACTGGAAAGGGTCCTTGGGTGCCATGCCTCACCTCGAGAAGCGTCCCTTTTACCCTGCCAAGCCGCAAAAAATTCCTGAGGTGTCCCTCGTTACTAGACTGGAGTCCTGGCCTCACTGAATCACCCCGTGTTTTGAAGGGCCATTCCTGCCGTAACTCGAGAACATACCCCAGGTCCCCACCGCAACTCGAGAAAAACCGTGAGACTTCCCCCTAGATGCGAGATGAGGCCCGATTCACCTGCAGTGCATGCAGAGCAATTCCATGATCCCCATCAAACAAGTCAGGAGCTTCGACTTGCTTAATCGATCTCGAGACAGTCCCCAAGAATACTGTCACAAGTCTAGACGGACCCTGAGGTCACCCCAGCAATGCAAAGCAGCTCCACGTGCCCCAAGTCAACTCGAGATGAGGATCGATTCATCTGCATTGACTCCAGAGCCATTCCCCATTTCCCATTAAACACGACCATTGGCTCGACTTCCTTCAGGCAACTCCAGAGATGCCCCGAGAACACTGTACCAAGTCTAGAAGAACACCAACCTCAGCACAGCAACTCGAGGAATGCTCCGTGCACCCCATATCGTGTGGAGATGAGAGCTGATTGCCTGGCCTAGGCCCAAGGGGTATGCCAACTTTCCAGAAGCACCTCAAGAGGAGGCTTCTCTCAACAATACGTATGTGGGAGGGACCCCGAGTTTTCTGCCTTAAATGGAATATACAGAGAGAAGCCCTAACTAGAAAGGAGCCCCGATTTCCTAGCAGTGGCGTGAATGCAGGATCGTCTTTCATCTCACAACATGAAGGGGTATTTGAATCCCCTGTCGAGACCTTAGAGAAAGATCTAGGTCCCTGCCTCATTTTGACGGAATGCCTCATATCCCTTTGACACATCGAGAGGCACTCAGAGATCACTGCTCCAAAGGGTGACGATGCATGGCTCCTCTTGAACAATGTTAGGAATCCCAATATCTCTGTGGCTAATGGAAAGTGTCCTTGGTGCCCTGGCTCACCTCGAGAAGCGTCCCTTTTGCCCTGCCAAGCCTCAAAGAGATTCCTGAGGTGTCCCTCGTTACTAGACAGGAGTCCTGACGTCACTGAATAAACACGTGTTTTGAAGGGCCATCCCCTCCGTAACTCGAGAACATACACCAGGTCCCGGCCGCAAGTCGAGAAAAACAGGAGACTTCCCCCAAGATGCGAGATGAGGCCCGATTCCCCTGCAGTGCATGCAGAACAATTCCGTGATCATCATCAAACATGTAAGGAGCTGCGACTAGATTAATGGATCTCGAGACAGTGCCCAAGAACACTGTCACAAGTCTAGACGGACCCTGAGGTCAGCCCAGTAAAGCATAGCAGATTCATGTGCAGCAAATCAACTCGAGATGAGGCCCGATTCCCCTGCATTGAATCCAGAGCCATCCCCCTTTCCCCATTAATCACGACCAGTGGTTTGACTTCCTTCAGGCAACTCCAGAGATTCCCTGAGAACACTGTCACAAGTCTAGAAGAACACCAACTTCAGCAAAGCAACTCGAGGAATGCTCCGTGTACCCCTAATCGTCTCGAGATGAGAGCTGATTCCCTGGCTTAGGCCCAAGACGTATGCCAACTTGCCAGAAACACCGAAAGAGGAGGCTTCTCTCAGTGATAAGTATGTGGGAGGGACACCGAGTTTGCTGCCTCAAGTGGAATATACAGCGAGAAGCCCTAACTTGATAGGAGGACGGATTTCCTTGCAGTGGCTTGAATATAGGCTAGTCTTTCATCTCACAACATGAAGGGATGTCTGAATCCCCTGTCGACACCTCAGAGAAAAATCTAGGTCCCTGACTCATTTTGACGGAATGCCTCAAATCCATTTGATACCTCGAGAGACACGCAGAGTTCACTGCTTCAAAAGGTAACGATGCCTGGCTAATCTTGAACATTGTTAGGAATCGCAAAATCACTGTGACTACTGAAAAGGGACCTTGGGTGCCCTGCCTCACCTCGAGAAGCATTCCTTTTACACTGCCAAGCCTCAAAGAGATTCCTGAGGTGTCCCTCGTTACTAGACAGGAGTCCTGACATCGCTATATAAAGACGGGTTTTGAAGGGCCATCCCCGCCGTAACTCGAGAACAAACCCCAGGGCGCCGCCGAAAATCGAGAAAAACCATGTGACTTCCCCCTAGAGGCGAGATGAGGCCCGATTCCCCTGCATTGCATGCAGAGCCATTCTGTGATCTCCGTCAAACATGTAAGGAGCTTCGACTTGGTTAATGGATCTCAAGACAGTCCCCAAAACACTGTCACAACTCTAGACGGGCCCTGAGGTCACGCCAGCAATGCAAAGCAGCTCCATGTGCCCCAAATCAACTCGAGATGAGGCCAGATTCCGCTTCATTGACTCCAGAGCCAACCCCCGTTACACATTAAATACGGCCAGTGGCTCGACTTCCTTCACACAATTCCAGATATTCCCCAAGGACACTGTCCCAACTCTAGAAGAACACGAACTTCAGCACAGCAACTCGAGGAATGTTCCGTGTACCCCTAATCGTCTCGAGATGAGAGCTGATTCCCCGGCTTAGACTCAAAACTTATGCCAACTTTCCAGAGACAGCGAGAGAGGAGGCTTCCTCAGCAATAGGTATGTGGGAGGGACCCCGAGTTTGCTGCCTCAAGTGGAATATACAGCGAGAAGCCCTAACTTGAAAGGAGGCCGGATTTCCTTGCAGTGGCTTGAATACAGGCTCGTCTTTCATCTCAAACATGAAGGGATGTCTGAATCCCCTGTCGAGACCTTAGCAGAGCTCTAGGTCCCCGCCTCATTTGACGGAATGCCTCACATCCATATGGCAGCTCGAGAGGCAGGCAGAGTTCACTGCTTCAAAATGTCACGATGCCTGACTCCTCTTGAACAATGTTAGGAATCTCAAATCCCTGTGGCTCCTGAAAAGGGTCCTTGGGTGCCCTGCCTCACCTCGAGAAGCGTCCCTTTTGCCCTGCCAAGCCTCAAAATATTCCTGAGGTGTCCCTCATTACTAGACAGGAGTCCTGTTGTCACTGAATAAACACGTGTTTTGAAGGGCCATCCCCGCTATACCTCGAGAAGATACCCCAGGTCGCCGCGGAAAATCGAGAAAAACCATGTGACTTCCCCCTAGAGGCGAGATGAGGCCCGATTCCCATGCATTGCATCAGAGCCATTCCATGATCTCCATCAAACCTGTAAGGAGCTTCGACTTAGTTAATGGATGTCAAGACAGTCCCCAAGAACACTGTCACAAGTCTAGACGGACCCTGAGGTCACCCCAGCAATGCAAAGCAGCTCCACGTGAACCCAAATCAACTCGAGAAGAGGACTGATTCCCCTGCAATGACTCCAGAGCCATTCCCCGTTTCCCATTAAACACGACCATTGGCTCGACTTCCTTCAGGCAACTCCAGAGATTTCCCGAGAACACTGTCCCAAGACTAGAAGAACACCAACTTCAGCACAGCAACTCGAGGAATGCTCCGTGTACCCCAAACCGTCTCGAGATGAGAGCTGATTCCCTGGCTTAGACTCAACACTTATGCCAACATTCCAGAAACACCGAAAGAGGAGGCTTCCTCAGCAATAGGTATGTGGGAGGGACCCCGAGTTTGCTGCCTCAAGTGGAACATACAGTGAGAAGCCCTAACTTGAAAGGAGGCCGGATTTCCTTGCAGTGGCTTGAATACAGGCTCGTCTTTCATCTCACAACATGAAGGGATGTCTGAATCCCCTGTCGAGACCTTAAAGAAAGCTCTAGGTCCCTGCCTCATTGTGACGGAATGCCTCACATTCATTTGGCACCCCGAGAGGCAGGCAGAGTTCACTGCTTGAAAATGTCACGATGCCTGACTCCTCTTGAACAATGTTAGGAATCCCAAAATCCCTGTGGCTCCTGGAAAGTGTCCTTGGTTACCCTGCCTCACCTCGAGAAGCGTCCCTTTTTGCCCTGCCAAGCCTCAAAGAGATTCCTGAGGTGTCCCTCGTTACTAGACAGGAGTCCTGACGTCACTGAATAAACACGTGTTTTGAAGGGCCATCCCCACCGTAACTCAAGAACATACACCAGGTCCCCGCCGCAAGTCGAGAAAAACCAGGAGACATCCCCCTAGATGCGAGATGAGGCCCGATTCCCCTGCATTGCATGCAGAACAATTCCGTGACCATCATCAAACATGTAAGGAGCTTTCACTAGATGAATGGATCTCGAGACAGTCCCCAAGAACACTGTCACAAGTCTAGACGGACACTGACGTCACCCCAGCAAAGCAAAGCAGTTTCATGTGCAACAAATCAACTCGAGATGAGGCCCGATTCCCCTGCATTGCTTCCAGAGCCATCCCCCTTTCCCCATTAAACAGGACTAGTGGTTTGACTTCCTTCAGGGAACTCCAGAGATTGCCTGAGAACACTGTCGCAAGTCTAGAAAAACACCAACTTCAGCACAGCAACTCGAGGAATGCTCCATGTACCCCTAATTGTCTCGAGATGAGAGCTGATTCCCTGGCTTAGGCCCAAGATGTATGCCAACTTTCCAGAAACACCGAAAGAGGAGGCTTCTTTCAACAATAGGTATGTGGGAGGGACCCCGAGTTTGCTGCCTCAAATGGAATATACAGTGAGAAGACCTAACTTGAAAGGAGGCCGGATTTCCTTGCAGTGGCTTGAATACAGGTTCGTCTTTCACCTCAAAACATGAAGGGATGTTTGAATCCCCTGTCGAGAAGTTAGAGAAAGTTCTAGGTCCCTGCCTCATTTTGACGGAATGCCTAACATCCATTTGACACCTCGCGAGGCACGCGGAGTTCACTGATTCAAAAGGTGACGATTCTTGACTCTTCTTGAACATTGATAGGAATCCCAAAATCCCTGTGGCTACTGGAAAGGGTCCTTGGGTGCCATGCCTCACCTCGAGAAGCGTCCCTTTTACCCTGCCAATCCGCAAAAAGATTCCTGAGGTGTCCCTCGTTAGTAGACAGGAGTCCTGATGTCACTGATTAAACACATGTTTTGAAGGGCCATCCCCACTGAAACTCGAGAATATAACCCGGGTCGCCGCTGAACATCGAGAAAAACCATGTGACTTCCCCTTAGAGGCGAGATGAGGCCCGATTCCCCTGCATTGCATGCAGAGCCATTCCGAGATCTCCATCAAAAATGTAAGGAGCTTCGCCTTGGTTAATGGATCTCAAGACTGTCTCCTAGAACACTGTCACAAGTCTAGACGGACCCTGAGGTCACACCAGCAACGCAAAGCAGCTCCATGTGCCCCAAATCAACTCGAGATGAGGCCAGATTCCCCTGCATTGACTCCAGAGCCATCCCCCGTTCCACATTAAATACGACCAGTGGCACGACTTCCTTCACGCAATTCCAGAGTTTCCCTAAGGACACTGTCCGAAGTCTAGAAGAACACCAACTTCAGCAGAGCAACTCGAGGAATGCTGCATGTAACCCACATCGTATGGAGATGAGAGCTGATTTCCTGGCTTAGGCCCAAGACGTATGCCAACTTTCCAGAAGCACCTCAAGAGGAGGCTTCTCTCAGCAACTGGTATGTGGGAGGGAAACTGAATTTGCTGCCTCAAGTGGAATATGCAGCGAGAAGCCCTATCTTGAAAGGAGGCTGGATTTCCTTGCAGTGGCTTGAATACAGGTTCGTCTTTCATCTCACAACATGAAGGGATGTCTGAATCCCCGGTCGAGAACTTAGAGAAAGTTCTAGGTCCCTGCCTCATTTTGACGGAATGCCTAACATCCATTTGACACCTCGCGAGGCACGCGGAGTTCACTGATTCAAAAGGTGACCATGCTTGACTCTTCTTGAACATTGATAGGAATCCCAAAATCCCTGTGGCTACTGGAAAGGGTCCTTGGGTGCCATGCCTCACCTCGAGAAGCGTCCCTTTTACCCTGCCAAGCCGCAAAAAATTCCTGAGGTGTCCCTCGTTACTAGACCGGAGTCCTGGCCTCACTGAATCACCCCGTGTTTTGAAGGGCCATTCCTGCCGTAACTCGAGAACATACCCCAGGTCCCCACCGCAACTCGAGAAAAACCGTGAGACTTCCCCCTAGATGCGAGATGAGGCCCGATTCACCTGCAGTGCATGCAGAGCCATTCCATGATCCCCATCAAACAAGTCAGGAGCTTCGACTTGCTTAATCGATCTCGAGACAGTCCCCAAGAATACTGTCACAAGTCTAGACGGACCCTGAGGTCACCCCAGCAATGCAAAGCAGCTCCACGTGCCCCAAGTCAACTCGAGATGAGGATCGATTCATCTGCATTGACTCCAGAGCCATTCCCCATTTCCCATTAAACACGACCATTGGCTCGACTTCCTTCAGGCAACTCCAGAGATGCCCCGAGAACACTGTACCAAGTCTAGAAGAACACCAACCTCAGCACAGCAACTCGAGGAATGCTCCGTGCACCCCATATCGTGTGGAGATGAGAGCTGATTGCCTGGCCTAGGCCCAAGGGGTATGCCAACTTTCCAGAAGCACCTCAAGAGGAGGCTTCTCTCAACAATACGTATGTGGGAGGGACCCCGAGTTTTCTGCCTTAAATGGAATATACAGAGAGAAGCCCTAACTAGAAAGGAGCCCCGATTTCCTAGCAGTGGCGTGAATGCAGGATCGTCTTTCATCTCACAACATGAAGGGGTATTTGAATCCCCTGTCGAGACCTTAGAGAAAGAAAGATCTAGGTCCCTGCCTCATTTTGACGGAATGCCTCATATCCCTTTGACACATCGAGAGGCACTCAGAGATCACTGCTCCAAAGGGTGACGATGCATGGCTCCTCTTGAACAATGTTAGGAATCCCAATATCTCTGTGGCTAATGGAAAGTGTCCTTGGTGCCCTGGCTCACCTCGAGAAGCGTCCCTTTTGCCCTGCCAAGCCTCAAAGAGATTCCTGAGGTGTCCCTCGTTACTAGACAGGAGTCCTGACGTCACTGAATAAACACGTGTTTTGAAGGGCCATCCCCTCCGTAACTCGAGAACATACACCAGGTCCCAGCCGCAAGTCGAGAAAAACAGGAGACTTCCCCCAAGATGCGAGATGAGGCCCGATTCCCCTGCAGTGCATGCAGAACAATTCCGTGATCAACATCAAACATGTAAGGAGCTGCGACTAGATTAATGGATCTCGAGACAGTGCCCAAGAACACTGTCACAAGTCTAGACGGACCCTGAGGTCAGCCCAGTGAAGCATAGCAGATTCATGTGCAGCAAATCAACTCGAGATGAGGCCCGATTCCCCTGCATTGAATCCAGAGCCATCCCCCTTTCCCCATTAATCACGACCAGTGGTTTGACTTCCTTCAGGCAACTCCAGAGATTCCCTGAGAACACTGTCACAAGTCTAGAAGAACACCAACTTCAGCAAAGCAACTCGAGGAATGCTCCCTGTACCCCTAATCGTCTCGAGATGAGAGCTGATTCCCTGGCTTAGGCCCAAGACGTATGCCAACTTGCCAGAAACACCGAAAGAGGAGGCTTCTCTCAGTGATAAGTATGTGGGGGGGACACCGAGTTTGCTGCCTCAAGTGGAATATACAGCGAGAAGCCCTAACTTGATAGGAGGACGGATTTCCTTGCAGTGGCTTGAATATAGGCTAGTCTTTCATCTCACAACATGAAGGGATGTCTGAATCCCCTGTCGACACCTCAGAGAAAAATCTAGGTCCCTGACTCATTTTGACGGAATGCCTCAAATCCATTTGATACCTCGAGAGACACGCAGAGTTCACTGCTTCAAAAGGTAACGATGCCTGGCTAATCTTGAACATTGTTAGGAATCGCAAAATCACTGTGACTACTGAAAAGGGACCTTGGGTGCCCTGCCTCACCTCGAGAAGCATTCCTTTTACACTGCCAAGCCTCAAAGAGATTCCTGAGGTGTCCCTCGTTACTAGACAGGAGTCCTGACATCGCTATATAAAGACGGGTTTTGAAGGGCCATCCCCGCCGTAACTCGAGAACAAACCCCAGGGCGCCGCCGAAAATCGAGAAAAACCATGTGACTTCCCCCTAGAGGCGAGATGAGGCCCGATTCCCCTGCATTGCATGCAGAGCCATTCTGTGATCTCCGTCAAACATGTAAGGAGCTTCGACTTGGTTAATGGATCTCAAGACAGTCCCCAAAACACTGTCACAACTCTAGACGGGCCCTGAGGTCACGCCAGCAATGCAAAGCAGCTCCATGTGCCCCAAATCAACTCGAGATGAGGCCAGATTCCGCTTCATTGACTCCAGAGCCAACCCCCGTTACACATTAAATACGGCCAGTGGCTCGACTTCCTTCACACAATTCCAGATATTCCCCAAGGACACTGTCCCAACTCTAGAAGAACACGAACTTCAGCACAGCAACTCGAGGAATGTTCCGTGTACCCCTAATCGTCTCGAGATGAGAGCTGATTCCCCGGCTTAGACTCAAAACTTATGCCAACTTTCCAGAGACAGCGAGAGAGGAGGCTTCCTCAGCAATAGGTATGTGGGAGGGACCCCGAGTTTGCTGCCTCAAGTGGAATATACAGCGAGAAGCCCTAACTTGAAAGGAGGCCGGATTTCCTTGCAGTGGCTTGAATACAGGCTCGTCTTTCATCTCAAACATGAAGGGATGTCTGAATCCCCTGTCGAGACCTTAGCAGAGCTCTAGGTCCCCGCCTCATTTGACGGAATGCCTCACATCCATATGGCAGCTCGAGAGGCAGGCAGAGTTCACTGCTTCAAAATGTCACGATGCCTGACTCCTCTTGAACAATGTTAGGAATCTCAAATCCCTGTGGCTCCTGAAAAGGGTCCTTGGGTGCCCTGCCTCACCTCGAGAAGCGTCCCTTTTGCCCTGCCAAGCCTCAAAATATTCCTGAGGTGTCCCTCATTACTAGACAGGAGTCCTCTTGTCACTGAATAAACACGTGTTTTGAAGGGCCATCCCCGCTATACCTCGAGAAGATACCCCAGGTCGCCGCGGAAAATCGAGAAAAACCATGTGACTTCCCCCTAGAGGCGAGATGAGGCCCGATTCCCATGCATTGCATCAGAGCCATTCCATGATCTCCATCAAACCTGTAAGGAGCTTCGACTTAGTTAATGGATGTCAAGACAGTCCCCAAGAACACTGTCACAAGTCTAGACGGACCCTGAGGTCACCCCAGCAATGCAAAGCAGCTCCACGTGAACCCAAATCAACTCGAGAAGAGGACTGATTCCCCTGCAATGACTCCAGAGCCATTCCCCGTTTCCCATTAAACACGACCATTGGCTCGACTTCCTTCAGGCAACTCCAGAGATTTCCCGAGAACACTGTCCCAAGACTAGAAGAACACCAACTTCAGCACAGCAACTCGAGGAATGCTCCGTGTACCCCAAACCGTCTCGAGATGAGAGCTGATTTCCTGGCTTAGACTCAACACTTATGCCAACATTCCAGAAACACCGAAAGAGGAGGCTTCCTCAGCAATAGGTATGTGGGAGGGACCCCGAGTTTGCTGCCTCAAGTGGAACATACAGTGAGAAGCCCTAACTTGAAAGGAGGCCGGATTTCCTTGCAGTGGCTTGAATACAGGCTCGTCTTTCATCTCACAACATGAAGGGATGTCTGAATCCCCTGTCGAGACCTTAAAGAAAGCTCTAGGTCCCTGCCTCATTGTGACGGAATGCCTCACATTCATTTGGCACCCCGAGAGGCAGGCAGAGTTCACTGCTTGAAAATGTCACGATGCCTGACTCCTCTTGAACAATGTTAGGAATCCCAAAATCCCTGTGGCTCCTGGAAAGTGTCCTTGGTTACCCTGCCTCACCTCGAGAAGCGTCCCTTTTGTAATGCCAAGCCTTGAAGAGATTCCTGAGGTGTCCCTCCTTACTAGACAGTAGTCCTGACGTCACTGAATAAACACGTGTTTTCAAGAGCCATCCCCGCCATAACTCAAGAACATACACCAGGTCCCCGCCGCAAGTAGAGAAAAACCAGGAGACATCCCCCTAGATGCGAGATGAGGCCCGATTCCCCTGCATTGCATGCAGAACAATTCCGTGACCATCATCAAACATGTAAGGAGCTTTCACTAGATGAATGGATCTCGAGACAGTCCCCAAGAACACTGTCACAAGTCTAGACGGACACTGACGTCACCCCAGCAAAGCAAAGCAGTTTCATGTGCAACAAATCAACTCGAGATGAGGCCCGATTCCCCTGCATTGCTTCCAGAGCCATCCCCCTTTCCCCATTAAACAGGACTAGTGGTTTGACTTCCTTCAGGGAACTCCAGAGATTGCCTGAGAACACTGTCGCAAGTCTAGAAAAACACCAACTTCAGCACAGCAACTCGAGGAATGCTCCATGTACCCCTAATTGTCTCGAGATGAGAGCTGATTCCCTGGCTTAGGCCCAAGATGTATGCCAACTTTCCAGAAACACCGAAAGAGGAGGCTTCTTTCAACAATAGGTATGTGGGAGGGACCCCGAGTTTGCTGCCTCAAATGGAATATACAGTGAGAAGACCTAACTTGAAAGGAGGCCGGATTTCCTTGCAGTGGCTTGAATACAGGTTCGTCTTTCATCTCAAAACATGAAGGGATGTTTGAATCCCCTGTCGAGAAGTTAGAGAAAGTTCTAGGTCCCTGCCTCATTTTGACGGAATGCCTAACATCCATTTGACACCTCGCGAGGCACGCGGAGTTCACTGATTCAAAAGGTGACGATTCTTGACTCTTCTTGAACATTGATAGGAATCCCAAAATCCCTGTGGCTACTGGAAAGGGTCCTTGGGTGCCATGCCTCACCTCGAGAAGCGTCCCTTTTACCCTGCCAAGCCGCAAAAAATTCCTGAGGTGTCCCTCGTTACTAGACCGGAGTCCTGGCCTCACTGAATCACCCCGTGTTTTGAAGGGCCATTCCTGCCGTAACTCGAGAACATACCCCAGGTCCCCACCGCAACTCGAGAAAAACCGTGAGACTTCCCCCTAGATGCGAGATGAGGCCCGATTCACCTGCAGTGCATGCAGAGCAATTCCATGATCCCCATCAAACAAGTCAGGAGCTTCGACTTGCTTAATCGATCTCGAGACAGTCCCCAAGAATACTGTCACAAGTCTAGACGGACCCTGAGGTCACCCCAGCAATGCAAAGCAGCTCCACGTGCCCCAAGTCAACTCGAGATGAGGATCGATTCATCTGCATTGACTCCAGAACCATTCCCCATTTCCCATTAAACACGACCATTGGCTCGACTTCCTTCAGGCAACTCCAGAGATGCCCCGAGAACACTGTACCAAGTCTAGAAGAACACCAACCTCAGCACAGCAACTCGAGGAATGCTCCGTGCACACCACATTGTGTGGAGATGAGAGCTGATTGCCTGGCCTAGGCCCAAGGGGTATGCTAACTTTCCAGAAGCACCTCAAGAGGAGGCTTCTCTCAACAATAGGTATGTGGGAGGGACCCCGAATTTTCTGCCTTAAATGGAATATACAGAGAGAAGCCCTAACTAGAAAGGAGCCCCGATTTCCTAGCAGTGGCGTGAATGCAGGATCGTCTTTCATCTCACAACATGAAGGGGTATTTGAATCCCCTGTCGAGACCTTAGAGAAAGATCTAGGTCCCTGCCTCATTTTGACGGAATGCCTCACATCCCTTTGACACATCGAGAGGCACTCAGAGATCACTGCTCCAAAGGGTGACGATGCATGGCTCCTCTTGAACAATGTTAGGAATCCCAATATCTCTGTGGCTAATGGAAAGTGTCCTTGGTTCCCTGGCTCACCTCGAGAAGCGTCCCTTTTGCCCTGCCAAGCCTCAAAGAGATTCCTGAGGTGTCCCTCGTTACTAGACAGGAGTCCTGACGTCACTGAATAAACACGTGTTTTGAAGGGCCATCCCCTCCGTAACTCGAGAACATACACCAGGTCCCGGCCGCAAGTCGAGAAAAACAGGAGACTTCCCCCAAGATGCGAGATGAGGCCCGATTCCCCTGCAGTGCATGCAGAACAATTCCGTGATCATCATCAAACATGTAAGGAGCTGCGACTAGATTAATGGATCTCGAGACAGTGCCCAAGAACACTGTCACAAGTCTAGACGGACCCTGAGGTCAGCCCAGTAAAGCATAGCAGCTTCATGTGCAGCAAATCAACTCGAGATGAGGCCCGATTCCCCTGCATTGAATCCAGAGCCATCCCCCTTTCCCCATTAATCACGACCAGTGGTTTGACTTCCTTCAGGCAACTCCAGAGATTCCCTGAGAACACTGTCACAAGTCTAGAAGAACACCAACTTCAGCAAAGCAACTCGAGGAATGTTCCCTGTACCCCTAATCGTCTCGAGATGAGAGCTGATTCCCTGGCTTAGGCCCAAGACGTATGCCAACTTGCCAGAAACACCGAAAGAGGAGGCTTCTCTCAGTGATAAGTATGTGGGAGGGACCCCGAGTTTGCTGCCTCAAGTGGAATATACAGCGAGAAGCCCTAACTTGATAGGAGGACGGATTTCCTTGCAGTGGCTTGAATATAGGCTAGTCTTTCATCTCACAACATGAAGGGATGTCTGAATCCCCTGTCGACACCTTAGAGAAAGATCTAGGTCCCTGACTCATTTTGACGGAATGCCTCAAACCCATTTGATACCTCGAGAGACACGCAGAGTTCACTGCTTCAAAAGGTAACGATGCCTGGCTAATCTTGAACATTGTTAGGAATCGCAAAATCACTGTGACTACTGAAAAGGGACCTTGGGTGCCCTGCCTCACCTCGAGAAGCATTCCTTTTACACTGCCAAGCCTCAAAGATATTCCTGAGGTGTCCCTCGTTACTAGACAGGAGTCCTGACATCACTATATAAAGATGTGTTTTGAAGGGCCATCCCCACCGTAACTCGAGAACAAACCCCAGGTCGCCGCCGAAAATCGAGAAAAACCATGTGACTTCCCCCTAGAGGCGAGATGAGGCCGGATTCCCCTGCATTGCATGCAGAGCCATTCTGTGATCTCCATCAAACATGTAAGGAGCTTCGACTTGGTTAATGGATCTCAAGACAGTCCCCAAGAACACTGTCACAAGTCTAGACGGGCCCTGAGGTCACGCCAGCAATGCAAAGCAGCTCCATGTGCCCCAAATCAACTCGAGATGAGGCCAGATTCCCCTTCATTGACTCCAGTGCCAACCCCCGTTACACATTAAATACGGCCAGTGGCTCGACTTCTTTCACACAATTCCAGATATTCCCCAAGGACACTGTCCCAACTCTAGAAGAACACGAACTTCAGCACAGCAACTCGAGGAATGTTCCATGTACCCCTAATCGTCTCGAGATGAGAGCTGATTCCCCGGCTTAGACTCAAAACTTATGCCAACTTTCCAGAGACACCGAGAGAGGAGGCTTCCTCAGCAATAGGTATGTGGGAGGGACCCCGAGTTTGCTGCCTCAAGTGGAATATACAGCGAGAAGCCCTAACTTGAATGGAGGCCGGATTTCCTTGCAGCGGCTTGAATACAGGCTCGTCTTTCATCTCAAACATGAAGGGATGTCTGAAACCCCTGTCGAGACTTTAGCAGAGCTCTAGGTCCCCGCCTCATTTGACGGAATGCCTCACATCCATATGGCAGCTCGAGAGGCAGGCGGAGTTCACTGCTTCAAAATGTCACGATGCCTGACTCCTCTTGAACAATGTTAGGAATCTCAAATCCCTGTGGCTCCTGAAAAGGGTCTTTGGGTGCCCTGCCTCACCTCGAGAAGCGTCCCTTTTGCCCTGCCAAGCCTCAAAATATTCCTGAGGTGTCCCTCATTACTAGACAGGAGTCCTGTTGTCACTGAATAAACACATGTTTTGAAGGGCCATCCCCGCTGTACCTCGAGAACATACCCCAGGTCGCCGGGGAAAATCGAGAAAAACCATGTGACTTCCCTCTAGAGGCGAGATGAGGCCCGATTCCCCTGCATTGCATCAGAGCCATTCCATGATCTCCATCAAACCTGTAAGGAGCTTCGACTTAGTTAATGGATGTCAAGACAATCCCCAAAAACACTGTCACAAGTCTAGACGGACCCTGAGGTCACCCCAGCAATGCAAAGCAGCTCCACGTGCCCCAAATCAACTCGAGAAGTGGATTGATTCCCCTGCAATGACTCCAGAGCCATTCCCCGTTCCCCATTAAACACGACCATTGGCTCGACTTCCTTCAGGCAACTCCAGAGATTCCCCGAGAACACTGTCCCAAGTCTAGAAGAACACCAACTTCAGCACAGCAACTCGAGGAATGCTCCGTGTACCCCAAACCGTCTCGAGATGAGAGCTGATTCCCTGGCTTAGACTCAACACTTATGCCAACATTCCAGAAACACCGAAAGAGGAGGCTTCCTCAGCAATAGGTATGTGGGAGGGACCCCGAGTTTGCTGCCTCAAGTGGAACATACAGCGAGAAGCCCTAACTTGAAAGGAGGCCGGATTTCCTTGCAGTGGCTTGAATACAGGCTCGTCTTTCATCTCACAACATGAAGGGATGTCTGAATCCCCTGTCGAGACCTTAAAGAAAGCTCTAGGTCCCTGCCTCATTGTGACGGAATGCCTCACATTCATTTGGCACCCCGAGAGGCAGGCAGAGTTCACTGCTTCAAAATGTCACGATGCCTGACTCCTCTTGAACAATGTTAGGAATCCCAAAATCCCTGTGGCTCCTGGAAAGTGTCCTTGGTTACCCTGCCTCACCTCGAGAAGCGTCCCTTTTGTAATGCCAAGCCTTGAAGAGATTCCTGAGGTGTCCCTCGTTACTAGACAGGAGTCCTGACGTCACTGAATAAACACGTGTTTTCAAGGGCCATCCCCGCCATAACTCAAGAACGTACACCAGGTCCCCGCCGCAAGTCGAGAAAAACCAGGAGACATCCCCCTAGATGCGAGATGAGGCCCGATTCCCCTGCATTGCATGCAGAACAATTCCGTGACCATCATCAAACATGTAAGGAGCTTTCACTAGATGAATGGATCTCGAGACAGTCCCCAAGAACACTGTCACAAGTCTAGACGGACACTGACGTCACCCCAGCAAAGCAAAGCAGTTTCATGTGCAACAAATCAACTCGAGATGAGGCCCGATTCCCCTGCATTGCTTCCAGAGCCATCCCCCTTTCCCCATTAAACAGGACTAGTGGTTTGACTTCCTTCAGGCAACTCCAGAGATTGCCTGAGAACACTGTCGCAAGTCTAGAAGAACACCAACTTCAGCACAGCAACTCGAGGAATGCTCCATGTACCCCTAATTGTCTCGAGATGAGAGCTGATTCCCTGGCTTAGGCCCAAGACGTATGCCAACTTTCCAGAAACACCGAAAGAGGAGGCTTCTTTCAACAATAGTTATGTGGGAGGGACCCCGAGTTTGCTGCCTCAAATGGAATATACAGTGAGAAGCCCTAACTTGAAAGGAGGCCGGATTTCCTTGCAGTGGTGTGAATACAGGCTCGTCTTTCATGTCACAACATGAAGGGATGTCTGAATCCCCTGTCGAGACGTTAGAGAAAGATCTAGGTCCCTGCCTCATTTTGACGGAATGCCTCACATCCCTTTGACACATCGAGAGGCACTCGGAGATCACTACTTCAAAGGGTGACGATGCATGACTCCTCTTGAACATTGTTAGGAATCCCCAAATCCCTGTGACTACTGGAAAGGGTCCTTGGGTGCCCTGCCTTACCTCGAGAAGCGTTCGTTTTACCCTGCCAAGCCTCAAAGTGATTCCTGACGTGTCCCTCGTTACTGGACAGGAGACGTGACATCACTATATAAACACGTGTTTTGAAGGGCCATCCCCGCCTTAACTCGAGAAGATACCCCAGGTCGCCACCGAAAATCGAGCAAAACCATGTGACTTCCCCCTAGAAGTTGGATGAGGCCCGATTCCGCTGCATTTAATGCAAAGCGATTCTGTGATCTCCATCAAACATGTAAGGAGCTTCGACTTGGTTAATGGATCTCAAGACAGTCCCCAAGAACACTGTCACAAGTCTAGACGGACCCTGAGGTCACCCCAGCAACGCAAAGCAGATCTATGTGCCCCAAATCAACTCGAGATGAGGCCAGATTCCCCTGCATTGACTCCAGAGCCTTCCCCCATCCCCATTAAATAAGACCAGTGGCTCGACTTCCTTCACACAATTCCAGAGATTCCCCAAGGACACTGTCCCAAGTCTAGAAGAACACCAACTTCAGCACAGCAACTCGAGGAATGGTCCGTGTACCCCAGATCGTCTCGAGATGAGAGCAGATTCCCTAGCTTAGACTCAACACTTATGCCATCTTTCCAGACAAACCGAAAGAGTAGGCTTCCTCAGCAATAGGTATGTGGGAGGGACACCGAGTTTGCTGCCGCAAGTCGAATATACAGCGAGAAGCCCTAACTTGAAAGGAGGCCGGATTTCCTTGCAGTGGCGTGAATGCAGGCCTGTCTTTCATCGCACAACATGAAGAGATGTCTGAATCCCCTCTCGAGACCTTAGAGAAAGCTCTAGGTCCCTGCCTCATTTTGACGGAATGCCTCTCATAAATTTGGCACCTCGAGAGGCAGGCGGAGTTCACTGCTTCAAAAGGTGACGATGCCTGACTCCTCTTGAACAATGTTAGGAATCCCAGAATCCCTGTGGCTCCTGGAAAGGGTCCTTGGGTGGCCTGCCTCTCCTCGAGAAGCGTCTCTTTTGCAATGCCAAGCCTCGAAGAGATTCCTGAGGTGTCCCCCGTTACTAGACAGATGTCCTGACGTCACTGAATAAACACATGTTTTAAAGGGGCATCCCCGCCGAAACTCGAGAATATACACCAGGTCCCCGCCTCAACTCGAGAAAAACCAGGAGACTGCCCCCTAGATGCGAGATGAGGCCCGATTCAACTGCATTGCATGCAAAACAATTCCGTGATCATCATCAAACATGTAAGGACCTTCGACTCGATTAATGGATCTTGAGATAGTCCCCAAGAACACTGTCACAAGTCTAGACGGACCCTGAGGTCACCCCAGGAAAGAAAAGCACCTGCATGTGCAGCAAATCAACTCGAGATGAGGCCCGATTCCCCTGCATTGATTCAAGAGCCATCCCCCTTTCCCCATTAAACACGACCAGTGGTTTGACTTCCTTCAGGCAACTCCAGAGATTCCCTGAGAACACTGTCCCAAGTCTAGAAGAACACCAACTTCTGCACAGCAACTCGAGGAATGCTCCTTGTACCCCTAATCGTCTTGACATGAGAGCTGATTCCCTGGCTTAGGCTCAAGACGTATGCCAACTTTCCAGAAACACCGAAAGAGGAGGCTTCTCTCAGCAATAGGTATGTGGGAGGAACCCCGAGTTTGCTGCCTCAAATTGAATATACAGCGAGAAGCCCTAACTTGAAAGGAGGCCGGATTTCCTTGCAGTGGCGTGAATACAGGCTCGTCTATCATCTCACAACATGAAGGGATGTCTGATACCCTGTCGAGACGTTAGAGAAAGATCTAGGTCCCTGCCTCATTTTGACGGAATGCCTCAGATCCCTTTGACACATCGAGAGGAACCCGGAGATCACTACTTCAAAGGGTGATGATGCAAGACTCCTCTTGAACATTGTTAGGAATCCCAAAATACATGTAACTATTGGAAAGGGACCTTGGGTGCCCTGCCTCACTTCGAGAAGCGTCCCTTTTTGCCCTGCCAAGCCTCAAAGAGATTTCTGAGGTGTCCCTCGTTACTAGACATGAGTCGTGACATCACTATATAAACACGTGTTTTGAAGGGCCATCCCCGCTGAAACTCGAGAACATTCCCCAGGTCGCCGCCGAAAATCGAGAAAAACCATGTGACTTCCCCCTAGAGGCGAGATGAGGCCCGATTCCCCTGCATTGCATGCAGAGCCATTCTGTGATCTCCATCAAACGTGTAAGGAGCTTCGACTTGGTTTTTGGATCTCAAGACAGTCCCTAAGAACACTGTCACAAGTCTAGACGGGCCCTGAGGTCACGCCAGCAATGCAAAGCAGCTCCATGTGCCCCAAATCAACTCGACATGAGGTCAGATTCCCCTTCATTGACTCCAGAGCCAACCCCCGTTACACATTAAATACGGCCAGTGGCTCGACTTCCTTCACACAATTCCAGATATTCCCCAAGGACACTGTCCCAGCTCTAGAAGAACACGAACTTCAGCACAGCAACTCGAGGAATGTTCCGTGTACCCCTAATCGTCTCGAGATGAGAGCTGATTCCCCGGCTTAGACTCAAAACTTATGCCAACTTTCCAGAGACAGCGAGAGAGGAGGCTTCCTCAGCAATAGGTATGTGGGAGGGACCCCGAGTTTGCTGCCTCAAGTGGAATATACAGCGAGAAGCCCTAACTTGAAAGGAGGCCGGATTTCCTTGCAGTGGCTTGAATACAGGCTCGTCTTTCATCTCAAACATGAAGGGATGTCTGAATCCCCTGTCGAGACCTTAGCAGAGCTCTAGGTCCCTGCCTCATTGACGGAATGCCTCACATCCATATGGCAGCTCGAGAGGCAGGCGGAGTTCACTGCCTCAAAATGTCACGATGCCTGACTCCTCTTGAAAAATGTTATGAATCTCAAATCCCTGTGGCTCCTGAAAAGGGTCCTTGGGTGCCCTGCCTCACCTCGAGAAGCGTCCCTTTTGCCCTGCCAAGCCTCAAAATATTCCTGAGGTGTCCCTCATTACTAGACAGGAGTCCTGTTGTCACTGAATAAACACGTGTTTTGAAGGGCCATCCCCGCTGTACCTCGAGAACATACCCCAGGTCGCCGCGGAAAATCGAGAAAAACCATGTGACTTCCCCCTAGAGGCGAGATGAGGCCCAATTCCCCTGCATTGCATCAGAGCCATTCCATGATCTCCATCAAACCTGTAAGGAGCTTCGACTTAGTTAATGGATCTCAAGACAGTCCCCAAGAACACTGTCACAAGTCTAGACGGACCCTGAGGTCACCCCAGCAATGCAAAGCAGCTCCACGTGCCCCAAATCAAATCGAGAAGAGGATTGATTCACCTGCAATGATTCCAGAGCCATTCCCCATTCCCCATTAAACACGACCATTGGCTCGACTTCCTTCAGGCAACTCCAGAGATTCCCCGAGAACACTGTCCCAAGTCTAGAAGAACACCAACTTCAGCACAGCAACTCGAGGAATGCTCCATGTACCCCTAATTGTCTCGAGATGAGAGCTGATTCCCTGGCTTAGGCCCAAGACGTATGCCAACTTTCCAGAAACACCGAAAGAGGAGGCTTCTTTCAACAATAGTTATGTGGGAGAGACCCCGAGTTTGCTGCCTCAAATTGAATATACAGCGAGAAGCCCTAACTTGAAAGGAGGCCGGATTTCCTTGCAGTGGCGTGAATACAGGCTCGTCTATCATCTCACAACATGAAGGGATGTCTGAATCCCCTGTCGAGACGTTAGAGAAAGATCTAGGTCCCTGCCTCATTTTGACGGAATGCCTCACATCCCTTTGACATATCGAGAGGAACCCGGAGATCACTACTTCAAAGAGTGACGATGCAAGACTCCTCTTGAACATTGTTAGGAATCCCAGAATACATGTAACTATTGGAAAGGGACCTTGGGTGCCCTGCCTCACCTCGAGAAGCGTCCCTTTTTGCCCTGCCAAGCCTCAAAGAGATTCCTGAGGTGTCCCTCGTTACTAGACAGGAGTCCTGACGTCACTGAATAAACACGTGTTTTGAAGGGCCATCCCCACCGTAACTCAAGAACATACACCAGGTCCCCGCCGCAAGTCGAGAAAAACCAGGAGACATCCCCCTAGATGCGAGATGAGGCCCGATTCCCCTGCATTGCATGCAGAACAATTCCGTGACCATCATCAAACATGTAAGGAGCTTTCACTAGATGAATGGATCTCGAGACAGTCACCAAGAACACTGTCACAAGTCCAGACGGACACTGACGTCACCCCAGCAAAACAAAGCAGTTTCATGTGCAACAAATCAACTCGAGATGAGGCCCGATTCCCCTGCATTGCTTCCAGAGCCATCCCCCTTTCCCCATTAAACAGGACTAGTGGTTTGACTTCCTTCAGGCAACTCCAGAGATTGCCTGAGAACACTGTCGCAAGTCTAGAAGAACACCAACTTCAGCACAGCAACTCAAGGAATGCTCCGTGTACCCCTAATTGTCTCGAGATGAGAGCTGATTCCCTGGCTTAGGCCCAAGACGTATGCCAACTTTCCAGAAACACCGAAAGAGGAGGCTTCTTTCAACAATAGTTATGTGGGAGGGACCCCGAGTTTGCTGCCTCAAATGGAATATACAGTGAGAAGCCCTAACTTGAAAGGAGGCCGGATTTCCTTGCAGTGGTGTGAATACAGGCTCGTCTTTCATGTCACAACATGAAGGGATGTCTGAATCCCCTGTCGAGACGTTAGAGAAAGATCTAGGTCCCTGCCTCATTTTGACGGAATGCCTCACATCCCTTTGACACATCGAGAGGCACTTGGAGATCACTACTTCAAAGGGTGACGATGCATGACTCCTCTTGAACATTGTTAGGAATCCCCAAATCCCTGTGACTACTGGAAAGGGTCCTAGGGTGCCCTTCCTTACCTCGAGAAGCATTCATTTTATCCTGCCAAGCCTCAAAGAAATTCCTGACGTGTCCCTCGTTACTGGACAGGAGACGTGACATCACTATATAAACACGTGTTTTGAAGGGCCATCCCCGCCGTAATTCGAGAACATACCCCAGGTCGCCACCGAAAATCGAGAAAAACCATGTGACTTCCCCCTAGAGGTTGGATGAGGCCCGATTCCGCTGCATTGCATGCAGAGCGATTCTGTGATCTCCATCAAACATGTAAGGAGCTTCGACTTGGTTAATGGATCTCAAGACAGTCTCCAAGAACACTGTCACAAGTCTAGAGGGACCCTGAGGTCACCCCAGCAACGCAAAGCAGCTCCATGTGCCCCAAATCAACTCGCGATGAGGCCAGATTCCCCTGCATTGACTCCAGAGCCTTCCCCCATTCCCCATTAAACACGACCAGTGGCTCGACTTCCTTCACACAATTCCAGAGATTCCCCAAGTACACTGTCCCAAGTCTAGAAGAACACCAACGTCAGCACAGCAACTCGAGGAATGGTCCATGTACCCCAGATCGTCTCGAGATGAGAGCAGATTCCCTAGCTTAGACTCAACACTTATGCTATCTTTCCAGACACACCGAAAGAGTAGGCTTCCTCAGCAATAGCCATGTGGCAGGGACCCCGAGTTTGCTGCCTCAAGTGGAATATACAGCGAGAAGCCCTAACTTGAAAGGAGGCCGGATTTCCTTGCAGTGGCGTGAATGCAGGCCTGTCTTTCATCTCACAACATGAAGAGATGTCTGAATCCCCTGTCGAGACCTTAGAGAAAGATCTAGGTCCCTGCCTCATTTTGACGGAATGCCTCTCATAAATTTGGCACCTCGAGAGGCAGGCGGAGTTCACTGCTTCAAAAGTTGACGATGCCTGACTCCTCTTGAACAATGTTAGGAATCCCAGAATCCCTGTGGCTCCTGGAAAGGGTCCTTGGGTGGCCTGCCTCTCCTCGAGAAGCGTCTCTTTTGAATGCCAAGTCTCGAAGAGATTCCTGAGGTGTCCCCCGTTACTAGACAGATGTCCTGACGTCACTGAATAAACACATGTTTTAAAGGGGCATCCCCGCCGAAACTCGAGAATATACACCAGGTCCCCGCCTCAACTCGAGATAAACCAGGAGACTGCCCCCTAGATGCGAGATTAGGCCCGATTCCCCTGCACTGCATGCAGAACAATTCCGTGATCATCATGAAACATGTAAGGACCTTCGACTCGATTAATGGATCTTGAGATAGTCCCCAAGAACACTGTCACAAGTCTAGACGGACCCTGAGGTCACCCCAGCAAAGAAAAGCACCTGCATGTGCAGCAAATCAACTCGAGATGAGGCCCGATTCCCCTGCATTGATTCAAGAGCCATCCCCCTTTCCCCATTAAACACGACCAGTGGTTTGACTTCCTTCAGGCAACTCCAGAGATTCCCTGAGAACACTGTCCCAAGTCTAGAAGAACACCAACTTCTGCACAGCAACTCGAGGAATGCTCCTTGTACCCCTAATCGTCTTGACATGAGAGCTGATTCCCTGGCTTAGGCTCAAGACGTATGCCAACTTTCCAGAAACACCGAAAGAGGAGGCTTCTCTCAGCGATAGGTATGTGGGAGGAACCCCGAGTTTGCTGCCTGAAATTGAATATACTGCAAGAAGCCCTAACTTGAAAGGAGGCCGGATTTCCTTGCAGTGGCGTGAATACAGGCTCGTCTATCATCTCACAACATGAAGGGATGTCTGAATCCCCTGTCGAGACGTTAGAGAAAGATCTAGGTCCCTGCCTCATTTTGACGGAATGTCTCACATCCCTTTGACACATCGAGAGAAACCCGGAGATCACTACTTCAAAGGGTGACGATGCAAGACTCCTCTTGAACATTGTTAGGAATCCCAGAATACATGTAACTATTGGAAAGGGACCTTGGGTGCCCTGCCTCACCTCGAGAAGCGTCCCTTTTTGCCCTGCCAAGCCTCAAAGAGATTCCTGAGGTGTCCCTCGTTACTAGACAGGAGTCCTGACATCACTATATAAACACGTGTTTTGAAGGGCCATCCCCACTGAAACTCGAGAACATTCCCCAGGTCGCCGCCGAAAATCGAGAAAAACCATGTGACTTCCCCCTAGAGGCGAGATGAGGCCCGATTCCCCTGCATTGCATGCAGAGCCATTCCGAGATCCCCATCAAACATGTAAGGAGCTTCGACTTGGTTAATGGATCTCAAGACAGTCTCCTAGAACACTGTCACAAGTCTAGACGGACCCTGAGGTCACACCAGCAACGCAAAGCAGCTCCATGTGCCCCAAATCAACTCGATTTGAGGCCAGATTCCCCTGCATTGACTCCAGAGCCATCCCCCGTTCCACATTAAATACGACCAGTGGCACGACTTCCTTCACGCAATTCCAGAGTTTCCCTAAGGACACTGTCCGAAGTCTAGAAGAACACCAACTTCAGCAGAGCAACTCGAGGAATGCTGCATGTAACCCACATCGTATGGAGATGAGAGCTGATTTCCTGGCTTAGGCCCAAGACGTATTCCAACTTTCCAGAAGCACCTCAAGAGGAGGCTTCTCTCAGCAACTGGTATGTGGGAGGGACCCTGAATTTGCTGCCTCAATTGGAATATACAGCGAGAAGCCCTATCTTGAAAGGAGGCTGGATTTCCTTGCAGTGGCTTGAATACAGGTTCGTCTTTCATCTCACAACATGAAGGGATGTCTGAATCCCCTGTCGAGAACTTAGAGAAAGTTCTAGGTCCCTGCCTCATTTTGACGGAATGCCTAACATCCATTTGACACCTCGCAAGGCACGCGGAGTTCACTGATTCAAAACGTTACGATGCTTGACTCTTCTTGAACATTGATAGGAATCCCAAAATCCCTGTGGCTACTGGAAAGGGTCCTTGGGTGCCATGCCTCACCTCGAGAAGCGTCCCTTTTACCCTGCGAAGCCGCAAAAAATTCCTGAGGTGTCCCTCGTTACTAGACCGGAGTCCTGGCCTCACTGAATCACCCCGTGTTTTGAAGGGCCATTCCTGCCGTAACTCGAGAACATACCCCAGGTCCCCACCGCAACTCGAGAAAAACCGTGAGACTTCCCCCTAGATGCGAGATGAGGCCCGATTCACCTGCAGTGCATGCAGAGCAATTCCATGATCCCCATCAAACAAGTCAGGAGCTTCGACTTGCTTAATCGATCTCGAGACAGTCCCCAAGAATACTGTCACAAGTCTAGACGGACCCTGAGGTCACCCCAGCAATGCAAAGCAGCTCCACGTGCCCCAAGTCAACTCGAGATGAGGATCGATTCATCTGCATTGACTCCAGAACCATTCCCCATTTCCCATTAAACACGACCATTGGCTCGACTTCCTTCAGGCAACTCCAGAGATGCCCCGAGAACACTGTACCAAGTCTAGAAGAACACCAACCTCAGCACAGCAACTCGAGGAATGCTCCGTGCACCCCATATCGTGTGGAGATGAGAGCTGATTGCCTGGCCTAGGCCCAAGGGGTATGCCAACTTTCCAGAAGCACCTCAAGAGGAGGCTTCTCTCAACAATAGGTATGTGGGAGGGACCCCGAGTTTTCTGCCTTAAATGGAATATACAGAGAGAAGCCCTAACTAGAAAGGAGCCCCGATTTCCTAGCAGTGGCGTGAATGCAGGATCGTCTTTCATCTCACAACATGAAGGGGTATTTGAATCCCCTGTCGAGACCTTAGAGAAAGATCTAGGTCCCTGCCTCATTTTGACGGAATGCCTCATATCCCTTTGACACATCGAGAGGCACTCAGAGATCACTGCTCCAAAGGGTGACGATGCATGGCTCCTCTTGAACAATGTTAGGAATCCCAATATCTCTGTGGCTAATGGAAAGTGTCCTTGGTGCCCTGGCTCACCTCGAGAAGCGTCCCTTTTGCCCTGCCAAGCCTCAAAGAGATTCCTGAGGTGTCCCTCGTTACTAGACAGGAGTCCTGACGTCACTGAATAAACACGTGTTTTGAAGGGCCATCCCCTCCGTAACTCGAGAACATACACCAGGTCCCGGCCGCAAGTCGAGAAAAACAGGAGACTTCCCCCAAGATGCGAGATGAGGCCCGATTCCCCTGCAGTGCATGCAGAACAATTCCGTGATCATCATCAAACATGTAAGGAGCTGCGACTAGATTAATGGATCTCGAGACAGTGCCCAAGAACACTGTCACAAGTCTAGACGGACCCTGAGGTCAGCCCAGTAAAGCATAGCAGCTTCATGTGCAGCAAATCAACTCGAGATGAGGCCCGATTCCCCTGCATTGAATCCAGAGCCATCCCCCTTTCCCCATTAATCACGACCAGTGGTTTGACTTCCTTCAGGCAACTCCAGAGATTCCCTGAGAACACTGTCACAAGTCTAGAAGAACACCAACTTCAGCAAAGCAACTCGAGGAATGTTCCCTGTACCCCTAATCGTCTCGAGATGAGAGCTGATTCCCTGGCTTAGGCCCAAGACGTATGCCAACTTGCCAGAAACACCGAAAGAGGAGGCTTCTCTCAGTGATAAGTATGTGGGAGGGACCCCGAGTTTGCTGCCTCAAGTGGAATATACAGCGAGAAGCCCTAACTTGATAGGAGGACGGATTTCCTTGCAGTGGCTTGAATATAGGCTAGTCTTTCATCTCACAACATGAAGGGATGTCTGAATCCCCTGTCGACACCTTAGAGAAAGATCTAGGTCCCTGACTCATTTTGACGGAATGCCTCAAACCCATTTGATACCTCGAGAGACACGCAGAGTTCACTGCTTCAAAAGGTAACGATGCCTGGCTAATCTTGAACATTGTTAGGAATCGCAAAATCACTGTGACTACTGAAAAGGGACCTTGGGTGCCCTGCCTCACCTCGAGAAGCATTCCTTTTACACTGCCAAGCCTCAAAGAGATTCCTGAGGTGTCCCTCGTTACTAGACAGGAGTCCTGACATCACTATATAAAGATGTGTTTTGAAGGGCCATCCCCACCGTAACTCGAGAACAAACCCCAGGTCGCCGCCGAAAATCGAGAAAAACCATGTGACTTCCCCCTAGAGGCGAGATGAGGCCGGATTCCCCTGCATTGCATGCAGAGCCATTCTGTGATCTCCATCAAACATGTAAGGAGCTTCGACTTGGTTAATGGATCTCAAGACAGTCCCCAAGAACACTGTCACAAGTCTAGACGGGCCCTGAGGTCACGCCAGCAATGCAAATCAGCTCCATGTGCCCCAAATCAACTCGAGATGAGGCCAGATTCCCCTTCATTGACTCCAGAGCCAACCCCCGTTACACATTAAATACGGCCAGTGGCTCGACTTCTTTCACACAATTCCAGATATTCCCCAAGGACACTGTCCCAACTCTAGAAGAACACGAACTTCAGCACAGCAACTCGAGGAATGTTCCATGTAACCCTAATCGTCTCGAGATGAGAGCTGATTCCCCGGCTTAGACTCAAAACTTATGCCAACTTTACAGAGACACCGAGAGAGGAGGCTTCCTCAGCAATAGGTATGTGGGAGGGACCCCGAGTTTGCTGCCTCAAGTGGAATATACAGCGAGAAGCCCTAACTTGAATGGAGGCCGGATTTCCTTGCAGTGGCTTGAATACAGGCTCGTCTTTCATCTCAAACATGAAGGGATGTCTGAAACCCCTGTCGAGACCTTAGCAGAGCTCTAGGTCCCCGCCTCATTTGACGGAATGCCTCACATCCATATGGCAGCTCGAGAGGCAGGCGGAGTTCACTGCTTCAAAATGTCACGATGCCTGACTCCTCTTGAACAATGTTAGGAATCTCAAATCCCTGTGGCTCCTGAAAAGGGTCTTTGGGTGCCCTGCCTCACCTCGAGAAGCGTCCCTTTTGCCCTGCCAAGCCTCAAAATATTCCTGAGGTGTCCCTCATTACTAGACAGGAGTCCTGTTGTCACTGATTAAACACGTGTTTTGAAGGGCCATCCCCGCTGTACCTCGAGAACATACCCCAGGTCGCCGGGGAAAATCGAGAAAAACCATGTGACTTCCCCCTAGAGGCGAGATGAGGCCCGATTCCCCTGCATTGCATCAGAGCCATTCCATGATCTCCATCAAACCTGTAAGGAGCTTCGACTTAGTTAATGGATGTCAAGACAGTCCCCAAAAACACTGTCACAAGTCTAGACGGACCCTGAGGTCACCCCAGCAATGCAAAGCAGCTCCACGTGCCCCAAATCAACTCGAGAAGAGGATTGATTCCCCTGCAATGACTCCAGAGCCATTCCCCATTCCCCATTAAACACGACCATTGGCTCGACTTCCTTCAGGCAACTCCAGAGATTCCCCGAGAACACTGTCCCAAGTCTAGAAGAACACCAACTTCAGCACAGCAACTCGAGGAATGCTCCGTGTACCCCAAACCGTCTCGAGATGAGAGCTGATTCCCTGGCTTAGACTCAACACTTATGCCAACATTCCAGAAACACCGAAAGAGGAGGCTTCCTCAGCAATAGGTATGTGGGAGGGACCCTGAGTTTGCTGCCTCAAGTGGAACATACAGCGAGAAGCCCTAACTTGAAAGGAGGCCGGATTTCCTTACAGTGGCTTGAATACAGGCTCGTCTTTCATCTCACAACATGAAGGGATGTCTGAATCCCCTGTCGAGACCTGAAAGAAAGCTCTAGGTCCCTGCCTCATTGTGACGGAATGCCTCACATTCATTTGGCACCCCGAGAGGCAGGCAGAGTTCACTGCTTCAAAATGTCACGATGCCTGACTCCTCTTGAACAATGTTAGGAATCCCAAAATCCCTGTGGCTCCTGGAAAGTGTCCTTGGTTACCCTGCCTCACCTCGAGAAGCGTCCCTTTTGTAATGCCAAGCCTTGAAGAGATTCCTGAGGTGTCCCTCGTTACTAGACAGGAGTCCTGACGTCACTGAATAAACACGTGTTTTCAAGGGCCATCCCCGCCATAACTCAAGAACGTACACCAGGTCCCCGCCGCAAGTCGAGAAAAACCAGGAGACATCCCCCTAGATGCGAGATGAGGCCCGATTCCCCTGCATTGCATGCAGAACAATTCCGTGACCATCATCAAACATGTAAGGAGCTTTCACTAGATGAATGGATCTCGAGACAGTCCCCAAGAACACTGTCACAAGTCTAGACGGACACTGACGTCACCCCAGCAAAGCAAAGCAGTTTCATGTGCAACAAATCAACTCGAGATGAGGCCCGATTCCCCTGCATTGCTTCCAGAGCCATCCCCCTTTCCCCATTAAACAGGACTAGTGGTTTGACTTCCTTCAGGCAACTCCAGAGATTGCCTGAGAACACTGTCGCAAGTCTAGAAGAACACCAACTTCAGCACAGCAACTCGAGGAATGCTCCATGTACCCCTAATTGTCTCGAGATGAGAGCTGATTCCCTGGCTTAGGCCCAAGACGTATGCCAACTTTCCAGAAACACCGAAAGAGGAGGCTTCTTTCAACAATAGTTATGTGGGAGGGACCCCGAGTTTGCTGCCTCAAATGGAATATACAGTGAGAAGCCCTAACTTGAAAGGAGGCCGGATTTCCTTGCAGTGGTGTGAATACAGGCTCGTCTTTCATGTCACAACATGAAGGGATGTCTGAATCCCCTGTCGAGACGTTAGAGAAAGATCTAGGTCCCTGCCTCATTTTGACGGAATGCCTCACATCCCTTTGACACATCGAGAGGCACTCGGAGATCACTACTTCAAAGGGTGACGATGCATGACTCCTCTTGAACATTGTTAGGAATCCCCAAATCCCTGTGACTACTGGAAAGGGTCCTTGGGTGCCCTGCCTTACCTCGAGAAGCGTTCGTTTTACCCTGCCAAGCCTCAAAGAGATTCCTGACGTGTCCCTCGTTACTGGACAGGAGACGTGACATCACTATATAAACACGTGTTTTGAAGGGCCATCCCCGCCTTAACTCGAGAAGATACCCCAGGTCGCCACCGAAAATCGAGCAAAACCATGTGACTTCCCCCTAGAAGTTGGATGAGGCCCGATTCCGCTGCATTTAATGCAGAGCGATTCTGTGATCTCCATCAAACATGTAAGGAGCTTCGACTTGGTTAATGGATCTCAAGACAGTCCCCAAGAACACTGTCACAAGTCTAGACGGACCCTGAGGTCACCCCAGCAACGCAAAGCAGATCTATGTGCCCCAAATCAACTCGAGATGAGGCCAGATTCCCCTGCATTGACTCCAGAGCCTTCCCCCATCCCCATTAAATAAGACCAGTGGCTCGACTTCCTTCACACAATTCCAGAGATTCCCCAAGGACACTGTCCCAAGTCTAGAAGAACACCAACTTCAGCACAGCAACTCGAGGAATGGTCCGTGTACCCCAGATCGTCTCGAGATGAGAGCAGATTCCCTAGCTTAGACTCAACACTTATGCCATCTTTCCAGACAAACCGAAAGAGTAGGCTTCCTCAGCAATAGGTATGTGGGAGGGACACCGAGTTTGCTGCCGCAAGTCGAATATACAGCGAGAAGCCCTAACTTGAAAGGAGGCCGGATTTCCTTGCAGTGGCGTGAATGCAGGCCTGTCTTTCATCGCACAACATGAAGAGATGTCTGAATCCCCTGTCGAGACCTTAGAGAAAGCTCTAGGTCCCTGCCTCATTTTGACGGAATGCCTCTCATAAATTTGGCACCTCGAGAGGCAGGCGGAGTTCACTGCTTCAAAAGGTGACGATGCCTGACTCCTCTTGAACAATGTTAGGAATCCCAGAATCCCTGTGGCTCCTGGAAAGGGTCCTTGGGTGGCCTGCCTCTCCTCGAGAAGCGTCTCTTTTGAATGCCAAGTCTCGAAGAGATTCCTGAGGTGTCCCCCGTTACTAGACAGATGTCCTGACGTCACTGAATAAACACATGTTTTCAAGGGGCATCCCCGCCGAAACTCGAGAATATACACCAGGTCCCCGCCTCAACTCGAGATAAACCAGGAGACTGCCCCCTAGATGCGAGATTAGGCCCGATTCCCCTGCACTGCATGCAGAACAATTCCGTGATCATCATCAAACATGTAAGGACCTTCGACTCGATTAATGGATCTTGAGATAGTCCCCAAGAACACTGTCACAAGTCTAGACGGACCCTGAGGTCACCCCAGCAAAGAAAAGCACCTGCATGTGCAGCAAATCAACTCGAGATGAGGCCCGATTCCCCTGCATTGATTCAAGAGCCATCCCCCTTTCCCCATTAAACACGACCAGTGGTTTGACTTCCTTCAGGCAACTCCAGAGATTCCCTGAGAACACTGTCCCAAGTCTAGAAGAACACCAACTTCTGCACAGCAACTCGAGGAATGCTCCTTGTACCCCTAATCGTCTTGACATGAGAGCTGATTCCCTGGCTTAGGCTCAAGACGTATGCCAACTTTCCAGAAACACCGAAAGAGGAGGCTTCTCTCAGCGATAGGTATGTGGGAGGAACCCCGAGTTTGCTGCCTGAAATTGAATATACTGCAAGAAGCCCTAACTTGAAAGGAGGCCGGATTTCCTTGCAGTGGCGTGAATACAGGCTCGTCTATCATCTCACAACATGAAGGGATGTCTGAATCCCCTGTCGAGACGTTAGAGAAAGATCTAGGTCCCTGCCTCATTTTGACGGAATGTCTCACATCCCTTTGACACATCGAGAGAAACCCGGAGATCACTACTTCAAAGGGTGACGATGCAAGACTCCTCTTGAACATTGTTAGGAATCCCAGAATACATGTAACTATTGGAAAGGGACCTTGGGTGCCCTGCCTCACCTCGAGAAGCGTCCCTTTTTGCCCTGCCAAGCCTCAAAGAGATTCCTGAGGTGTCCCTCGTTACTAGACAGGAGTCCTGACATCACTATATAAACACGTGTTTTGAAGGGCCATCCCCACTGAAACTCGAGAACATTCCCCAGGTCGCCGCCGAAAATCGAGAAAAACCATGTGACATCCCCCTAGAGGCGAGATGAGGCCCGATTCCCCTGCATTGCATGCAGAGCCATTCCGAGATCCCCATCAAACATGTAAGGAGCTTCGACTTGGTTAATGGATCTCAAGACAGTCTCCTAGAACACTGTCACAAGTCTAGACGGACCCTGAGGTCACACCAGCAACGCAAAGCAGCTCCATGTGCCCCAAATCAACTCGATTTGAGGCCAGATTCCCCTGCATTGACTCCAGAGCCATCCCCCGTTCCACATTAAATACGACCAGTGGCACGACTTCCTTCACGCAATTCCAGCGTTTCCCTAAGGACACTGTCCGAAGTCTAGAAGAACACCAACTTCAGCAGAGCAACTCGAGGAATGCTGCATGTAACCCACATCGTATGGAGATGAGAGCTGATTTCCTGGCTTAGGCCCAAGACGTATTCCAACTTTCCAGAAGCACCTCAAGAGGAGGCTTCTCTCAGCAACTGGTATGTGGGAGGGACCCTGAATTTGCTGCCTCAATTGGAATATACAGCGAGAAGCCCTATCTTGAAAGGAGGCTGGATTTCCTTGCAGTGGCTTGAATACAGGTTCGTCTTTCATCTCACAACATGAAGGGATGTCTGAATCCCCTGTCGAGAACTTAGAGAAAGTTCTAGGTCCCTGCCTCATTTTGACGGAATGCCTAACATCCATTTGACACCTCGCGAGGCACGCGGAGTTCACTGATTCAAAACGTTACGATGCTTGACTCTTCTTGAACATTGATAGGAATCCCAAAATCCCTGTGGCTACTGGAAAGGGTCCTTGGGTGCCATGCCTCACCTCGAGAAGCGTCCCTTTTACCCTGCGAAGCCGCAAAAAATTCCTGAGGTGTCCCTCGTTACTAGACCGGAGTCCTGGCCTCACTGAATCACCCCGTGTTTTGAAGGGCCATTCCTGCCGTAACTCGAGAACATACCCCAGGTCCCCACCGCAACTCGAGAAAAACCGTGAGACTTCCCCCTAGATGCGAGATGAGGCCCGATTCACCTGCAGTGCATGCAGAGCAATTCCATGATCCCCATCAAACAAGTCAGGAGCTTCGACTTGCTTAATCGATCTCGAGACAGTCCCCAAGAATACTGTCACAAGTCTAGACGGACCCTGAGGTCACCCCAGCAATGCAAAGCAGCTCCACGTGCCCCAAGTCAACTCGAGATGAGGATCGATTCATCTGCATTGACTCCAGAACCATTCCCCATTTCCCATTAAACACGACCATTGGCTCGACTTCCTTCAGGCAACTCCAGAGATGCCCCGAGAACACTGTACCAAGTCTAGAAGAACACCAACCTCAGCACAGCAACTCGAGGAATGCTCCGTGCACCCCACATTGTGTGGAGATGAGAGCTGATTGCCTGGCCTAGGCCCAAGGGGTATGCCAACTTTCCAGAAGCACCTCAAGAGGAGGCTTCTCTCAACAATAGGTATGTGGGAGGGACCCCGAGTTTTCTGCCTTAAATGGAATATACAGAGAGAAGCCCTAACTAGAAAGGAGCCCCGATTTCCTAGCAGTGGCGTGAATGCAGGATCGTCTTTCATCTCACAACATGAAGGGGTATTTGAATCCCCTGTCGAGACCTTAGAGAAAGATCTAGGTCCCTGCCTCATTTTGACGGAATGCCTCATATCCCTTTGACACATCGAGAGGCACTCAGAGATCACTGCTCCAAAGGGTGACGATGCATGGCTCCTCTTGAACAATGTTAGGAATCCCAATATCTCTGTGGCTAATGGAAAGTGTCCTTGGTGCCCTGGCTCACCTCGAGAAGCGTCCCTTTTGCCCTGCCAAGCCTCAAAGAGATTCCTGAGGTGTCCCTCGTTACTAGACAGGAGTCCTGACGTCACTGAATAAACACGTGTTTTGAAGGGCCATCCCCTCCGTAACTCGAGAACATACACCAGGTCCCGGCCGCAAGTCGAGAAAAACAGGAGACTTCCCCCAAGATGCGAGATGAGGCCCGATTCCCCTGCAGTGCATGCAGAACAATTCCGTGATCATCATCAAACATGTAAGGAGCTGCGACTAGATTAATGGATCTCGAGACAGTGCCCAAGAACACTGTCACAAGTCTAGACGGACCCTGAGGTCAGCCCAGTAAAGCATAGCAGCTTCATGTGCAGCAAATCAACTCGAGATGAGGCCCGATTCCCCTGCATTGAATCCAGAGCCATCCCCCTTTCCCCATTAATCACGACCAGTGGTTTGACTTCCTTCAGGCAACTCCAGAGATTCCCTGAGAACACTGTCACAAGTCTAGAAGAACACCAACTTCAGCAAAGCAACTCGAGGAATGTTCCCTGTACCCCTAATCGTCTCGAGATGAGAGCTGATTCCCTGGCTTAGGCCCAAGACGTATGCCAACTTGCCAGAAACACCGAAAGAGGAGGCTTCTCTCAGTGATAAGTATGTGGGAGGGACCCCGAGTTTGCTGCCTCAAGTGGAATATACAGCGAGAAGCCCTAACTTGATAGGAGGACGGATTTCCTTGCAGTGGCTTGAATATAGGCTAGTCTTTCATCTCACAACATGAAGGGATGTCTGAATCCCCTGTCGACACCTTAGAGAAAGATCTAGGTCCCTGACTCATTTTGACGGAATGCCTCAAACCCATTTGATACCTCGAGAGACACGCAGAGTTCACTGCTTCAAAAGGTAACGATGCCTGGCTAATCTTGAACATTGTTAGGAATCGCAAAATCACTGTGACTACTGAAAAGGGACCTTGGGTGCCCTGCCTCACCTCGAGAAGCATTCCTTTTACACTGCCAAGCCTCAAAGAGATTCCTGAGGTGTCCCTCGTTACTAGACAGGAGTCCTGACATCACTATATAAAGATGTGTTTTGAAGGGCCATCCCCACCGTAACTCGAGAACAAACCCCAGGTCGCCGCCGAAAATCGAGAAAAACCATGTGACTTCCCCCTAGAGGCGAGATGAGGCCGGATTCCCCTGCATTGCATGCAGAGCCATTCTGTGATCTCCATCAAACATGTAAGGAGCTTCGACTTGGTTAATGGATCTCAAGACAGTCCCCAAGAACACTGTCACAAGTCTAGACGGGCCCTGAGGTCACGCCAGCAATGCAAATCAGCTCCATGTGCCCCAAATCAACTCGAGATGAGGCCAGATTCCCCTTCATTGACTCCAGAGCCAACCCCCGTTACACATTAAATACGGCCAGTGGCTCGACTTCTTTCACACAATTCCAGATATTCCCCAAGGACACTGTCCCAACTCTAGAAGAACACGAACTTCAGCACAGCAACTCGAGGAATGTTCCATGTAACCCTAATCGTCTCGAGATGAGAGCTGATTCCCCGGCTTAGACTCAAAACTTATGCCAACTTTACAGAGACACCGAGAGAGGAGGCTTCCTCAGCAATAGGTATGTGGGAGGGACCCCGAGTTTGCTGCCTCAAGTGGAATATACAGCGAGAAGCCCTAACTTGAATGGAGGCCGGATTTCCTTGCAGTGGCTTGAATACAGGCTCGTCTTTCATCTCAAACATGAAGGGATGTCTGAAACCCCTGTCGAGACCTTAGCAGAGCTCTAGGTCCCCGCCTCATTTGACGGAATGCCTCACATCCATATGGCAGCTCGAGAGGCAGGCGGAGTTCACTGCTTCAAAATGTCACGATGCCTGACTCCTCTTGAAAAATGTTAGGAATCTCAAATCCCTGTGGCTCCTGAAAAGGGTCTTTGGGTGCCCTGCCTCACCTCGAGAAGCGTCCCTTTTGCCCTGCCAAGCCTCAAAATATTCCTGAGGTGTCCCTCATTACTAGACAGGAGTCCTGTTGTCACTGATTAAACACGTGTTTTGAAGGGCCATCCCCGCTGTACCTCGAGAACATACCCCAGGTCGCCGGGGAAAATCGAGAAAAACCATGTGACTTCCCCCTAGAGGCGAGATGAGGCCCGATTCCCCTGCATTGCATCAGAGCCATTCCATGATCTCCATCAAACCTGTAAGGAGCTTCGACTTAGTTAATGGATGTCAAGACAGTCCCCAAAAACACTGTCACAAGTCTAGACGGACCCTGAGGTCACCCCAGCAATGCAAAGCAGCTCCACGTGCCCCAAATCAACTCGAGAAGAGGATTGATTCCCCTGCAATGACTCCAGAGCCATTCCCCATTCCCCATTAAACACGACCATTGGCTCGACTTCCTTCAGGCAACTCCAGAGATTCCCCGAGAACACTGTCCCAAGTCTAGAAGAACACCAACTTCAGCACAGCAACTCGAGGAATGCTCCGTGTACCCCAAACCGTCTCGAGATGAGAGCTGATTCCCTGGCTTAGACTCAACACTTATGCCAACATTCCAGAAACACCGAAAGAGGAGGCTTCCTCAGCAATAGGTATGTGGGAGGGACCCTGAGTTTGCTGCCTCAAGTGGAACATACAGCGAGAAGCCCTAACTTGAAAGGAGGCCGGATTTCCTTACAGTGGCTTGAATACAGGCTCGTCTTTCATCTCACAACATGAAGGGATGTCTGAATCCCCTGTCGAGACCTGAAAGAAAGCTCTAGGTCCCTGCCTCATTGTGACGGAATGCCTCACATTCATTTGGCACCCCGAGAGGCAGGCAGAGTTCACTGCTTCAAAATGTCACGATGCCTGACTCCTCTTGAACAATGTTAGGAATCCCAAAATCCCTGTGGCTCCTGGAAAGTGTCCTTGGTTACCCTGCCTCACCTCGAGAAGCGTCCCTTTTGTAATGCCAAGCCTTGAAGAGATTCCTGAGGTGTCCCTCGTTACTAGACAGGAGTCCTGACGTCACTGAATAAACACGTGTTTTCAAGGGCCATCCCCGCCATAACTCAAGAACGTACACCAGGTCCCCGCCGCAAGTCGAGAAAAACCAGGAGACATCCCCCTAGATGCGAGATGAGGCCCGATTCCCCTGCATTGCATGCAGAACAATTCCGTGACCATCATCAAACATGTAAGGAGCTTTCACTAGATGAATGGATCTCGAGACAGTCCCCAAGAACACTGTCACAAGTCTAGACGGACACTGACGTCACCCCAGCAAAGCAAAGCAGTTTCATGTGCAACAAATCAACTCGAGATGAGGCCCGATTCCCCTGCATTGCTTCCAGAGCCATCCCCCTTTCCCCATTAAACAGGACTAGTGGTTTGACTTCCTTCAGGCAACTCCAGAGATTGCCTGAGAACACTGTCGCAAGTCTAGAAGAACACCAACTTCAGCACAGCAACTCGAGGAATGCTCCATGTACCCCTAATTGTCTCGAGATGAGAGCTGATTCCCTGGCTTAGGCCCAAGACGTATGCCAACTTTCCAGAAACACCGAAAGAGGAGGCTTCTTTCAACAATAGTTATGTGGGAGGGACCCCGAGTTTGCTGCCTCAAATGGAATATACAGTGAGAAGCCCTAACTTGAAAGGAGGCTGGATTTCCTTGCAGTGGTGTGAATACAGGCTCGTCTTTCATGTCACAACATGAAGGGATGTCTGAATCCCCTGTCGAGACGTTAGAGAAAGATCTAGGTCCCTGCCTCATTTTGACGGAATGCCTCACATCCCTTTGACACATCGAGAGGCACTCGGAGATCACTACTTCAAAGGGTGACGATGCATGACTCCTCTTGAACATTGTTAGGAATCCCCAAATCCCTGTGACTACTGGAAAGGGTCCTTGGGTGCCCTGCCTTACCTCGAGAAGCGTTCGTTTTACCCTGCCAAGCCTCAAAGAGATTCCTGACGTGTCCCTCGTTACTGGACAGGAGACGTGACATCACTATATAAACACGTGTTTTGAAGGGCCATCCCCGCCTTAACTCGAGAAGATACCCCAGGTCGCCACCGAAAATCGAGCAAAACCATGTGACTTCCCCCTAGAAGTTGGATGAGGCCCGATTCCGCTGCATTTAATGCAGAGCGATTCTGTGATCTCCATCAAACATGTAAGGAGCTTCGACTTGGTTAATGGATCTCAAGACAGTCCCCAAGAACACTGTCACAAGTCTAGACGGACCCTGAGGTCACCCCAGCAACGCAAAGCAGATCTATGTGCCCCAAATCAACTCGAGATGAGGCCAGATTCCCCTGCATTGACTCCAGAGCCTTCCCCCATCCCCATTAAATAAGACCAGTGGCTCGACTTCCTTCACACAATTCCAGAGATTCCCCAAGGACACTGTCCCAAGTCTAGAAGAACACCAACTTCAGCACAGCAACTCGAGGAATGGTCCGTGTACCCCAGATCGTCTCGAGATGAGAGCAGATTCCCTAGCTTAGACTCAACACTTATGCCATCTTTCCAGACAAACCGAAAGAGTAGGCTTCCTCAGCAATAGGTATGTGGGAGGGACACCGAGTTTGCTGCCGCAAGTCGAATATACAGCGAGAAGCCCTAACTTGAAAGGAGGCCGGATTTCCTTGCAGTGGCGTGAATGCAGGCCTGTCTTTCATCGCACAACATGAAGAGATGTCTGAATCCCCTCTCGAGACCTTAGAGAAAGCTCTAGGTCCCTGCCTCATTTTGACGGAATGCCTCTCATAAATTTGGCACCTCGAGAGGCAGGCGGAGTTCACTGCTTCAAAAGGTGACGATGCCTGACTCCTCTTGAACAATGTTAGGAATCCCAGAATCCCTGTGGCTCCTGGAAAGGGTCCTTGGGTGGCCTGCCTCTCCTCGAGAAGCGTCTCTTTTGCAATGCCAAGCCTCGAAGAGATTCCTGAGGTGTCCCCCGTTACTAGACAGATGTCCTGACGTCACTGAATAAACACATGTTTTAAAGGGGCATCCCCGCCGAAACTCGAGAATATACACCAGGTCCCCGCCTCAACTCGAGAAAAACCAGGAGACTGCCCCCTAGATGCGAGATGAGGCCCGATTCCCCTGCATTGCATGCAGAACAATTCCGTGATCATCATCAAACATGTAAGGACCTTCGACTCGATTAATGGATCTTGAGATAGTCCCCAAGAACACTGTCACAAGTCTAGACGGACCCTGAGGTCACCCCAGCAAAGCAAAGCAGCTGCATGTGCAGCAAATCAACTCGAGATGAGGCCCGATTCCCCTGCATTGATTCAAGAGCCATCCCCCTTTCCCCATTAAACACGACCAGTGGTTTGACTTCCTTCAGGCAACTCCAGAGATTCCCTGAGAACACTGTCCCAAGTCTAGAAGAACACCAACTTCTGCACAGCAACTCGAGGAATGCTCCTTGTACCCCTAATCGTCTTGACATGAGAGCTGATTCCCTGGCTTAGGCTCAAGACGTATGCCAACTTTCCAGAAACACCGAAAGAGGAGGCTTCTCTCAGCAATAGGTATGTGGGAGGAACCCCGAGTTTGCTGCCTCAAATTGAATATACAGCGAGAAGCCCTAACTTGAAAGGAGGCCGGATTTCCTTGCAGTGGCGTGAATACAGGCTCGTCTATCATCTCACAACATGAAGGGATGTCTGACAGCCTGTCGAGACGTTAGAGAAAGATCTAGGTCCCTGCCTCATTTTGACGGAATGCCTCAGATCCCTTTGACACATCGAGAGGAACCCGGAGATCACTACTTCAAAGGGTGATGATGCAAGACTCCTCTTGAACATTGTTAGGAATCCCAGAATACATGTAACTATTGGAAAGGGACCTTGGGTGCCCTGCCTCACTTCGAGAAGCGTCCCTTTTTGCCCTGCCAAGCCTCAAAGAGATTTCTGAGGTGTCCCTCGTTACTAGACAGGAGTCGTGACATCACTATATAAACACGTGTTTTGAAGGGCCATCCCCGCTGAAACTCGAGAACATTCCCCAGGTCGCCGTCGAAAATCGAGAAAAACCATGTGACTTCCCCCTAGAGGCGAGATGAGGCCCGATTCCCCTGCATTGCATGCAGAGCCATTCTGTGATCTCCATCAAACATGTAAGGAGCTTCGACTTGGTTTTTGGATCTCAAGACAGTCCCCAAGAACACTGTCACAAGTCTAGACGGGCCCTGAGGTCACGCCAGCAATGCAAAGCAGCTCCATGTGCCCCAAATCAACTCGAGATGAGGTCAGATTCCCCTTCATTGACTCCAGAGCCAACCCCCGTTACACATTAAATACGGCCAGTGGCTCGACTTCCTTCACACAATTCCAGATATTCCCCAAGGACACTGTCCCAGCTCTAGAAGAACACGAACTTCAGCACAGCAACTCGAGGAATGTTCCGTGTACCCCTAATCGTCTCGAGATGAGAGCTGATTCCCCGGCTTAGACTCAAAACTTATGCCAACTTTCCAGAGACAGCGAGAGAGGAGGCTTCCTCAGCAATAGGTATGTGGGAGGGACCCCGAGTTTGCTGCCTCAAGTGGAATATACAGCGAGAAGTCCTAACTTGAAAGGAGGCCGGATTTCCTTGCAGTGGCTTGAATACAGGCTCGTCTTTCATCTCAAACATGAAGGGATGTCTGAATCCCCTGTCGAGACCTTAGCAGAGCTCTAGGTCCCTGCCTCATTGACGGAATGCCTCACATCCATATGGCAGCTCGAGAGGCAGGCGGAGTTCACTGCCTCAAAATGTCACGATGCCTGACTCCTCTTGAAAAATGTTATGAATCTCAAATCCCTGTGGCTCCTGAAAAGGGTCCTTGGGTGCCCTGCCTCACCTCGAGAAGCGTCCCTTTTGCCCTGCCAAGCCTCAAAATATTCCTGAGGTGTCCCTCATTACTAGACAGGAGTCCTGTTGTCACTGAATAAACACGTGTTTTGAAGGGCCATCCCCGCTGTACCTCGAGAACATACCCCAGGTCGCCGCGGAAAATCGAGAAAAACCATGTGACTTCCCCCTAGAGGCAAGATGAGGCCCAATTCCCCTGCATTGCATCAGAGCCATTCCATGATCTCCATCAAACCTGTAAGGAGCTTCGACTTAGTTAATGGATCTCAAGACAGTCCCCAAGAACACTGTCACAAGTCTAGACGGACCCTGAGGTCACCCCAGCAATGCAAAGCAGCTCCACGTGCCCCAAATCAACTCGAGAAGAGGATTGATTCACCTGCAAGGCCTCCAGAGCCATTCCCCATTCCCCATTAAACACGACCATTGGCTCGAGTTCCTTCAGGCAACTCCAGAGATTCCCCGAGAACACTGTCCCAAGTCTAGAAGAACACCAACTTCAGCACAGCAACTCGAGGAATGCTCCGTGTACCCCAAATTGTCTCGAGATGAGAGCTGATTCCCTGGCTTAGACTCAACACTTATGCCAACATTCCAGAAACACCGAAAGAGGAGGCTTCCTCAGCAATAGGTATGTGGGAGGGACCCCGAGTTTGCTGCCTCAAGTGGAATATACAGCGAGAAGCCCTAACTTGAAAGGAGGCCGGATTTCCTTGCAGTGGTGTGAATACAGGCTCGTCTTTCATGTCACAACATGAAGGGATGTCTGAATCCCCTGTCGAGACGTTAGAGAAAGATCTAGGTCCCTGCCTCATTTTGACGGAATGCCTCACATCCCTTTGACACATCGAGAGGCACTCGAAGATCACTACTTCAAAGGGTGACGATGCATGACTCCTCTTGAACATTGTTAGGAATCCCCAAATCCCTGTGACTACTGGAAAGGGTCCTTGGGTGCCCTGCCTTACCTCGAGAAGCGTTCGTTTTACCCTGCCAAGACTCAAAGAGATTCCTGACGTGTCCCTCGTTACTGGACAGGAGACGTGACATCACTATATAAACACGTGTTTTGAAGGGCCATCCCCGCCTTAACTCGAGAAGATACCCCAGGTCGCCACCGAAGATCGAGCAAAACCATGTGACTTCCCCCTAGAAGTTGGATGAGGCCCGATTCCGCTGCATTTCATGCAGAGCGATTCTGTGATCTCCATCAAACATGTAAGGAGCTTCGACTTGGTTAATGGATCTCAAGACAGTCCCCAAGAACACTGTCACAAGTCTAGACGGTCACTGAGGTCACCCCAGCAACGCAAAGCAGCTCTATGTGCCCCAAATCAACTCGAGATGAGGCCAGATTCCCCTGCATTGACTCCAGAGCCTTCCCCCATCCCCATTAAATAAGACCAGTGGCTCGACTTCCTTCACACAATTCCAGAGATTCCCCAAGGACACTGTCCCAAGTCTAGAAGAACACCAACTTCAGCACAGCAACTCGAGGAATGGTCCGTGTACCCCAGATCGTCTCGAGATGAGAGCAGATTCCCTAGCTTAGACTCAACACTTATGCCATCTTTCCAGACAAACCGAAAGAGTAGGCTTCCTCAGCAATAGGTATGTGGGAGGGACACCGAGTTTGCTGCCGCAAGTGGAATATACAGCGAGAAGCCCTAACTTGAAAGGAGGCCGGATTTCCTTGCAGTGGCGTGAATGCAGGCCTGTCTTTCATCTCACAACATGAAGAGATGTCTGAATCCCCTCTCGAGACCTTAGAGAAAGCTCTAGGTCCCTGCTTCATTTTGACGGAATGCCTCTCATAAATTTGGCACCTCGAGAGGCAGGCGGAGTTCACTGCTTCAAAAGGTGACGATGCCTGACTCCTCTTGAACAATGTTAGGAATCCCAGAATCCCTGTGGCTCCTGGAAAGGGTCCTTGGGTGGCCTGCCTCTCCTCGAGAAGCATCTCTTTTGCAATGCCAAGCCTCGAAGAGATTCCTGAGGTGTCCCCCGTTACTAGACAGATGTCCTGACGTCACTGAATAAACACATGTTTTAAAGGGGCATCCCCGCCGAAACTCGAGAATATACACCAGGTCCCCGCCTCAACTCGAGAAAAACCAGGAGACTGCCCCCTAGATGCGAGATGAGGCCCGATTCCCCTGCATTGCATGCAGAACAATTCCGTGATCATCATCAAACATGTAAGGACCTTCGACTCGATTAATGGATCTTGAGATAGTCCCCAAGAACACTGTCACAAGTCTAGACGGACCCTGAGGTCACCCCAGCAAAGCAAAGCAGCTGCATGTGCAGCAAATCAACTCGAGATGAGGCCCGATTCCCCTGCATTGATTCAAGAGCCATCCCCCTTTCCCCATTAAACACGACCAGTGGTTTGACTTCCTTCAGGCAACTCCAGAGATTCCCTGAGAACACTGTCCCAAGTCTAGAAGAACACCAACTTCTGCACAGCAACTCGAGGAATGCTCCTTGTACCCCTAATCGTCTTGACATGAGAGCTGATTCCCTGGCTTAGGCTCAAGACGTATGCCAACTTTCCAGAAACACCGAAAGAGGAGGCTTCTCTCAGCAATAGGTATGTGGGAGGAACCCCGAGTTTGCTGCCTCAAATTGAATATACAGCGAGAAGCCCTAACTTGAAAGGAGGCCGGATTTCCTTGCAGTGGCGTGAATACAGGCTCGTCTATCATCTCACAACATGAAGGGATGTCTGATACCCTGTCGAGACGTTAGAGAAAGATCTAGGTCCCTGCCTCATTTTGACGGAATGCCTCAGATCCCTTTGACACATCGAGAGGAACCCGGAGATCACTACTTCAAAGGGTGATGATGCAAGACTCCTCTTGAACATTGTTAGGAATCCCAAAATACATGTAACTATTGGAAAGGGACCTTGGGTGCCCTGCCTCACTTCGAGAAGCGTCCCTTTTTGCCCTGCCAAGCCTCAAAGAGATTTCTGAGGTGTCCCTCGTTACTAGACAGGAGTCGTGACATCACTATATAAACACGTGTTTTGAAGGGCCATCCCCGCTGAAACTCGAGAACATTCCCTAGGTCGCCGCCGAAAATCGAGAAAAACCATGTGACTTCCCCCTAGAGGCGAGATGAGGCCCGATTCCCCTGCATTGCATGCAGAGCCATTCTGTGATCTCCATCAAACATGTAAGGAGCTTCGACTTGGTTTTTGGATCTCAAGACAGTCCCCAAGAACACTGTCACAAGTCTAGACGGGCCCTGAGGTCACGCCAGCAATGCAAAGCAGCTCCATGTGCCCCAAATCAACTCGACATGAGGTCAGATTCCCCTTCATTGACTCCAGAGCCAACCCCCGTTACACATTAAATACGGCCAGTGGCTCGACTTCCTTCACACAATTCCAGATATTCCCCAAGGACACTGTCCCAACTCTAGAAGAACACGAACTTCAGCACAGCAACTCGAGGAATGTTCCGTGTACCCCTAATCGTCTCGAGATGAGAGCTGATTCCCCGGCTTAGACTCAAAACTTATGCCAACTTTCCAGAGACAGCGAGAGAGGAGGCTTCCTCAGCAATAGGTATGTGGGAGGGACCCCGAGTTTGCTGCCTCAAGTGGAATATACAGCGAGAAGCCCTAACTTGAAAGGAGGCCGGATTTCCTTGCAGTGGCTTGAATACAGGATCGTCTTTCATCTCAAACATGAAGGGATGTCTGAATCCCCTGTCGAGACCTTAGCAGAGCTCTAGGTCCCTGCCTCATTGACGGAATGCCTCACATCCATATGGCAGCTCGAGAGGCAGGCGGAGTTCACTGCCTCAAAATGTCACGATGCCTGACTCCTCTTGAAAAATGTTATGAATCTCAAATCCCTGTGGCTCCTGAAAAGGGTCCTTGGGTGCCCTGCCTCACCTCGAGAAGCGTCCCTTTTGCCCTGCCAAGCCTCAAAATATTCCTGAGGTGTCCCTCATTACTAGACAGGAGTCCTGTTGTCACTGAATAAACACGTGTTTTGAAGGGCCATCCCCGCTGTACCTCGAGAACATACCCCAGGTCGCCGCGGAAAATCGAGAAAAACCATGTGACTTCCCCCTAGAGGCGAGATGAGGCCCAATTCCCCTGCATTGCATCAGAGCCATTCCATGATCTCCATCAAACCTGTAAGGAGCTTCGACTTAGTTAATGGATCTCAAGACAGTCCCCAAGAACACTGTCACAAGTCTAGACGGACCCTGAGGTCACCCCCGCAATGCAAAGCAGCTCCACGTGCCCCAAATCAACTCGAGAAGAGGATTGATTCACCTGCAATGATTCCAGAGCCATTCCCCATTCCGCATTAAACACGACCATTGGCTCGACTTCCTTCAGGCAACTCCAGAGATTCCCCGAGAACACTGTCCCAAGTCTACAAGAACACCAACTTCAGCACAGCAACTCGAGGAATGCTCCGTGTACCCCAAATTGTCTCGAGATGAGAGCTGATTCCCTGGCTTAGACTCAACACTTATGCCAACATTCCAGAAACACCGAAAGAGGAGGCTTCCTCAGCAATAGGTATGTGGGAGGGACCCCGAGTTTGCTGCCTCAAGTGGAATATACAGCGAGAAGCCCTAACTTGAAAGGAGGCCAGATTTCCTTGCAGTGGCTTGAATACAGGCTCATCTTTCATCTCACAACATGAAGGGATGTCTGAATCCCCTGTCGAGACCTTAAAGAAAGCTCTAGGTCCCTGCCTCATTGTGACTGAATGCCTCACATTCATTTGGCACCTCGAGAGGCAGGCAGAGTTCAGTGCTTCAAAATGTCACGATGCCTGACTCCTCTTGAACAATGTTAGGAATCCCCAAATCCCTGTGGCTCCTGGAAAGTGTCCTTGGTTACCCTGCCTCACCTCGAGAAGCGTCCCTTTTGTAATGCCAAGCCTTGAAGAGATTCCTGAGGTGTCCCTCGTTACTAGACAGGAGTCCTGACGTCACTGAATAAACACATGTTTTCAAGGGCCATCCCTGCCGTAACTCAAGAACATACACCAGGTCCCCGCCGCAAGTCGAGCAAAACCAGGAGACATCCCCCTAGATGCGAGATGAGGCCCGATTCCCCTGCATTGCATGCAGAACAATTCCGTGACCATCATCAAACATGTAAGGAGCTTTCACTAGATGAATGGATCTAGAGACAGTCCCCAAGAACACTGTCACAAGTCTAGACGGACACTGACGTCACCCCAGCAAAGCAAAGCAGTTTCATGTGCAACAAATCAACTCGAGATGAGGCCCGATTCCCCTGCATTGCTTCCAGAGCCATCCCCCTTTCCCCATTAAACAGGACTAGTGGTTTGACTTCCTTCAGGCAACTCCAGAGATTGCCTGAGAACACTGTCGCAAGTCTAGAAGAACACCAACTTCAGCACAGGAACTCGAGGAATGCTCCATGTACCCCTAATTGTCTCGAGATGAGAGCTGATTCTCTGGCTTAGGCCCAAGACGTATGCCAACTTTCCAGAAACACCGAAAGAGGAGGCTTCTTTCAACAATAGTTATGTGGGAGAGACCCCGAGTTTGCTGCCTCAAATGGAATATACAGCGAGAAGCCCTAACTCGAAAGGAGGCCGGATTTCCTTGCAGTGGCGTGAATACAGGCTCGTCTATCATCTCACAACATGAAGGGATGTCTGAATCCCCTGTCGAGACGTTAGAGAAAGATCTAGGTCCCTGCCTCATTTTGACGGAATGCCTCACATCCCTTTGACATATCGAGAGGAACCCGGAGATCACTACTTCAAAGAGTGACGATGCAAGACTCCTCTTGAACATTGTTAGGAATCCCAGAATACATGTAACTATTGGAAAGGGACCTTGGGTGCCCTGCCTCACCTCGAGAAGCGTCCCTTTTTGCCCTGCCAAGCCTCAAAGAGATTCCTGAGGTGTCCCTCGTTACTAGACAGGAGTCCTGACGTCACTGAATAAACACGTGTTTTGAAGGGCCATCCCCACCGTAACTCAAGAACATACACCAGGTCCCCGCCGCAAGTCGAGAAAAACCAGGAGACATCCCCCTAGGTGCGAGATGAGGCCCGATTCCCCTGCATTGCATGCAGAACAATTCCGTGACCATCATCAAACATGTAAGGAGCTTTCACTAGATGAATGGATCTCGAGACAGTCACCAAGAACACTGTCACAAGTCTAGACGGACACTGACGTCACCCCAGCAAAACAAAGCAGTTTCATGTGCAACAAATCAACTCGATATGAGGCCCGATTCCCCTGCATTGCTTCCAGAGCCATCCCCCTTTCCCCATTAAACAGGACTAGTGGTTTGACTTCCTTCAGGCAACTCCAGAGATTGCCTGAGAACACTGTCGCAAGTCTAGAAGAACACCAACTTCAGCACAGCAACTCGAGGAATGCTCCGTGTACCCCTAATTGTCTCGAGATGAGAGCTGATTCCCTGGCTTAGGCCCAAGACGTATGCCAACTTTCCAGAAACACCGAAAGAGGAGGCTTCTTTCAACAATAGTTATGTGGGAGGGACCCCGAGTTTGCTGCCTCAAATGGAATATACAGTGAGAAGCCCTAACTTGAAAGGAGGCCGGATTTCCTTGCAGTGGTGTGAATACAGGCTCGTCTTTCATGTCACAACATGAAGGGATGTCTGAATCCCCTGTCGAGACGTTAGAGAAAGATCTAGGTCCCTGCCTCATTTTGACGGAATGCCTCACATCCCTTTGACACATCGAGAGGCACTCGGAGATCACTACTTCAAAGGGTGACGATGCATGACTCCTCTTGAACATTGTTAGGAATCCCCAAATCCCTGTGACTACTGGAAAGGGTCCTTGGGTGCCCTGCCTTACCTCGAGAAGCGTTCGTTTTACCCTGCCAAGCCTCAAAGAGATTCCTGACGTGTCCCTCGTTACTGGACAGGAGACGTGACATCACTATATAAACACGTGTTTTGAAGGGCCATCCCCGCCTTAACTCGAGAAGATACCCCAGGTCACCACCGAAAATCGAGCAAAACCATGTGACTTCCCCCTAGAAGTTGGATGAGGCCCGATTCCGCTGCATTTAATGCAGAGCGATTCTGTGATCTCCATCAAACATGTAAGGAGCTTCGACTTGGTTAATGGATCTCAAGACAGTCCCCAAGAACACTGTCACAAGTCTAGACGGACCCTGAGGTCACCCCAGCAACGCAAAGCAGATCTATGTGCCCCAAATCAACTCGAGATGAGGCCAGATTCCCCTGCATTGACTCCAGAGCCTTCCCCCATCCCCATTAAATAAGACCAGTGGCTCGACTTCCTTCACACAATTCCAGAGATTCCCCAAGGACACTGTCCCAAGTCTAGAAGAACACCAACTTCAGCACAGCAACTCGAGGAATGGTCCGTGTACCCCAGATCGTCTAGAGATGAGAGCAGATTCCCTAGCTTAGACTCAACACTTATGCCATCTTTCCAGACAAACCGAAAGAGTAGGCTTCCTCAGCAATAGGTATGTGGGAGGGACACCGAGTTTGCTGCCGCAAGTCGAATATACAGCGAGAAGCCCTAACTTGAAAGGAGGCCGGATTTCCTTGCAGTGGCGTGAATGCAGGCCTGTCTTTCATCGCACAACATGAAGAGATGTCTGAATCCCCTCTCGAGACCTTAGAGAAAGCTCTAGGTCCCTGCCTCATTTTGACGGAATGCCTCTCATAAATTTGGCACCTCGAGAGGCAGGCGGAGTTCACTGCTTCAAAAGGTGACGATGCCTGACTCCTCTTGAACAATGTTAGGAATCCCAGAATCCCTGTGGCTCCTGGAAAGGGTCCTTGGGTGGCCTGCCTCTCCTCGAGAAGCGTCTCTTTTGCAATGCCAAGCCTCGAAGAGATTCCTGAGGTGTCCCCCGTTACTAGACAGATGTCCTGACGTCACTGAATAAACACATGTTTTAAAGGGGCATCCCCGCCGAAACTCGAGAATATACACCAGGTCCCCGCCTCAACTCGAGAAAAACCAGGAGACTGCCCCCTAGATGCGAGATGAGGCCCGATTCCCCTGCATTGCATGCAGAACAATTCCGTGATCATCATCAAACATGTAAGGACCTTCGACTCGATTAATGGATCTTGAGATAGTCCCCAAGAACACTGTCACAAGTCTAGACGGACCCTGAGGTCACCACAGCAAAGAAAAGCAGCTGCATGTGCAGCAAATCAACTCGAGATGAGGCCCGATTCCCCTGCATTGATTCAAGAGCCATCCCGCTTTCCCCATTAAACACGACCAGTGGTTTGACTTCCTTCAGGCAACTCCAGAGATTCCCTGAGAACACTGTCCCAAGTCTAGAAGAACACCAACTTCTGCACAGCAACTCGAGGAATGCTCCTTGTACCCCTAATCGTCTTGACATGAGAGCTGATTCCCTGGCTTAGGCTCAAGACGTATGCCAACTTTCCAGAAACACCGAAAGAGGAGGCTTCTCTCAGCAATAGGTATGTGGGAGGAACCCCGAGTTTGCTGCCTCAAATTGAATATACAGCGAGAAGCCCTAACTTGAAAGGAGGCCGGATTTCCTTGCAGTGGCGTGAATACAGGCTCGTCTATCATCTCACAACATGAAGGGATGTCTGATACCCTGTCGAGACGTTAGAGAAAGATCTAGGTCCCTGCCTCATTTTGACGGAATGCCTCAGATCCCTTTGACACATCGAGAGGAACCCGGAGATCACTATTTCAAAGGGTGATGATGCAAGACTCCTCTTGAACATTGTTAGGAATCCCAAAATACATGTAACTATTGGAAAGGGACCTAGGGTGCCCTGCCTCACTTCGAGAAGCGTCCCTTTTTGCCCTGCCAAGCCTCAAAGAGATTTCTGAGGTGTCCCTCGTTACTAGACAGGAGTCGTGACATCACTATATAAACACGTGTTTTGAAGGGTCATCCCCGCTGAAACTCGAGAACATTCCCCAGGTCGCCGCCGAAAATCGAGAAAAACCATGTGACTTCCCCCTAGAGGCGAGATGAGGCCCGATTCCCCTGCATTGCATGCAGAGCCATTCTGTGATCTCCATCAAACATGTAAGGAGCTTTGACTTGGTTTTTGGATCTCAAGACAGTCCCCAAGAACACTGTCACAAGTCTAGACGGGCCCTGAGGTCACGCCAGCAATGCAAAGCAGCTCCATGTGCCCCAAATCAACTCGACATGAGGTCAGATTCCCCTTCATTGACTCCAGAGCCAACCCCCGTTTCACATTAAATACGGCCAGTGGCTCGACTTCCTTCACACAATTCCAGATATTCCCCAAGGACACTGTCCCAGCTCTAGAAGAACACGAACTTCAGCACAGCAACTCGAGGAATGTTCCGTGTACCCCTAATCGTCTCGAGATGAGAGCTGATTCCCCGGCTTAGACTCAAAACTTATGCCAACTTTCCAGAGACAGCGAGAGAGGAGGCTTCCTCAGCAATAGGTATGTGGGAGGGACCCCGAGTTTGCTGCCTCAAGTGGAATATACAGCGAGAAGCCCTAACTTGAAAGGAGGCCGGATTTCCTTGCAGTGGCTTGAATACAGGCTCGTCTTTCATCTCAAACATGAAGGGATGTCTGAATCCCCTGTCGAGACCTTAGCAGAGCTCTAGGTCCCTGCCTCATTGACGGAATGCCTCACATCCATATGGCAGCTCGAGAGGCAGGCGGAGTTCACTGCCTCAAAATGTCACGATGCCTGACTCCTCTTGAAAAATGTTATGAATCTCAAATCCCTGTGGCTCCTGAAAAGGGTCCTTGGGTGCCCTGCCTCACCTCGAGAAGCGTCCCTTTTGCCCTGCCAAGCCTCAAAATATTCCTGAGGTGTCCCTCATTACTAGACAGGAGTCCTGTTGTCACTGAATAAACACGTGTTTTGAAGGGCCATCCCCGCTGTACCTCGAGAACATACCCCAGGTCGCCGCGGAAAATCGAGAAAAACCATGTGACTTCCCCCTAGAGGCGAGATGAGGCCCAATTCCCCTGCATTGCATCAGAGCCATTCCATGATCTCCATCAAACCTGTAAGGAGCTTCGACTTAGTTAATGGATCTCAAGACAGTCCCCAAGAACACTGTCACAAGTCTAGACGGACCCTGAGGTCACCCCAGCAATGCAAAGCAGCTCCACGTGCCCCAAATCAACTCGAGAAGAGGATTGATTCACCTGCAATGATTCCAGAGCCATTCCCCATTCCCCATTAAACACGACCATTGGCTCGACTTCCTTCAGGCAACTCCAGAGATTCCCCGAGAACACTGTCCCAAGTCTAGAAGAACACCAACTTCAGCACAGCAACTCGAGGAATGCTCCGTGTACCCCAAATTGTCTCGAGATGAGAGCTGATTCCCTGGCTTAGACTCAACACTTATGCCAACATTCCAGAAACACCGAAAGAGGAGGCTTCCTCAGCAATAGGTATGTGGGAGGGACCCCGAGTTTGCTGCCTCAAGTGGAATATACAGCGAGAAGCCCTAACTTGAAAGGAGGCCAGATTTCCTTGCAGTGGCTTGAATACAGGCTCGTCTTTCATCTCACAACATGAAGGGATGTCTGAATCCCCTGTCGAGACCTTAAAGAAAGCTCTAGGTCCCTGCCTCATTGTGACGGAATGCCTCACATTCATTTGGCACCTCGAGAGGCAGGCAGAGTTCAGTGCTTCAAAATGTCACGATGCCTGACTCCTCTTGAACAATGTTAGGAATCCCCAAATCCCTGTGGCTCCTGGAAAGTGTCCTTGGTTACCCTGCCTCACCTCGAGAAGCGTCCCTTTTGTAATGCCAAGCCTTGAAGAGATTCCTGAGGTGTCCCTCGTTACTAGACAGGAGTCCTGACGTCACTGAATAAACACATGTTTTCAAGGGCCATCCCTGCCGTAACTCAAGAACATACACCAGGTCCCCGCCGCAAGTCGAGAAAAACCAGGAGACATCCCCCTAGATGCGAGATGAGGCCCGATTCCCCTGCATTGCATGCAGAACAATTCCGTGACCATCATCAAACATGTAAGGAGCTTTCACTAGATGAATGGATCTCGAGACAGTCCCCAAGAACACTGTCACAAGTCTAGACGGACACTGACGTCACCCCAGCAAAGCAAAGCAGTTTCATGTGCAACAAATCAACTCGAGATGAGGCCCGATTCCCCTGCATTGCTTCCAGAGCCATCCCCCTTTCCCCATTAAACAGGACTAGTGGTTTGACTTCCTTCAGGCAACTCCAGAGATTGCCTGAGAACACTGTCGCAAGTCTAGAAGAACACCAACTTCAGCACAGGAACTCGAGGAATGCTCCATGTACTCCTAATTGTCTCGAGATGAGAGCTGATTCCCTGGCTTAGGCCCAAGACGTATGCCAACTTTCCAGAAACACCGAAAGAGGAGGCTTCTTTCAACAATAGTTATGTGGGAGAGACCCCGAGTTTGCTGCCTCAAATTGAATATACAGCGAGAAGCCCTAACTTGAAAGGAGGCCGGATTTCCTTGCAGTGGCGTGAATACAGGCTCGTCTATCATCTCACAACATGAAGGGATGTCTGAATCCCCTGTCGAGACGTTAGAGAAAGATCTAGGTCCCTGCCTCATTTTGACGAATGCCTCACATCCCTTTGACATATCGAGAGGAACCCGGAGATCACTACTTCAAAGAGTGACGATGCAAGACTCCTCTTGAACATTGTTAGGAATCCCAGAATACATGTAACTATTGGAAAGGGACCTTGGGTGCCCTGCCTCACCTCGAGAAGCGTCCCTTTTTGCCCTGCCAAGCCTCAAAGAGATTCCTGAGGTGTCCCTCGTTACTAGACAGGAGTCCTGACGTCACTGAATAAACACGTGTTTTGAAGGGCCATCCCCACCGTAACTCAAGAACATGCACCAGGTCCCCGCCGCAAGTCGAGAAAAACCAGGAGACATCCCCCTAGATGCGAGATGAGGCCCGATTCCCCTGCATTGCATGCAGAACAATTCCGTGACCATCATCAAACATGTAAGGAGCTTTCACTAGATGAATGGATCTCGAGACAGTCACCAAGAACACTGTCACAAGTCTAGACGGACACTGACATCACCCCAGCAAAACAAAGCAGTTTCATGTGCAACAAATCAACTCGAGATGAGGCCCGATTCCCCTGCATTGCTTCCAGAGCCATCCCCCTTTCCCCATTAAACAGGACTAGTGGTTTGACTTCCTTCAGGCAACTCCAGAGATTGCCTGAGAACACTGTCGCAAGTCTAGAAGAACACCAACTTCAGCACAGGAACTCGAGGAATGCTCCATGTACCCCTAATTGTCTCGAGATGAGAGCTGATTCCCTGGCTTAGGCCCAAGACGTATGCCAACTTTCCAGAAACACCGAAAGAGGAGGCTTCTTTCAACAATAGTTATGTGGGAGGGACCCCGAGTTTGCTGCCTCAAATGGAATATACAGTGAGAAGCCCTAACTTGAAAGGAGGCCGGATTTCCTTGCAGTGGTGTGAATACAGGCTCGTCTTTCATGTCACAACATGAAGGGATGTCTGAATCCCCTGTCGAGACGTTAGAGAAAGATCTAGGTCCCTGCCTCATTTTGACGGAATGCCTCACATCCCTTTGACACATCGAGAGGCACTCGGAGATCACTACTTCCAAGGGTGACGATGCATGACTCCTCTTGAACATTGTTAGGAATCCCCAAATCCCTGTGACTACTGGAAAGGGTCCTTGGGTGCCCTGCCTTACCTCGAGAAGCATTCATTTTATCCTGCCAAGCCTCAAAGAGATTCCTGACGTGTCCCTCGTTACTGGACAGGAGACGTGACATCACTATATAAACACGTGTTTTGAAGGGCCATGCCCGCCGTAATTCGAGAACATACCCCAGGTCGCCACCGAAAATCGAGAAAAACCATGTGACTTCCCCCTAGAGGTTGGATGAGGCCCGATTCCAGTGCATTGCATGCAGAGCGATTCTGTGATCTCCATCAAACATGTAAGGAGCTTCGACTTGGTTAATGGATCTCAAGACAGTCTCCAAGAACACTGTCACAAGTCTAGACGGACCCTGAGGTCACCCCAGCAAAGCAAAGCAGCTCCATGTGCCCCAAATCAACTCGCGATGAGGCCAGATTCCCCTGCATTGACTCCAGAGCCTTCCCCCATTCCCCATTAAACACGACCAGTGGCTCGACTTCCTTCACACAATTCCAGAGATTCCCCAAGTACACTGTCCCAAGTCTAGAAGAACACCAACGTCAGCACAGCAACTCGAGGAATGGTCCATGTACCCCAGATCGTCTCGAGATGAGAGCAGATTCCCTAGCTTAGACTCAACACTTATGCTATCTTTCCAGACACACCGAAAGAGTAGGCTTCCTCAGCAATAGGCATGTGGCAGGGACCCCGAGTTTGCTGCCTCAAGTGGAATATACAGCGAGAAGCCCTAACTTGAAAGGAGGCCGGATTTCCTTGCAGTGGCGTGAATGCAGGCCTGTCTTTCATCTCACAACATGAAGAGATGTCTGAATCCCCTGTTGAGACCTTAGAGAAAGATCTAGGTCCCTGCCTCATTTTGACGGAATGCCTCTCATAAATTTGGCACCTCGAGAGGCAGGCGGAGTTCACTGCTTCAAAAGTTGACGATGCCTGACTCTCTTGAACAATGTTAGGAATCCCAGAATCCCTGTGGCTCCTGGAAAGGGTCCTTGGGTGGCCTGCCTCTCCTCGAGAAGCGTCTCTTTTGAATGCCAAGCCTCGAAGAGATTCCTGAGGTGTCCCCCGTTACTAGACAGATGTCCTGACGTCACTGAATAAACACATGTTTTAAAGGGGCATCCCCGCCGAAACTCGAGAATATACACCAGGTCCCCACCTCAACTCGAGATAAACCAGGAGACTGCCCCCTAGATGCGAGATTAGGCCCGATTCCCCTGCACTGCATGCAGATCAATTCCGTGATCATCATCAAACATGTAAGGACCTTCGACTCGATTAATGGATCTTGAGATAGTCCCCAAGAACACTCTCACAAGTCTAGACGGACCCTGAGGTCACCCCAGCAAAGCAAAGCAGCTGCATGTGCAGCAAATCAACTCGAGATGAGGCCCGATTCCTCTGCATTGATTCAAGAGCCATCCCCCTTTCCCCATTAAACACGACCAGTGGTTTGACTTCCTTCAGGCAACTCCGGAGATTCCCTGAGAACACTGTCCCAAGTCTAGAAGAACACCAACTTCTGCACAGCAACTCGAGGAATGCTCCTTGTACCCCTAATCGTCTTGACATGAGAGCTGATTCCCTGGCTTAGGCTCAAGACGTATGCCAACTTTCCAGAAACACCGAAAGAGGAGGCTTCTCTCAGCGATAGGTATGTGGGAGGAACCCCGAGTTTGCTGCCTGAAATTGAATATACTGCAAGAAGCCCTAACTTGAAAGGAGGCCGGATTTCCTTGCAGTGGCGTGAATACAAGCTCGTCTATCATCTCACAACATGAAGGGATGTCTGAATCCCCTGTCGAGACGTTAGAGAAAGATCTAGGTCCCTGCCTCATTTTGACGGAATGTCTCACATCCCTTTGACACATCGAGAGAAACCCGGAGATCACTACTTCAAAGGGTGACGATGCAAGACTCCTCTTGAACATTGTTAGGAATCCCAGAATACATGTAACTATTGGAAAGGGACCTTGGGTGCCCTGCCTCACCTCGAGAAGCGTCCCTTTTTGCCCTGCCAAGCCTCAAAGAGATTCCTGAGGTGTCCCTCGTTACTAGACAGGAGTCCTGACATCACTATATAAACACGTGTTTTGAAGGGCCATCCCCACTGAAACTCGAGAACATTCCCCAGGTCGCCGCCGAAAATCGAGAAAAACCATGTGACTTCCCCCTAGAGGCGAGATGAGGCCCGATTCCCCTGCATTGCATGCAGAGCCATTCCGAGATCCCCATCAAACATGTAAGGAGCTTCGCCTTGGTTAATGGATCTCAAGACAGTCTCCTAGAACACTGTCACAAGTCTAGACGGACCCTGAGGTCACACCAGCAACGCAAAGCAGCTCCATGTGCCCCAAATCAACTCGATTTGAGGCCAGATTCCCCTGCATTGACTCCAGAGCCATCCCCCGTTCCACATTAAATACGACCAGTGGCACGACTTCCTTCACGCAATTCCAGCGTTTCCCTAAGGACACTGTCCGAAGTCTAGAAGAACACCAACTTCAGCAGAGCAACTCGAGGAATGCTGCATGTAACCCACATCGTATGGAGATGAGAGCTGATTTCCTGGCTTAGGCCCAAGACGTATTCCAACTTTCGAGAAGCACCTCAAGAGGAGGCTTCTCTCAGCAACTGGTATGTGGGAGGGACCCTGAATTTGCTGCCTCAAGTGGAATATACAGCGAGAAGCCCTATCTTGAAAGGAGGCTGGATTTCCTTGCAGTGGCTTGAATACAGGTTCGTCTTTCATCTCACAACATGAAGGGATGTCTGAATCCCCTGTCGAGAACTTAGAGAAAGTTCTAGGTCCCTGCCTCATTTTGACGGAATGCCTAACATCCATTTGACACCTCGCGAGGCACGCGGAGTTCACTGATTCAAAACGTTACGATGCTTGACTCTTCTTGAACATTGATAGGAATCCCAAAATCCCTGTGGCTACTGGAAAGGGTCCTTGGGTGCCATGCCTCACCTCGAGAAGCGTCCCTTTTACCCTGCCAAGCCGCAAAAAATTCCTGAGGTGTCCCTCGTTACTAGACCGGAGTCCTGGCCTCACTGAATCACCCCGTGTTTTGAAGGGCCATTCCTGCCGTAACTCGAGAACATACCCCAGGTCCCCACCGCAACTCGAGAAAAACCGTGAGACTTCCCCCTAGATGCGAGATGAGGCCCGATTCACCTGCAGTGCATGCAGAGCAATTCCATGATCCCCATCAAACAAGTCAGGAGCTTCGACTTGCTTAATCGATCTCGAGACAGTCCCCAAGAATACTGTCACAAGTCTAGACGGACCCTGAGGTCACCCCAGCAATGCAAAGCAGCTCCACGTGCCCCAAGTCAACTCGAGATGAGGATCGATTCATCTGCATTGACTCCAGAACCATTCCCCATTTCCCATTAAACACGACCATTGGCTCGACTTCCTTCAGGCAACTCCAGAGATGCCCCGAGAACACTGTACCAAGTCTAGAAGAACACCAACCTCAGCACAGCAACTCGAGGAATGCTCCGTGCACCCCACATTGTGTGGAGATGAGAGCTGATTGCCTGGCCTAGGCCCAAGGGGTATGCCAACTTTCCAGAAGCACCTCAAGAGGAGGCTTCTCTCAACAATAGGTATGTGGGAGGGACCCCGAGTTTTCTGCCTTAAATGGAATATACAGAGAGAAGCCCTAACTAGAAAGGAGCCCCGATTTCCTAGCAGTGGCGTGAATGCAGGATCGTCTTTCATCTCACAACATGAAGGGGTATTTGAATCCCCTGTCGAGACCTTAGAGAAAGATCTAGGGCCCTGCCTCATTTTGACGGAATGCCTCATATCCCTTTGACACATCGAGAGGCACTCAGAGATCACTGCTCCAAAGGGTGACGATGCATGGCTCCTCTTGAACAATGTTAGGAATCCCAATATCTCTGTGGCTAATGGAAAGTGTCCTTGGTGCCCTGGCTCACCTCGAGAAGCGTCCCTTTTGCCCTGCCAAGCCTCAAAGAGATTCCTGAGGTGTCCCTCGTTACTAGACAGGAGTCCTGACGTCACTGAATAAACACGTGTTTTGAAGGGCCATCCCCTCCGTAACTCGAGAACATACACCAGGTCCCGGCCGCAAGTCGAGAAAAACAGGAGACTTCCCCCAAGATGCGAGATGAGGCCCGATTCCCCTGCAGTGCATGCAGAACAATTCCGTGATCATCATCAAACATGTAAGGAGCTGCGACTAGATTAATGGATCTCGAGACAGTGCCCAAGAACACTGTCACAAGTCTAGACGGACCCTGAGGTCAGCCCAGTAAAGCATAGCAGCTTCATGTGCAGCAAATCAACTCGAGATGAGGCCCGATTCCCCTGCATTGAATCCAGAGCCATCCCCCTTTCCCCATTAATCACGACCAGTGGTTTGACTTCCTTCAGGCAACTCCAGAGATTCCCTGAGAACACTGTCACAAGTCTAGAAGAACACCAACTTCAGCAAAGCAACTCGAGGAATGTTCCCTGTACCCCTAATCGTCTCGAGATGAGAGCTGATTCCCTGGCTTAGGCCCAAGACGTATGCCAACTTGCCAGAAACACCGAAAGAGGAGGCTTCTCTCAGTGATAAGTATGTGGGAGGGACCCCGAGTTTGCTGCCTCAAGTGGAATATACACCGAGAAGCCCTAACTTGATAGGAGGACGGATTTCCTTGCAGTGGCTTGAATATAGGCTAGTCTTTCATCTCACAACATGAAGGGATGTCTGAATCCCCTGTCGACACCTTAGAGAAAGATCTAGGTCCCTGACTCATTTTGACGGAATGCCTCAAACCCATTTGATACCTCGAGAGACACGCAGAGTTCACTGCTTCAAAAGGTAACGATGCCTGGCTAATCTTGAACATTGTTAGGAATCGCAAAATCACTGTGACTACTGAAAAGGGACCTTGGGTGCCCTGCCTCACCTCGAGAAGCATTCCTTTTACACTGCCAAGCCTCAAAGAGATTCCTGAGGTGTCCCTCGTTACTAGACAGGAGTCCTGACATCACTATATAAAGATGTGTTTTGAAGGGCCATCCCCACCGTAACTCGAGAACAAACCCCAGGTCGCCGCCGAAAATCGAGAAAAACCATGTGACTTCCCCCTAGAGGCGAGATGAGGCCGGATTCCCCTGCATTGCATGCAGAGCCATTCTGTGATCTCCATCAAACATGTAAGGAGCTTCGACTTGGTTAATGGATCTCAAGACAGTCCCCAAGAACACTGTCACAAGTCTAGACGGGCCCTGAGGTCACGCCAGCAATGCAAAGCAGCTCCATGTGCCCCAAATCAACTCGAGATGAGGCCAGATTCCCCTTCATTGACTCCAGAGCCAACCCCCGTTACACATTAAATACGGCCAGTGGCTCGACTTCTTTCACACAATTCCAGATATTCCCCAAGGACACTGTCCCAACTCTAGAAGAACACGAACTTCAGCACAGCAACTCGAGGAATGTTCCATGTACCCCTAATTGTCTCGAGATGAGAGCTGATTCCCCGGCTTAGACTCAAAACTTATGCCAACTTTCCAGAGACACTGAGAGAGGAGGCTTCCTCAGCAATAGGTATGTGGGAGGGACCCCGAGTTTGCTGCCTCAAGTGGAATATACAGCGAGAAGCCCTAACTTGAATGGAGGCCGGATTTCCTTGCAGTGGCTTGAATACAGGCTCTTCTTTCATCTCAAACATGAAGGGATGTCTGAATCCCCTGTCGAGACCTTAGCAGAGCTCTAGGTCCCCGCCTCATTTGACGAAATGCCTCACATCCATATGGCAGCTCGAGAGGCAGGCGGAGTTCACTGCTTCAAAATGTCACGATGCCTGACTCCTCTTGAACAATGTTAGGAATCTCAAATCCCTGTGGCTCCTGAAAAGGGTCTTTGGGTGCCCTGCGTCACCTCGAGAAGCGTCCCTTTTGCCCTGCCAAGCCTCAAAATATTCCTGAGGTGTCCCTCATTACTAGACAGGAGTCTTGTTGTCACTGAATAAACACGTGTTTTGAAGGGCCATCCCCGCTGTACCTCGAGAACATACCCCAGGTCGCCGCGGAAAATCGAGAAAAACCATGTGACTTCCCCCTAGAGGCGAGATGAAGCCCGATTCCCCTGCATTGCATCAGAGCCATTCCATGATCTCCATCAAACCTGTAAGGAGCTTCGACTTAGTTAATGGATGTCAAGACAGTCCCCAAAAACACTGTCACAAGTCTAGATGGACCCTGAGGTCACCCCAGCAATGCAAAGCAGCTCCACGTGCCCCAAATCAACTCGAGAAGAGGATTGATTCCCCTGCAAGGACTCCAGAGCCATTCCCCGTTCCCCATTAAACACGACCATTGGCTCGACTTCCTTCAGGCAACTCCAGAGATTCCCCGAGAACACTGTCCCAAGTCTAGAAGAACACCAACTTCAGCACAGCAACTCGAGGAATGCTCCGTGTACCCCAAACCGTCTCGAGATGAGAGCTGATTCCCTGGCTTAGACTCAACACTTATGCCAACATTCCAGAAACACCGAAAGAGGAGGCTTCCTCAGCAATAGGTATGTGGGAGGGACCCCGAGTTTGCTGCCTCAAGTGGAACATACAGCGAGAAGCCCTAACTTGAAAGGAGGCCGGATTTCCTTGCAGTGGCTTGAATACAGGCTCGTCTTTCATCTCACAACATGAAGGGATGTCTGAATCCCCTGTCGAGACCTTAAAGAAAGCTCTAGGTCCCTGCCTCATTGTGACGGAATGCCTCACATTCATTTGGCACCCCGAGAGGCAGGCAGAGTTCACTGCTTCAAAATGTCACGATGCCTGACTCCTCTTGAACAATGTTAGGAATCCCCAAATCCCTGTGGCTCCTGGAAAGTGTCCTTGGTTACCCTGCCTCACCTCGAGAAGCGTCCCTTTTGTAATGCCAAGCCTTGAAGATATTCCTGAGGTGTCCCTCGTTACTAGACAGGAGTCCTGACGTCACTGAATAAACACGTGTTTTCAAGGGCCATCCCCGCCATAACTCAAGAACGTACACCAGGTCCCCGCCGCAAGTCGAGAAAAACCAGGAGACATCCCCCTAGATGCGAGATGAGGCCCGATTCCCCTGCATTGCATGCAGAATAATTCCGTGACCATCATCAAACATGTAAGGAGCTTTCACTAGATGAATGGATCTCGAGACAGTCCCCAAGAACACTGTCACAAGTCTAGACGGACACTGACGTCACCCCAGCAAAGCAAAGCAGTTTCATGTGCAACAAATCAACTCGAGATGAGGCCCGATTCCCCTGCATTGCTTCCAGAGCCATCCCCCTTTCCCCATTAAACAGGACTAGTGGTTTGACTTCCTTCAGGCAACTCCAGAGATTGCCTGAGAACACTGTCGCAAGTATAGAAGAACACCAACTTCAGCACAGCAACTCGAGGAATGCTCCATGTACCCCTAATTGTCTCGAGATGAGAGCTGATTCCCTGGCTTAGGCCCAAGACATATGCCAACTTTCCAGAAACACCGAAAGAGGAGGCTTCTTTCAACAATAGTTATGTGGGAGGGACCCCGAGTTTGCTGCCTCAAATGGAATATACAGTGAGAAGCCCTAACTTGAAAGGAGGCCGGATTTCCTTGCAGTGGTGTGAATACAGGCTCGTCTTTCATGTCACAACATGAAGGGATGTCTGAATCCCCTGTCGAGACGTTAGAGAAAGATCTAGGTCCCTGCCTCATTTTGACGGAATGCCTCACATCCCTTTGACACATCGAGAGGCACTCGGAGATCACTACTTCAAAGGGTGACGATGCATGACTCCTCTTGAACATTGTTAGGAATCCCCAAATCCCTGTGACTACTGGAAAGGGTCCTTGGGTGCCCTGCCTTACCTCGAGAAGCGTTCGTTTTACCCTGCCAAGCCTCAAAGAGATTCCTGACGTGTCCCTCGTTACTGGACAGGAGACGTGACATCACTATATAAACACGTGTTTTGAAGGGCCATCCCCGCCTTAACTCGAGAAGATACCCCAGGTCGCCACCGAAAATCGAGCAAAACCATGTGACTTCCCCCTAGAAGTTGGATGAGGCCCGATTCCGCTGCATTTCATGCAGAGCGATTCTGTGATCTCCATCAAACATGTAAGGAGCTTCGACTTGGTTAATGGATCTCAAGACAGTCCCCAAGAACACTGTCACAAGTCTAGACGGACCCTGAGGTCACCCCAGCAACGCAAAGCAGCTCTATGTGCCCCAAATCAACTCGAGATGAGGCCAGATTCCCCTGCATTGACTCCAGAGCCTTCCCCCATCCCCATTAAATAAGACCAGTGGCTCGACTTCCTTCACACAATTCCAGAGATTCCCCAAGGACACTGTCCCAAGTCTAGAAGAACACCAACTTCAGCACAGCAACTCGAGGAATGGTCCGTGTACCCCAGATCGTCTCGAGATGAGAGCAGATTCCCTAGCTTAGACTCAACACTTATGCCATCTTTCCAGACAAACCAAAAGAGTAGGCTTCCTCAGCAATAGGTATGTATGAGGGACACCGAGTTTGCTGCCGCAAGTGGAATATACAGCGAGAAGCCCTAACTTGAAAGGAGGCCGGATTTCCTTGCAGTGGCGTGAATGCAGGCCTGTCTTTCATCTCACAACATGAAGAGATGTCTGAATCCCCTCTCGAGACCTTAGAGAAAGATCTAGGTCCCTGCCTCATTTTGACGGAATGCCTCTCATAAATTTGGCACCTCGAGAGGCAGGCGGAATTCACTGCTTCAAAAGGTGACGATGCCTGACTCCTCTTGAACAATGTTAGGAATCCCAGAATCCCTGTGGCTCCTGGAAAGGGTCCTTGGGTGGCCTGCCTCTCCTCGAGAAGCGTCTCTTTTGCAATGCCAAGCCTCGAAGAGATTCCTGAGGTGTCCCCCGTTACTAGACAGATGTCCTGACGTCACTGAATAAACACATGTTTTCAAGGGGCATCCCCGCCGAAACTCGAGAATATACACCAGGTCCCCGCCTCAACTCGAGAAAAACCAGGAGACTGCCCCCTAGATGCGAGATGAGGCCCGATTCCCCTGCATTGCATGCAGAACAATTCCGTGATCATCATCAAACATGTAAGGACCTTCGACTCGATTAATGGATCTTGAGATAGTCCCCAAGAACACTGTCACAAGTCTAGACGGACCCTGAGGTCACCCCAGCAAAGCAAAGCAGCTGCATGTGCAGCAAATCAACTCGAGATGAGGCCCGATTCCCCTGCATTGATTCAAGAGCCATCCCCCTTTCCCCATTAAACACGACCAGTGGTTTGACTTCCTTCAGGCAACTCCAGAGATTCCCTGAGAACACTGTCCCAAGTCTAGAAGAACACCAACTTCTGCACAGCAACTCGAGGAATGCTCCTTGTACCCCTAATCGTCTTGACATGAGAGCTGATTCCCTGGCTTAGGCTCAAGACGTATGCCAACTTTCCAGAAACACCGAAAGAGGAGGCTTCTCTCAGCAATAGGTATGTGGGAGGAACCCCGAGTTTGCTGCCTCAAATTGAATATACAGCGAGAAGCCCTAACTTGAAAGGAGGCCGGATTTCCTTGCAGTGGCGTGAATACAGGCTCGTCTATCATCTCACAACATGAAGGGATGTCTGATACCCTGTCGAGACGTTAGAGAAAGATCTAGGTCCCTGCCTCATTTTGACGGAATGCCTCAGATCCCTTTGACACATCGAGAGGAACCCGGAGATCACTACTTCAAAGGGTGATGATGCAAGACTCCTCTTGAACATTGTTAGGAATCCCAAAATACATGTAACTATTGGAAAGGGACCTTGGGTGCCCTGCCTCACTTCGAGAAGCGTCCCTTTTTGCCCTGCCAAGCCTCAAAGAGATTTCTGAGGTGTCCCTCGTTACTAGACAGGAGTCGTGACATCACTATATAAACACGTGTTTTGAAGGGCCATCCCCGCTGAAACTCGAGAACATTCCTCAGGTCGCCGCCGAAAATCGAGAAAAACCATGTGACTTCCCCCTAGAGGCGAGATGAGGCCCGATTCCCCTGCATTGCATGCAGAGCCATTCTGTGATCTCCATCAAACATGTAAGGAGCTTCGACTTGGTTTTTGGATCTCAAGACAGTCCCCAAGAACACTGTCACAAGTCTAGACGGGCCCTGAGGTCACGCCAGCAATGCAAAGCAGCTCCATGTGCCCCAAATCAACTCGAGATGAGGTCAGATTCCCCTTCATTGACTCCAGAGCCAACCCCTGTTACACATTAAATACGGCCAGTGGCTCGACTTCCTTCACACAATTCCAGATATTCCCCAAGGACACTGTCCCAGCTCTAGAAGAACACGAACTTCAGCACAGCAACTCGAGGAATGTTCCGTGTACCCCTAATCGTCTGGAGATGAGAGCTGATTCCCCGGCTTAGACTCAAAACTTATGCCAACTTTCCAGAGACAGTGAGAGAGGAGGCTTCCTCAGCAATAGGTATGTGGGAGGGACCCCGAGTTTGCTGCCTCAAGTGGAATATACAGCGAGAAGCCCTAACTTGAAAGGAGGCCGGATTTCCTTGCAGTGGCTTGAATACAGGATCGTCTTTCATCTCAAACATGAAGGGATGTCTGAATCCCCTGTCGAGACCTTAGCAGAGCTCTAGGTCCCTGCCTCATTGACGGAATGCCTCACATCCATATGGCAGCTCGAGAGGCAGGCGGAGTTCACTGCCTCAAAATGTCACGATGCCTGACTCCTCTTGAAAAATGTTATGAATCTCAAATCCCTGTGGCTCCTGAAAAGGGTCCTTGGGTGCCCTGCCTCACCTCGAGAAGCGTCCCTTTTGCCCTGCCAAGCCTCAAAATATTCCTGAGGTGTCCCTCATTACTAGACAGGAGTCCTGTTGTCACTGAATAAACACGTGTTTTGAAGGGCCATCCCCGCTGTACCTCGAGAACATACCCCAGGTCGCCGCGGAAAATCGAGAAAAACCATGTGACTTCCCCCTAGAGGCGAGATGAGGCCCAATTCCCCTGCATTGCATCAGAGCCATTCCATGATCTCCATCAAACCTGTAAGGAGCTTCGACTTAGTTAATGGATCTCAAGACAGTCCCCAAGAACACTGTCACAAGTCTAGACGGACCCTGAGGTCACCCCAGCAATGCAAAGCAGCTCCACGTGCCCCAAATCAACTCGAGAAGAGGATTGATTCACCTGCAATGATTCCAGAGCCATTCCCCATTCCCCATTAAACACGACCATTGGCTCGACTTCCTTCAGGCAACTCCAGAGATTCCCCGAGAACACTGTCCCAAGTCTACAAGAACACCAACTTCAGCACAGCAACTCGAGGAATGCTCCGTGTACCCCAAATTGTCTCGAGATGAGAGCTGATTCCCTGGCTTAGACTCAACACTTATGCCAACATTCCAGAAACACCGAAAGAGGAGGCTTCCTCAGCAATAGGTATGTGGGAGGGACCCCGAGTTTGCTGCCTCAAGTGGAATATACAGCGAGAAGCCCTAACTTGAAAGGAGGCCGGATTTCCTTGCAGTGGCGTGAATGCAGGCCTGTCTTTCATCTCACAACATGAAGAGATGTCTGAATCCCCTGTCGAGACCTTAGAGAAAGATCTAGGTCCCTGTCTCATTTTGACAGAATGCCTCTCATAAATTTGGCACCTCGAGATCCAGGCGGAGTTCACTGCTTCAAAAGTTGACGATGCCTGACTCCTCTTGAACAATGTTAGGAATCCCAGAATCCCTGTGGCTCCTGGAAAGGGTCCTTGGGTGGCCTGCCTCTCCTCGAGAAGCGTCTCTTTTGAATGCCAAGTCTCGAAGAGATTCCTGAGGTGTCCCCCGTTACTAGACAGATGTCCTGACGTCACTGAATAAACACATGTTTTAAAGGGGCATCCCCGCCGAAACTCGAGAATATACACCAGGTCCCCGCCTCAACTCGAGATAAACCAGGAGACTGCCCCCTAGATGCGAGATTAGGCCCGATTCCCCTGCACTGCATGCAGAACAATTCCGTGATCATCATCAAACATGTAAGGACCTTTGACTCGATTAATGGATCTTGAGATAGTCCCCAAGAACACTGTCACAAGTCTAGACGGACCCTGAGGTCACCCCAGCAAAGCAAAGCAGCTGCATGTGCAGCAAATCAACTCGAGATGAGGCCCGATTCCCCTGCATTGATTCAAGAGCCATCCCCCTTTCCCCATTAAACACGACCAGTGGTTTGACTTCCTTCAGGCAACTCCAGAGATTCCCTGAGAACACTGTCCCAAGTCTAGAAGAACACCAACTTCTGCACAGCAACTCGAGGAATGCTCCTTGTACCCCTAATCGTCTTGACATGAGAGCTGATTCCCTGGCTTAGGCTCAAGACGTATGCCAACTTTCCAGAAACACCGAAAGAGGAGGCTTCTCTCAGCAATAGGTATGTGGGAGGAACCCCGAGTTTGCTGCCTCAAATTGAATATACAGCGAGAAGCCCTAACTTGAAAGGAGGCCGGATTTCCTTGCAGTGGCGTGAATACAGGCTCGTCTATCATCTCACAACATGAATTGATGTCTGAATCCCCTGTCGAGACGTTAGAGAAAGATCTAGGTCCCTGCCTCATTTTGACGGAATGTCTCACATCCCTTTGACACATCGAGAGAAACCCGGAGATCACTACTTCAAAGGGTGACGATGCAAGACTCCTCTTGAACATTGTTAGGAATCCCAGAATACATGTAACTATTGGAAAGGGACCTTGGGTGCCCTGCCTCACCTCGAGAAGCGTCCCTTTTTGCCCTGCCAAGCCTCAAAGAGATTCCTGAGGTGTCCCTCGTTACTAGACAGGAGTCCTGACATCACTATATAAACACGTGTTTTGAAGGGCCATCCCCACTGAAACTCGAGAACATTCCCCAGGTCGCCGCCGAAAATCGAGAAAAACCATGTGACTTCCCCCTAGAGGCGAGATGAGGCCCGATTCCCCTGCATTGCATGCAGAGCCATTCCGAGATCCCCATCAAACATGTAAGGAGCTTCGCCTTGGTTAATGGATCTCAAGACAGTCTCCTAGAACACTGTCACAAGTCTAGACGGACCCTGAGGTCACACCAGCAACGCAAAGCAGCTCCATGTGCCCCAAATCAACTCGATTTGAGGCCAGATTCCCCTGCATTGACTCCAGAGCCATCCCCCGTTCCACATTAAATACGACCAGTGGCACGACTTCCTTCACGCAATTCCAGCGTTTCCCTAAGGACACTGTCCGAAGTCTAGAAGAACACCAACTTCAGCAGAGCAACTCGAGGAATGCTGCATGTAACCCACATCGTATGGAGATGAGAGCTGATTTCCTGGCTTAGGCCCAAGACGTATGCCAACTTTCCAGAAGCACCTCAAGAGGAGGCTTCTCTCAGCAATTGATATGTGGGAGGGACCCTGAATTTGCTGCCTCAAGTGGAATATACAGCGAGAAGCCCTATCTTGAAAGGAGGCTGGATTTCCTTGCAGTGGCTTGAATACAGGTTCGTCTTTCATCTCACAACATGAAGGGATGTCTGAATCCCCTGTCGAGAACTGAGAGAAAGTTCTAGGTCCCTGCCTCATTTTGACGGAATGCCTAACATCCATTTGACACCTCGCGAGGCACTCGGAGTTCACTGATTCAAAACGTTACGATGCTTGACTCTTCTTGAACATTGATAGGAATCCCAAAATCCCTGTGGCTACTGGAAAGGGTCCTTGGGTGCCATGCCTCACCTCGAGAAGCGTCCCTTTTACCCTGCCAAGCCGCAAAAAATTCCTGAGGTGTCCCTCGTTACTAGACCGGAGTCCTGGCCTCACTGAATCACCCCGTGTTTTGAAGGGCCATTCCTGCCGTAACTCGAGAACATACCCCAGGTCCCCACCGCAACTCGAGAAAAACCGTGAGACTTCCCCCTAGATGCGAGATGAGGCCCGATTCACCTGCAGTGCATGCAGAGCAATTCCATGATCCCCATCAAACAAGTCAGGAGCTTCGACTTGCTTAATCGATCTCGAGACAGTCCCCAAGAATACTGTCACAAGTCTAGACGGACCCTGAGGTCACCCCAGCAATGCAAAGCAGCTCCACGTGCCCCAAGTCAACTCGAGATGAGGATCGATTCATCTGCATTGACTCCAGAACCATTCCCCATTTCCCATTAGACACGACCATTGGCTCGACTTCCTTCAGGCAACTCCAGAGATGCCCCGAGAACACTGTACCAAGTCTAGAAGAACACCAACCTCAGCACAGCAACTCGAGGAATGCTCCGTGCACCCCACATTGTGTGGAGATGAGAGCTGATTGCCTGGCCTAGGCCCAAGGGGTATGCCAACTTTCCAGAAGCACCTCAAGAGGAGGCTTCTCTCAACAATAGGTATGTGGGAGGGACCCCGAGTTTTCTGCCTTAAATGGAATATACAGAGAGAAGCCCTAACTAGAAAGGAGCCCCGATTTCCTAGCAGTGGCGTGAATGCAGGATCGTCTTTCATCTCACAACATGAAGGGGTATTTGAATCCCCTGTCGAGACCTTAGAGAAAGATCTAGGTCCCTGCCTCATTTTGACGGAATGCCTCATATCCCTTTGACACATCGAGAGGCACTCAGAGATCACTGCTCCAAAGGGTGACGATGCATGGCTCCTCTTGAACAATGTTAGGAATCCCAATATCTCTGTGGCTAATGGAAAGTGTCCTTGGTGCCCTGGCTCACCTCGAGAAGCGTCCCTTTTGCCCTGCCAAGCCTCAAAGAGATTCCTGAGGTGTCCCTCGTTACTAGACAGGAGTCCCGACGTCACTGAATAAACACGTGTTTTGAAGGGCCATCCCCTCCGTAACTCGAGAACATACACCAGGTCCCGGCCGCAAGTCGGGAAAAACAGGAGACTTCCCCCAAGATGCGAGATGAGGCCCGATTCCCCTGCAGTGCATGCAGAACAATTCCGTGATCATCATCAAACATGTAAGGAGCTGCGACTAGATTAATGGATCTCGAGACAGTGCCCAAGAACACTGTCACAAGTCTAGACGGACCCTGAGGTCAGCCCAGTAAAGCATAGCAGCTTCATGTGCAGCAAATCAACTCGAGATGAGGCCCGATTCCCCTGCATTGAATCCAGAGCCATCCCCCTTTCCCCATTAATCACGACCAGTGGTTTGACTTCCTTCAGGCAACTCCAGAGATTCCCTGAGAACACTGTCACAAGTCTAGAAGAACACCAACTTCAGCAAAGCAACTCGAGGAATGTTCCCTGTACCCCTAATCGTCTCGAGATGAGAGCTGATTCCCTGGCTTAGGCCCAAGACGTATGCCAACTTGCCAGAAACACCGAAAGAGGAGGCTTCTCTCAGTGATAAGTATGTGGGAGGGACCCCGAGTTTGCTGCCTCAAGTGGAATATACACCGAGAAGCCCTAACTTGATAGGAGGACGGATTTCCTTGCAGTGGCTTGAATATAGGCTAGTCTTTCATCTCACAACATGAAGGGATGTCTGAATCCCCTGTCGACACCTTAGAGAAAGATCTAGGTCCCTGACTCATTTTGACGGAATGCCTCAAACCCATTTGATACCTCGAGAGACACGCAGAGTTCACTGCTTCAAAAGGTAATGATGCCTGGCTAATCTTGAACATTGTTAGGAATCGCAAAATCACTGTGACTACTGAAAAGGGACCTTGGGTGCCCTGCCTCACCTCGAGAAGCATTCCTTTTACACTGCCAAGCCTCAAAGAGATTCCTGAGGTGTCCCTCGTTACTAGACAGGAGTCCTGACATCACTATATAAAGATGTGTTTTGAAGGGCCATCCCCACCGTAACTCGAGAACAAACCCCAGGTCGCCGCCGAAAATCGAGAAAAACCATGTGACTTCCCCCTAGAGGCGAGATGAGGCCGGATTCCCCTGCATTGCATGCAGAGCCATTCTGTGATCTCCATCAAACATGTAAGGAGCTTCGACTTGGTTAATGGATCTCAAGACAGTCCCCAAGAACACTGTCACAAGTCTAGACGGGCCCTGAGGTCACGCCAGCAATGCAAAGCAGCTCCATGTGCCCCAAATCAACTCGAGATGAGGCCAGATTCCCCTTCATTGACTCCAGAGCCAACCCCCGTTACACATTAAATACGGCCAGTGGCTCGACTTCCTTCACACAATTCCAGATATTCCCCAAGGACACTGTCCCAACTCTAGAAGAACACGAACTTCAGCACAGCAACTCGAGGAATGTTCCATGTACCCCTAATCGTCTCGAGATGAGAGCTGATTCCCCGGCTTAGACTCAAAACTTATGCCAACTTTCCAGAGACACCGAGAGAGGAGGCTTCCTCAGCAATAGGTATGTGGGAGGGACCCCGAGTTTGCTGCCTCAAGTGGAATATACAGCGAGAAGCCCTAACTTGAAAGGAGGCCGGATTTCCTTGCAGTGGCTTGAATACAGGCTCGTCTTTCATCTCAAACATGAAGGGATGTCTGAATCCCCTGTCGAGACCTTAGCAGAGCTCTAGGTCCCTGCCTCATTGACGGAATGCCTCACATCCATATGGCAGCTCGAGAGGCAGGCGGAGTTCACTGCCTCAAAATGTCACGATGCCTGACTCCTCTTGAAAAATGTTATGAATCTCAAATCCCTGTGGCTCCTGAAAAGGGTCCTTGGGTGCCCTGCCTCACCTCGAGAAGCGTCCCTTTTGCCCTGCCAAGCCTCAAAATATTCCTGAGGTGTCCCTCATTACTAGACAGGAGTCCTGTTGTCACTGAATAAACACGTGTTTTGAAGGGCCATCCCCGCTGTACCTCGAGAACATACCCCAGGTCGCCGCGGAAAATCGAGTAAAACCATGTGACTTCCCCCTAGAGGCGAGATGAGGCCCAATTCCCCTGCATTGCATCAGAGCCATTCCATGATCCCCATCAAACCTGTAAGGAGCTTCGACTTAGTTAATGGATCTCAAGACAGTCCCCAAGAACACTGTCACAAGTCTAGACCGACCCTGAGGTCACCCCAGCAATGCAAAGCAGCTCCACGTGCCCCAAATCAACTCGAGAAGAGGATTGATTCACCTGCAATGATTCCAGAGCCATTCCCCATTCCCCATTAAACACGACCAGTGGCTCGACTTCCTTCAGGCAACTCCAGAGATTCCCCGAGAACACTGTCCCAAGTCTACAAGAACACCAACTTCAGCACAGCAACTCGAGGAATGCTCCGTGTACCCCAAATTGTCTCGAGATGAGAGCTGATTCCCTGGCTTAGACTCAACACTTATGCCAACATTCCAGAAACACCGAAAGAGGAGGCTTCCTCAGCAATAGGTATGTGGGAGGGACCCCGAGTTTGCTGCCTCAAGTGGAATATACAGCGAGAAGCCCTAACTTGAAAGGAGGCCAGATTTCCTTGCAGTGGCTTGAATACAGGCTCATCTTTCATCTCACAACATGAAGGGATGTCTGAATCCCCTGTCGAGACCTTAAAGAAAGCTCTAGGTCCCTGCCTCATTGTGACGGAATGCCTCACATTCATTTGGCACCTCGAGAGGCAGGCAGAGTTCAGTGCTTCAAAATGTCACGATGCCTGACTCCTCTTGAACAATGTTAGGAATCCCCAAATCCCTGTGGCTCCTGGAAAGTGTCCTTGGTTACCCTGCCTCACCTCGAGAAGCGTCTCTTTTGAATGCCAAGTCTCGAAGAGATTCCTGAGGTGTCCCCCGTTACTAGACAGATGTCCTGACGTCACTGAATAAACACATGTTTTAAAGGGGCATCCCCGCCGAAACTCGAGAATATACACCAGGTCCCCGCCTCAACTCGAGATAAACCAGGAGACTGCCTCCTAGATGCGAGATTAGGCCCGATTCCCCTGCATTGCATGCAGAACAATTCCGTGATCATCATCAAACATATAAGGACCTTCGACTCGATTAATGGATCTTGAGATAGTCCCCAAGAACACTGTCACAAGTCTAGACGGACCCTGAGGTCACCCCAGCAAAGCAAAGCAGCTGCATGTGCAGCAAATCAACTCGAGATGAGGCCCGATTCCCCTGCATTGATTCAAGAGCCATCCCCCTTTCCCCATTAAACACGACCAGTGGTTTGACTTCCTTCAGGCAACTCCAGAGATTCCCTGAGAACACTGTCCCAAGTCTAGAAGAACACCAACTTCTGCACAGCAACTCGAGGAATGCTCCTTGTACCCCTAATCGTCTTGACATGAGAGCTGATTCCCTGGCTTAGGCTCAAGACGTATGCCAACTTTCCAGAAACACCGAAAGAGGAGGCTTCTCTCAGCGATAGGTATGTGGGAGGAACCCCGAGTTTGCTGCCTGAAATTGAATATACTGCAAGAAGCCCTAACTTGAAAGGAGGCCGGATTTCCTTGCAGTGGCGTGAATACAGGCTCGTCTATCATCTCACAACATGAAGGGATGTCTGAATCCCCTGTCGAGACGTTAGAGAAAGATCTAGGTCCCTGCCTCATTTTGACGGAATGTCTCACATCCCTTTGACACATCGAGAGAAACCCGGAGATCACTACTTCAAAGGGTGACGATGCAAGACTCCTCTTGAACATTGTTAGGAATCCCAGAATACATGTAACTATTGGAAAGGGACCTTGGGTGCCCTGCCTCACCTCGAGAAGCGTCCCTTTTTGCCCTGCCAAGCCTCAAAGAGATTCCTGAGGTGTCCCTCGTTACTAGACAGGAGTCCTGACATCACTATATAAACACGTGTTTTGAAGGGCCATCCCCACTGAAACTCGAGAACATTCCCCAGGTCGCCGCCGAAAATCGAGAAAAACCATGTGACTTCCCCCTAGAGGCGAGATGAGGCCCGATTCCCCTGCATTGCATGCAGAGCCATTCCGAGATCCCCATCAAACATGTAAGGAGCTTCGCCTTGGTTAATGGATCTCAAGACAGTCTCCTAGAACACTGTCACAAGTCTAGACGGACCCTGAGGTCACACCAGCAACGCAAAGCAGCTCCATGTGCCCCAAATCAACTCGATTTGAGGCCTGATTCCCGTGCATTGACTCCAGAGCCATCCCCCGTTCCACATTAAATACGACCAGTGGCACGACTTCCTTCACGCAATTCCAACGTTTCCCTAAGGACACTGTCCGAAGTCTAGAAGAACACCAACTTCAGCAGAGCAACTCGAGGAATGCTGCATGTAACCCACATCGTATGGAGATGAGAGCTGATTTCCTGGCTTAGGCCCAAGACGTATTCCAACTTTCCAGAAGCACCTCAAGAGGAGGCTTCTCTCAGCAACTGGTATGTGGGAGGGACCCTGAATTTGCTGCCTCAAGTGGAATATACAGCGAGAAGCCCTATCTTGAAAGGAGACTGGATTTCCTTGCAGTGGCTTGAATACAGGTTCGTCTTTCATCTCACAACATGAAGGGATGTCTGAATACCCTGTCGAGAACTTAGAGAAAGTTCTAGGTCCCTGCCTCATTTTGACGGAATGCCTCACATCCATATGGCAGCTCGAGAGGCAGGCGGAGTTCACTGCTTCAAAATGTCACGATGCCTGACTCCTCTTGAACAATGTTAGGAATCTCAAATCCCTGTGGCTCCTGAAAAGGGTCTTTGGGTGCCCTGCCTCACCTCGAGAAGCGTCCCTTTTGCCCTGCCAAGCCTCAAAATATTCCTGAGGTGTCCCTCATTACTAGACAGGAGTCCTGTTGTCACTGAATAAACACGTGTTTTGAAGGGCCATCCCCGCTGTACCTCGAGATCATACCCCAGGTCGCCGCGGAAAATCGAGTAAAACCATGTGACTTCCCCCTAGAGGCGAGATGAGGCCCAATTCCCCTGCATTGCATCAGAGCCATTCCATGATCTCCATCAAACCTGTAAGGAGCTTCGACTTAGTTAATGGATCTCAAGACAGTCCCCAAGAACACTGTCACAAGTCTAGACGGACCCTGAGGTCACCCCAGCAATGCAAAGCAGCTCCACGTGCCCCAAATCAACTCGAGAAGAGGATTGATTCACCTGCAATGATTCCAGAGCCATTCCCCATTCCCCATTAAACACGACCAGTGGCTCGACTTCCTTCAGGCAACTCCAGAGATTCCCCGAGAACACTGTCCCAAGTCTACAAGAACACCAACTTCAGCACAGCAACTCGAGGAATGCTCCGTGTACCCCAAATTGTCTCGAGATGAGAGCTGATTCCCTGGCTTAGACTCAACACTTATGCCAACATTCCAGAAACACCGAAAGAGGAGGCTTCCTCAGCAATAGGTATGTGGGAGGGACCCCGAGTTTGCTGCCTCAAGTGGAATATACAGCGAGAAGCCCTAACTTGAAAGGAGGCCAGATTTCCTTGCAGTGGCTTGAATACAGGCTCATCTTTCATCTCACAACATGAAGGGATGTCTGAATCCCCTGTCGAGACCTTAAAGAAAGCTCTAGGTCCCTGCCTCATTGTGACGGAATGCCTCACATTCATTTGGCACCTCGAGAGGCAGGCAGAGTTCAGTGCTTCAAAATGTCACGATGCCTGACTCCTCTTGAACAATGTTAGGAATCCCCAAATCCCTGTGGCTCCTGGAAAGTGTCCTTGGTTACCCTGCCTCACCTCGAGAAGCGTCCCTTTTGTAATGCCAAGCCTTGAAGAGATTCCTGAGGTGTCCCTCGTTACTAGACAGGAGTCCTGACGTCACTGAATAAACACATGTTTTCAAGGGCCATCCCTGCCGTAACTCAAGAACATACACCAGGTCCCCGCCGGAAGTCGAGAAAAACCAGGAGACATCCCCCTAGATGCGAGATGAGGCCCGATTCCCCTGCATTGCATGCAGAACAATTCCGTGACCATCATCAAACATGTAAGGAGCTTTCACTAGATGAATGGATCTCGAGACAGTCCCCAAGAACACTGTCACAAGTCTAGACGGACACTGACGTCACCCCAGCAAAGCAAAGCAGTTTCATGTGCAACAAATCAACTCGAGATGAGGCCCGATTCCCCTGCATTGCTTCCAGAGCCATCCCCCTTTCCCCATTAAACAGGACTAGTGGTTTGACTTCCTTCAGGCAACTCCAGAGATTGCCTGAGAACACTGTCGCAAGTCTAGAAGAACAAGAACTTCAGCACAGCAACTCGAGGAATGCTCCATGTACCCCTAATTGTCTCGAGATGAGAGCTGATTCCCTGGCTTAGGCCCAAGACGTATGCCAACTTTCCAGAAACACCGAAAGAGGAGGCTTCTTTCAACAATAGTTATGTGGGAGAGACCCCGAGTTTGCTGCCTCAAATGGAATATACAGCGAGAAGCCCTAACTTGAAAGGAGGCCGGATTTCCTTGCAGTGGCGTGAATACAGGCTCGTCTATCATCTCACAACATGAAGGGATGTCTGAATCCCCTGTCGAGACGTTAGAGAAAGATCTAGGTCCCTGCCTCATTTTGACGGAATGCCTCACATCCCTTTGACATATCGAGAGGAACCCGGAGATCACTACTTCAAAGAGTGACGATGCAAGTCTCCTCTTGAACATTGTTAGGAATCCCAGAATACATGTAACTATTGGAAAGGGACCTTGGGTGCCCTGCCTCACCTCGAGAAGCGTCCCTTTTTGCCCTGCCAAGCCTCAAAGAGATTCCTGAGGTGTCCCTCGTTACTAGACAGGAGTCCTGACGTCACTGAATAAACACGTGTTTTGAAGGGCCATCCCCACCGTAACTCAAGAACATACACCAGATCCCCGCCGCAAGTCGAGAAAAACCAGGAGACATCCCCCTAGATGCGAGATGAGGCCCGATTCCCCTGCATTGCATGCAGAACAATTCCGTGACCATCATCAAACATGTAAGGAGCTTTCACTAGATGAATGGATCTCGAGACAGTCACCAAGAACACTGTCACAAGACTAGACGGACACTGACGTCACCCCAGCAAAACAAAGCAGTTTCATGTGCAACAAATCAACTCGAGATGAGGCCCGATTCCCCTGCATTGCTTCCAGAGCCATCCCCCTTTCCCCATTAAACAAGACTAGTGGTTTGACTTCCTTCAGGCAACTCCAGAGATTGCCTGAGAACACTGTCGCAAGTCTAGAAGAACACCAACTTCAGCACAGCAACTCGAGGAATGCTCCGTGTACCGCTAATTGTCTCGAGATGAGAGCTGATTCCCTGGCTTAGGCCCAAGACGTATGCCAACTTTCCAGAAACACCGAAAGAGGAGGCTTCTTTCAACAATAGTTATGTGGGAGGGACCCCGAGTTTGCTGCCTCAAATGGAATATACAGTGAGAAGCCCTAACTTGAAAGGAGGCCGGATTTCCTTGCAGTGGTGTGAATACAGGCTCGTCTTTCATGTCACAACATGAAGGGATGTCTGAATCCCCTGTCGAGACGTTAGAGAAAGATCTAGGTCCCTGCCTCATTTTGACGGAATACCTCACATCCCTTTGACACATCGAGAGGCACTCGGAGATCACTACTTCAAAGGGTGACGATGCATGACTCCTCTTGAACATTGTTAGGAATCCCCAAATCCCTGTGACTACTGGAAAGGGTCCTTGGGTGCCCTGCCTTACCTCGAGAAGCATTCATTTTATCCTGCCAAGCCTCAAAGAAATTCCTGACGTGTCCCTCGTTACTGGACAGGAGACGTGACATCACTATATAAACACGTGTTTTGAAGGGCCATCCCCGCCGTAATTCGAGAACATACCCCAGGTCGCCACCGAAAATCGAGAAAAACCATGTGACTTCCCCCTAGAGGTTGGATGAGGCCCGATTCCGCTGCATTGCATGCAGAGCGATTCTGTGATCTCCATCAAACATGTAAGGAGCTTCGACTTGGTTAATGGATCTCAAGACAGTCTCCAAGAACACTGTCACAAGTCTAGACGGACCCTGAGGTCACCCCAGCAACGCAAAGCAGCTCCATGTGCCCCAAATCAACTCGCGATGAGGCCAGATTCCCCTGCATTGACTCCAGAGCCTTCCCCCATTCCCCATTAAACACGACCAGTGGCTCGAGTTCCTTCACACAATTCCAGAGATTCCCCAAGTACACTGTCCCAAGTCTAGAAGAACACCAACGTCAGCACAGCAACTCGAGGAATGGTCCATGTACCCCAGATCGTCTCGAGATGAGAGCAGATTCCCTAGCTTAGACTCAACACTTATGCTATCTTTCCAGACACACCGAAAGTGTAGGCTTCCTCAGCAATAGGCATGTGGCAGGGACCCCGAGTTTGCTGCCTCAAGTGGAATATACAGCGAGAAGCCCTAACTTGAAAGGAGGCCGGATTTCCTTGCAGTGGCGTGAATGCAGGCCTGTCTTTCATCTCACAACATGAAGAGATGTCTGAATCCCCTGTCGAGACCTTAGAGAAAGATCTAGGTCCCTGCCTCATTTTGACGGAATGCCTCTCATAAATTTGGCACCTCGAGAGGCAGGCGGAGTTCACTGCTTCAAAAGTTGACGATGCCTGACTCCTCTTGAACAATGTTAGGAATCCCAGAATCCCTGTGGCTCCTGGAAAGGGTCCTTGGGTGGCCTGCCTCTCCTCGAGAAGCGTCTCTTTTGCAATGCCAAGCCTCGAAGAGATTCCTGAGGTGTCCCCCGTTACTAGACAGATGTCCTGACGTCACTGAATAAACACATGTTTTAAAGGGGCATCCCCGCCGAAACTCGAGAATATACACCAGGTCCCCGCCTCAACTCGAGATAAACCAGGAGACTGCCCCCTAGATGCGAGATTAGGCCCGATTCCCCTGCACTGCATGCAGAACAATTCCGTGATCATCATCAAACATGTAAGGACCTTCGACTCGATTAATGGATCTTGAGATAGTCCCCAAGAACACTGTCACAAGTCTAGACGGACCCTGAGGTCACCCCAGCAAAGCAAAGCAGCTGCATGTGCAGCAAATCAACTCGAGATGAGGCCCGATTCCCCTGCATTGATTCAAGAGCCATCCCCCTTTCCCCATTAATCACGACCAGTGGTTTGACTTCCTTCAGGCAACTCCAGAGATTCCCTGAGAACACTGTCCCAAGTCTAGAAGAACACCAACTTCTGCACAGCAACTCGAGGAATGCTCCTTGTACCCCTAATCGTCTTGACATGAGAGCTGATTCCCTGGCTTAGGCTCAAGACGTATGCCAACTTTCCAGAAACACCGAAAGAGGAGGCTTCTCTCAGCGATAGGTATGTGGGAGGAACCCCGAGTTTGCTGCCTGAAATTGAATATACTGCAAGAAGCCCTAACTTGAAAGGAGGCCGGATTTCCTTGCAGTGGCGTGAATACAGGCTCGTCTATCATCTCACAACATGAAGGGATGTCTGAATCCCCTGTCGAGACGTTAGAGAAAGATCTAGGTCCCTGCCTCATTTTGACGGAATGTCTCACATCCCTTTGACACATCGAGAGAAACCCGGAGATCACTACTTCAAAGGGTGACGATGCAAGACTCCTCTTGAACATTGTTAGGAATCCCAGAATACATGTAACTATTGGAAAGGGACCTTGGGTGCCCTGCCTCACCTCGAGAAGCGTCCCTTTTTGCCCTGCCAAGCCTCAAAGAGATTCCTGAGGTGTCCCTCGTTACTAGACAGGAGTCCTGACATCACTATATAAACACGTGTTTTGAAGGGCCATCCCCACTGAAACTCGAGAACATTCCCCAGGTCGCCGCCGAAAATCGAGAAAAACCATGTGACTTCCCCCTAGAGGCGAGATGAGGCCCGATTCCCCTGCATTGCATGCAGAGCCATTCCGAGATCCCCTTCAAACATGTAAGGAGCTTTGCCTTGGTTAATGGATCTCAAGACAGTCTCCTAGAACACTGTCACAAGTCTAGACGGACCCTGAGGTCACACCAGCAACGCAAAGCAGCTCCATGTGCCCCAAATCAACTCGATTTGAGGCCAGATTCCCCTGCATTGACTCCAGAGCCATCCCCCGTTCCACATTAAATACGACCAGTGGCACGACTTCCTTCACGCAATTCCAGCGTTTCCCTAAGGACACTGTCCGAAGTCTAGAAGAACACCAACTTCAGCAGAGCAACTCGAGGAATGCTGCATGTAACCCACATCGTATGGAGATGAGAGCTGATTTCCTGGCTTAGGCCCAAGACGTATTCCAACTTTCCAGAAGCACCTCAAGAGGAGGCTTCTCTCAGCAACTGGTATGTGGCAGGGACCCTGAATTTGCTGCCTCAAGTGGAATATACAGCGAGAAGCCCTATCTTGAAAGGAGGCTGGATTTCCTTGCAGTGGCTTGAATACAGGTTCGTCTTTCATCTCACAACATGAAGGGATGTCTGAATCCCCTGTCGAGAACTGAGAGAAAGTTCTAGGTCCCTGCCTCATTTTGACGGAATGCCTAACATCCATTTGACACCTCGCGAGGCACGCGGAGTTCACTGATTCAAAACGTTACGATGCTTGACTCTTCTTGAACATTGATAGGAATCCCAAAATCCCTGTGGCTACTGGAAAGGGTCCTTGGGTGCCATGCCTCACCTCGAGAAGCGTCCCTTTTACCCTGCCAAGCCGCAAAAAATTCCTGAGGTGTCCCTCGTTACTAGACCGGAGTCCTGGCCTCACTGAATCACCCCGTGTTTTGAAGGGCCATTCCTGCCGTAACTCGAGAACATACCCCAGGTCCCCACCGCAACTCGAGAAAAACCGTGAGACTTCCCCCTAGATGCGAGATGAGGCCCGATTCACCTGCAGTGCATGCAGAGCAATTCCATGATCCCCATCAAACAAGTCAGGAGCTTCGACTTGCTTAATCGATCTCGAGACAGTCCCCAAGAATACTGTCACAAGTCTAGACGGACCCTGAGGTCACCCCAGCAATGCAAAGCAGCTCCACGTGCCCCAAGTCAACTCGAGATGAGGATCGATTCATCTGCATTGACTCCAGAACCATTCCCCATTTCCCATTAGACACGACCATTGGCTCGACTTCCTTCAGGCAACTCCAGAGATGCCCCGAGAACACTGTACCAAGTCTAGAAGAACACCAACCTCAGCACAGCAACTCGAGGAATGCTCCGTGCACCCCACATTGTGTGGAGATGAGAGCTGATTGCCTGGCCTAGGCCCAAGGGGTATGCCAACTTTCCAGAAGCACCTCAAGAGGAGGCTTCTCTCAACAATAGGTATGTGGGAGGGACCCCGAGTTTTCTGCCTTAAATGGAATATACAGAGAGAAGCCCTAACTAGAAAGGAGCCCCGATTTCCTAGCAGTGGCGTGAATGCAGGATCGTCTTTCATCTCACAACATGAAGGGGTATTTGAATCCCCTGTCGAGACCTTAGAGAAAGATCTAGGTCCCTGCCTCATTTTGACGGAATGCCTCATATCCCTTTGACACATCGAGAGGCACTCAGAGATCACTGCTCCAAAGGGTGACGATGCATGGCTCCTCTTGAACAATGTTAGGAATCCCAATATCTCTGTGGCTAATGGAAAGTGTCCTTGGTGCCCTGGCTCACCTCGAGAAGCGTCCCTTTTGCCCTGCCAAGCCTCAAAGAGATTCCTGAGGTGTCCCTCGTTACTAGACAGGAGTCCTGACGTCACTGAATAAACACGTGTTTTGAAGGGCCATCCCCTCCGTAACTCGAGAACATACACCAGGTCCCGGCCGCAAGTCGAGAAAAACAGGAGACTTCCCCCAAGATGCGAGATGAGGCCCGATTCCCCTGCAGTGCATGCAGAACAATTCCGTGATCATCATCAAACATGTAAGGAGCTGCGACTAGATTAATGGATCTCGAGACAGTGCCCAAGAACACTGTCACAAGTCTAGACGGACCCTGAGGTCAGCCCAGTAAAGCATAGCAGCTTCATGTGCAGCAAATCAACTCGAGATGAGGCCCGATTCCCCTGCATTGAATCCAGAGCCATCCCCCTTTCCCCATTAATCACGACCAGTGGTTTGACTTCCTTCAGGCAACTCCAGAGATTCCCTGAGAACACTGTCACAAGTCTAGAAGAACACCAACTTCAGCAAAGCAACTCGAGGAATGTTCCCTGTACCCCTAATCGTCTCGAGATGAGAGCTGATTCCCTGGCTTAGGCCCAAGACGTATGCCAACTTGCCAGAAACACCGAAAGAGGAGGCTTCTCTCAGTGATAAGTATGTGGGAGGGACCCCGAGTTTGCTGCCTCAAGTGGAATATACACCGAGAAGCCCTAACTTGATAGGAGGACGGATTTCCTTGCAGTGGCTTGAATATAGGCTAGTCTTTCATCTCACGACATGAAGGGATGTCTGAATCCCCTGTCGACACCTTAGAGAAAGATCTAGGTCCCTGACTCATTTTGACGGAATGCCTCAAACCCATTTGATACCTCGAGAGACACGCAGAGTTCACTGCTTCAAAAGGTAACGATGCCTGGCTAATCTTGAACATTGTTAGGAATCGCAAAATCACTGTGACTACTGAAAAGGGACCTTGGGTGCCCTGCCTCACCTCGAGAAGCATTCCTTTTACACTGCCAAGCCTCAAAGAGATTCCTGAGGTGTCCCTCGTTACTAGACAGGAGTCCTGACATCACTATATAAAGATGTGTTTTGAAGGGCCATCCCCACCGTAACTCGAGAACAAACCCCAGGTCGCCGCCGAAAATCGAGAAAAACCATGTGACTTCCCCCTAGAGGCGAGATGAGGCCGGATTCCCCTGCATTGCATGCAGAGCCATTCTGTGATCTCCATCAAACATGTAAGGAGCTTCGACTTGGTTAATGGATCTCAAGACAGTCCCCAAGAACACTGTCACAAGTCTAGACGGGCCCTGAGGTCACGCCAGCAATGCAAAGCAGCTCCATGTGCCCCAAATCAACTCGAGATGAGGCCAGATTCCCCTTCATTGACTCCAGAGCCAACCCCCGTTACACATTAAATATGGCCAGTGGCTCGACTTCTTTCACACAATTCCAGATATTCCCCAAGGACACTGTCCCAACTCTAGAAGAACACGAACTTCAGCACAGCAACTCGAGGAATGTTCCATGTACCCCTAATCGTCTCGAGATGAGAGCTGATTCCCCGGCTTAGACTCAAAACTTATGCCAACTTTCCAGAGACACTGAGAGAGGAGGCTTCCTCAGCAATAGGTATGTGGGAGGGACCCCGAGTTTGCTGCCTCAAGTGGAATATACAGCGAGAAGCCCTAACTTGAAAGGAGGCCGGATTTCCTTGCAGTGGCTTGAATACAGGCTCGTCTTTCATCTCAAACATGAAGGGATGTCTGAATCCCCTGTCGAGACCTTAGCAGAGCTCTAGGTCCCTGCCTCATTGACGGAATGCCTCACATCCATATGGCAGCTCGAGAGGCAGGCGGAGTTCACTGCCTCAAAATGTCACGATGCCTGACTCCTCTTGAAAAATGTTATGAATCTCAAATCCCTGTGGCTCCTGAAAAGGGTCCTTGGGTGCCCTGCCTCACCTCGAGAAGCGTCCCTTTTGCCCTGCCAAGCCTCAAAATATTCCTGAGGTGTCCCTCATTACTAGACAGGAGTCCTGTTGTCACTGAATAAACACGTGTTTTGAAGGGCCATCCCCGCTGTACCTCGAGAACATACCCCAGGTCGCCGCGGAAAATCGAGTAAAACCATGTGACTTCCCCCTAGAGGCGAGATGAGGCCCAATTCCCCTGCATTGCATCAGAGCCATTCCATGATCTCCATCAAACCTGTAAGGAGCTTCGACTTAGTTAATGGATCTCAAGACAGTCCCCAAGAACACTGTCACAAGTCTAGACGGACCCTGAGGTCACCCCAGCAATGCAAAGCAGCTCCACGTGCCCCAAATCAACTCGAGAAGAGGATTGATTCACCTGCAATGATTCCAGAGCCATTCCCCATTCCCCATTAAACACGACCATTGGCTCGACTTCCTTCAGGCAACTCCAGAGATTCCCCGAGAACACTGTCCCAAGTCTACAAGAACACCAACTTCAGCACAGCAACTCGAGGAATGCTCCGTGTACCCCAAATTGTCTCGAGATGAGAGCTGATTCCCTGGCTTAGACTCAACACTTATGCCAACATTCCAGAAACACCGAAAGAGGAGGCTTCCTCAGCAATAGGTATGTGGGAGGGACCCCGAGTTTGCTGCCTCAAGAGGAATATACAGCGAGAAGCCCTAACTTGAAAGGAGGCCAGATTTCCTTGCAGTGGCTTGAATACAGGCTCATCTTTCATCTCACAACATGAAGGGATGTCTGAATCCCCTGTCGAGACCTTAAAGAAAGCTCTAGGTCCCTGCCTCATTGTGACGGAATGCCTCACATTCATTTGGCACCTCGAGAGGCAGGCAGAGTTCAGTGCTTCAAAATGTCACGATGCCTGACTCCTCTTGAACAATGTTAGGAATCCCCAAATCCCTGTGGTTCCTGGAAAGTGTCCTTGGTTACCCTGCCTCACCTCGAGAAGCGTCCCTTTTGTAATGCCAAGCCTTGAAGAGATTCCTGAGGTGTCCCTCGTTACTAGACAGGAGTCCTGACGTCACTGAATAAACACATGTTTTCAAGGGCCATCCCTGCCGTAACTCAAGAACATACACCAGGTCCCCGCCGCAAGTCGAGAAAAACCAGGAGACATCCCCCTAGATGCGAGATGAGGCCCGATTCCCCTGCATTGCATGCAGAACAATTCCGTGACCATCATCAAACATGTAAGGAGCTTTCACTAGATGAATGGATCTCGAGACAGTCCCCAAGAACACTGTCACAAGTCTAGACGGACACTGACGTCACCCCAGCAAAGCAAAGCAGTTTCATGTGCAACAAATCAACTCGAGATGAGGCCCGATTCCCCTGCATTGCTTCCAGAGCCATCCCCCTTTCCCCATTAAACAGGACTAGTGGTTTGACTTCCTTCAGGCAACTCCAGAGATTGCCTGAGAACACTGTCGCAAGTCTAGAAGAACACCAACTTCAGCACAGCAACTCGAGGAATGCTCCATGTACCCCTAATTGTCTCGAGATGAGAGCTGATTCCCTGGCTTAGGCCCAAGACGTATGCCAACTTTCCAGAAACACCGAAAGAGGAGGCTTCTTTCAACAATAGTTATGTGGGAGAGACCCCGAGTTTGCTGCCTCAAATGGAATATACAGCGAGAAGCCCTAACTTGAAAGGAGGCCGGATTTCCTTGCAGTGGCGTGAATACAGGCTCGTCTATCATCTCACAACATGAAGGGATGTCTGAATCCCCTGTCGAGACGTTAGAGAAAGATCTAGGTCCCTGCCTCATTTTGACGGAATGCCTCACATCCCTTTGACATATCGAGAGGAACCCGGAGATCACTACTTCAAAGAGTGACGATGCAAGACTCCTCTTGAACATTGTTAGGAATCCCAGAATACATGTAACTATTGGAAAGGGACCTTGGGTGCCCTGCCTCACCTCGAGAAGCGTCCCTTTTTGCCCTGCCAAGCCTCAAAGAGATTCCTGAGGTGTCCCTCGTTACTAGACAGGAGTCCTGACGTCACTGAATAAACACGTGTTTTGAAGGGCCATCCCCACCGTAACTCAAGAACATACACCAGATCCCCGCCGCAAGTCGAGAAAAACCAGGAGACATCCCCCTAGATGCGAGATGAGGCCCGATTCCCCTGCATTGCATGCAGAACAATTCCGTGACCATCATCAAACATGTAAGGAGCTTTCACTAGATGAATGGATCTCGAGACAGTCACCAAGAACACTGTCACAAGACTAGACGGACACTGACGTCACCCCAGCAAAACAAAGCAGTTTCATGTGCAACAAATCAACTCGAGATGAGGCCCGATTCCCCTGCATTGCTTCCAGAGCCATCCCCCTTTCCCCATTAAACAGGACTAGTGGTTTGACTTCCTTCAGGCAACTCCAGAGATTGCCTGAGAACACTGTCGCAAGTCTAGAAGAACACCAACTTCAGCACAGCAACTCGAGGAATGCTCCGTGTACCCCTAATTGTCTCGAGATGAGAGCTGATTCCCTGGCTTAGGCCCAAGACGTATGCCAACTTTCCAGAAACACCGAAAGAGGAGGCTTCTTTCAACAATAGTTATGTGGGAGGGACCCCGAGTTTGCTGCCTCAAATGGAATATACAGTGAGAAGCCCTAACTTGAAAGGAGGCCGGATTTCCTTGCAGTGGTGTGAATACAGGCTCGTCTTTCATGTCACAACATGAAGGGATGTCTGAATCCCCTGTCGAGACGTTAGAGAAAGATCTAGGTCCCTGCCTCATTTTGACGGAATGCCTCACATCCCTTTGACACATCGAGAGGCACTCGGAGATCACTACTTCAAAGGGTGACGATGCATGACTCCTCTTGAACATTGTTAGGAATCCCCAAATCCCTGTGACTACTGGAAAGGGTCCTTGGGTGCCCTGCCTTACCTCGAGAAGCATTCATTTTATCCTGCCAAGCCTCAAAGAAATTCCTGACGTGTCCCTCGTTACTGGACAGGAGACGTGACATCACTATATAAACACGTGTTTTGAAGGGCCATCCCCGCCGTAATTCGAGAACATACCCCAGGTCGCCACCGAAAATCGAGAAAAACCATGTGACTTCCCCCTAGAGGTTGGATGAGGCCCGATTCCGCTGCATTGCATGCAGAGCGATTCTGTGATCTCCATCAAACATGTAAGGAGCTTCGACTTGGTTAATGGATCTCAAGACAGTCTCCAAGAACACTGTCACAAGTCTAGAGGGACCCTGAGGTCACCCCAGCAACGCAAAGCAGCTCCATGTGCCCCAAATCAACTCGCGATGAGGCCAGATTCCCCTGCATTGACTCCAGAGCCTTCCCCCATTCCCCATTAAACACGACCAGTGGCTCGAGTTCCTTCACACAATTCCAGAGATTCCCCAAGTACACTGTCCCAAGTCTAGAAGAACACCAACGTCAGCACAGCAACTCGAGGAATGGTCCATGTACCCCAGATCGTCTCGAGATGAGAGCAGATTCCCTAGCTTAGACTCAACACTTATGCTATCTTTCCAGACACACCGAAAGTGTAGGCTTCCTCAGCAATAGGCATGTGGCAGGGACCCCGAGTTTGCTGCCTCAAGTGGAATATACAGCGAGAAGCCCTAACTTGAAAGGAGGCCGGATTTCCTTGCAGTGGCGTGAATGCAGGCCTGTCTTTCATCTCACAACATGAAGAGATGTCTGAATCCCCTGTCGAGACCTTAGAGAAAGATCTAGGTCCCTGCCTCATTTTGACGGAATGCCTCTCATAAATTTGGCACCTCGAGAGGCAGGCGGAGTTCACTGCTTCAAAAGTTGACGATGCCTGACTCCTCTTGAACAATGTTAGGAATCCCAGAATCCCTGTGGCTCCTGGAAAGGGTCCTTGGGTGGCCTGCCTCTCCTCGAGAAGCGTCTCTTTTGCAATGCCAAGCCTCGAAGAGATTCCTGAGGTGTCCCCCGTTACTAGACAGATGTCCTGACGTCACTGAATAAACACATGTTTTAAAGGGGCATCCCCGCCGAAACTCGAGAATATACACCAGGTCCCCGCCTCAACTCGAGATAAACCAGGAGACTGCCCCCTAGATGCGAGATTAGGCCCGATTCCCCTGCACTGCATGCAGAACAATTCCGTGATCATCATCAAACATGTAAGGACCTTCGACTCGATTAATGGATCTTGAGATAGTCCCCAAGAACACTGTCACAAGTCTAGACGGACCCTGAGGTCACCCCAGCAAAGCAAAGCAGCTGCATGTGCAGCAAATCAACTCGAGATGAGGCCCGATTCCCCTGCATTGATTCAAGAGCCATCCCCCTTTCCCCATTAAACACGACCAGTGGTTTGACTTCCTTCAGGCAACTCCAGAGATTCCCTGAGAACACTGTCCCAAGTCTAGAAGAACACCAACTTCTGCACAGCAACTCGAGGAATGCTCCTTGTACCCCTAATCGTCTTGACATGAGAGCTGATTCCCTGGCTTAGGCTCAAGACGTATGCCAACTTTCCAGAAACACCGAAAGAGGAGGCTTCTCTCAGCGATAGGTATGTGGGAGGAACCCCGAGTTTGCTGCCTGAAATTGAATATACTGCAAGAAGCCCTAACTTGAAAGGAGGCCGGATTTCCTTGCAGTGGCGTGAATACAAGCTCGTCTATCATCTCACAACATGAAGGGATGTCTGAATCCCCTGTCGAGACGTTAGAGAAAGATCTAGGTCCCTGCCTCATTTTGACGGAATGTCTCACATCCCTTTGACACATCGAGAGAAACCCGGAGATCACTACTTCAAAGGGTGACGATGCAAGACTCCTCTTGAACATTGTTAGGAATCCCAGAATACATGTAACTATTGGAAAGGGACCTTGGGTGCCCTGCCTCACCTCGAGAAGCGTCCCTTTTTGCCCTGCCAAGCCTCAAAGAGATTCCTGAGGTGTCCCTCGTTACTAGACAGGAGTCCTGACATCACTATATAAACACGTGTTTTGAAGGGCCATCCCCACTGAAACTCGAGAACATTCCCCAGGTCGCCGCCGAAAATCGAGAAAAACCATGTGACTTCCCCCTAGAGGCGAGATGAGGCCCGATTCCCCTGCATTGCATGCAGAGCCATTCCGAGATCCCCATCAAACATGTAAGGAGCTTCGCCTTGGTTAATGGATCTCAAGACAGTCTCCTAGAACACTGTCACAAGTCTAGACGGACCCTGAGGTCACACCAGCAACGCAAAGCAGCTCCATGTGCCCCAAATCAACTCGATTTGAGGCCAGATTCCCCTGCATTGACTCCAGAGCCATCCCCCGTTCCACATTAAATACGACCAGTGGCACGACTTCCTTCACGCAATTCCAGCGTTTCCCTAAGGACACTGTCCGAAGTCTAGAAGAACACCAACTTCAGCAGAGCAACTCGAGGAATGCTGCATGTAACCCACATCGTATGGAGATGAGAGCTGATTTCCTGGCTTAGGCCCAAGACGTATTCCAACTTTCCAGAAGCACCTCAAGAGGAGGCTTCTCTCAGCAACTGGTATGTGGGAGGGACCCTGAATTTGCTGCCTCAAGTGGAATATACAGCGAGAAGCCCTATCTTGAAAGGAGGCTGGATTTCCTTGCAGTGGCTTGAATACAGGTTCGTCTTTCATCTCACAACATGAAGGGATGTCTGAATCCCCTGTCGAGAACTGAGAGAAAGTTCTAGGTCCCTGCCTCATTTTGACGGAATGCCTAACATCCATTTGACACCTCGCGAGGCACGCGGAGTTCACTGATTCAAAACGTTACGATGCTTGACTCTTCTTGAACATTGATAGGAATCCCAAAATCCCTGTGGCTACTGGAAAGGGTCCTTGGGTGCCATGCCTCACCTCGAGAAGCGTCCCTTTTACCCTGCCAAGCCGCAAAAAATTCCTGAGGTGTCCCTCGTTACTAGACCGGAGTCCTGGCCTCACTGAATCACCCCGTGTTTTGAAGGGCCATTCCTGCCGTAACTCGAGAACATACCCCAGGTCCCCACCGCAACTCGAGAAAAACCGTGAGACTTCCCCCTAGATGCGAGATGAGGCCCGATTCACCTGCAGTGCATGCAGAGCAATTCCATGATCCCCATCAAACAAGTCAGGAGCTTCGACTTGCTTAATCGATCTCGAGACAGTCCCCAAGAATACTGTCACAAGTCTAGACGGACCCTGAGGTCACCCCAGCAATGCAAAGCAGCTCCACGTGCCCCAAGTCAACTCGAGATGAGGATCGATTCATCTGCATTGACTCCAGAACCATTCCCCATTTCCCATTAAACACGACCATTGGCTCGACTTCCTTCAGGCAACTCCAGAGATGCCCCGAGAACACTGTACCAAGTCTAGAAGAACACCAACCTCAGCACAGCAACTCGAGGAATGCTCCGTGCACCCCACATTGTGTGGAGATGAGAGCTGATTGCCTGGCCTAGGCCCAAGGGGTATGCCAACTTTCCAGAAGCACCTCAAGAGGAGGCTTCTCTCAACAATAGGTATGTGGGAGGGACCCCGAGTTTTCTGCCTTAAATGGGATATACAGAGAGAAGCCCTAACTAGAAAGGAGCCCCGATTTCCTAGCAGTGGCGTGAATGCAGGATCGTCTTTCATCTCACAACATGAAGGGGTATTTGAATCCCCTGTCGAGACCTTAGAGAAAGATCTAGGTCCCTGCCTCATTTTGACGGAATGCCTCATATCCCTTTGACACATCGAGAGGCACTCAGAGATCACTGCTCCAAAGGGTGACGATGCATGGCTCCTCTTGAACAATGTTAGGAATCCCAATATCTCTGTGGCTAATGGAAAGTGTCCTTGGTGCCCTGGCTCACCTCGAGAAGCGTCCCTTTTGCCCTGCCAAGCCTCAAAGAGATTCCTGAGGTGTCCCTCGTTACTAGACAGGAGTCCTGACGTCACTGAATAAACACGTGTTTTGAAGGGCCATCCCCTCCGTAACTCGAGAACATACACCAGGTCCCGGCCGCAAGTCGAGAAAAACAGGAGACTTCCCCCAAGATGCGAGATGAGGCCCGATTCCCCTGCAGTGCATGCAGAACAATTCCGTGATCATCATCAAACATGTAAGGAGCTGCGACTAGATTAATGGATCTCGAGACAGTGCCCAAGAACACTGTCACAAGTCTAGACGGACCCTGAGGTCAGCCCAGTAAAGCATAGCAGCTTCATGTGCAGCAAATCAACTCGAGATGAGGCCCGATTCCCCTGCATTGAATCCAGAGCCATCCCCCTTTCCCCATTAATCACGACCAGTGGTTTGACTTCCTTCAGGCAACTCCAGAGATTCCCTGAGAACACTGTCACAAGTCTAGAAGAACACCAACTTCAGCAAAGCAACTCGAGGAATGTTCCCTGTACCCCTAATCGTCTCGAGATGAGAGCTGATTCCCTGGCTTAGGCCCAAGACGTATGCCAACTTGCCAGAAACACCGAAAGAGGAGGCTTCTCTCAGTGATAAGTATGTGGGAGGGACCCCGAGTTTGCTGCCTCAAGTGGAATATACAGCGAGAAGCCCTAACTTGATAGGAGGACGGATTTCCTTGCAGTGGCTTGAATATAGGCTAGTCTTTCATCTCACAACATGAAGGGATGTCTGAATCCCCTGTCGACACCTTAGAGAAAGATCTAGGTCCCTGACTCATTTTGACGGAATGCCTCAAACCCATTTGATACCTCGAGAGACACGCAGAGTTCACTGCTTCAAAAGGTAACGATGCCTGGCTAATCTTGAACATTGTTAGGAATCGCAAAATCACTGTGACTACTGAAAAGGGACCTTGGGTGCCCTGCCTCACCTCGAGAAGCATTCCTTTTACACTGCCAAGCCTCAAAGAGATTCCTGAGGTGTCCCTCGTTACTAGACAGGAGTCCTGACATCACTATATAAAGATGTGTTTTGAAGGGCCATCCCCACCGTAACTCGAGAACAAACCCCAGGTCGCCGCCGAAAATCGAGAAAAACCATGTGACTTCCCCCTAGAGGCGAGATGAGGCCGGATTCCCCTGCATTGCATGCAGAGCCATTCTGTGATCTCCATCAAACATGTAAGGAGCTTCGACTTGGTTAATGGATCTCAAGACAGTCCCCAAGAACACTGTCACAAGTCTAGACGGGCCCTGAGGTCACGCCAGCAATGCAAAGCAGCTCCATGTGCCCCAAATCAACTCGAGATGAGGTCAGATTCCCCTTCATTGACTCCAGAGCCAACCCCCGTTACACATTAAATACGGCCAGTGGCTCGACTTCTTTCACACAATTCCAGATATTCCCCAAGGACACTGTCCCAACTCTAGAAGAACACGAACTTCAGCACAGCAACTCGAGGAATGTTCCATGTACCCCTAATCGTCTCGAGATGAGAGCTGATTCCCCGGCTTAGACTCAAAACTTATGCCAACTTTCCAGAGACACCGAGAGAGGAGGCTTCCTCAGCAATAGGTATGTGGGAGGGACCCCGAGTTTGCTGCCTCAAGTGGAATATACAGCGAGAAGCCCTAACTTGAATGGAGGCCGGATTTCCTTGCAGTGGCTTGAATACAGGCTCGTCTTTCATCTCAAACATGAAGGGATGTCTGAAACCCCTGTCGAGACCTTAGCAGAGCTCTAGGTCCCCGCCTCATTTGACGGAATGCCTCACATCCATATGGCAGCTCGAGAGGCAGGCGGAGTTCACTGCTTCAAAATGTCACGATGCCTGACTCCTCTTGAACAATGTTAGGAATCTCAAATCCCTGTGGCTCCTGAAAAGGGTCTTTGGGTGCCCTGCCTCACCTCGAGAAGTGTCCCTTTTGCCCTGCCAAGCCTCAAAATATTCCTGAGGTGTCCCTCATTACTAGACAGGAGTCCTGTTGTCACTGAATAAACACGTGTTTTGAAGGGCCATCCCCGCTGTACCTCGAGAACATACCCCAGGTCTCCGGGGAAAATCGAGAAAAACCATGTGACTTCCCCCTAGAGGCGAGATGAGGCCCGATTCCCCTGCATTCCATGCAGAGCCATTCCATGATCTCCATCAAACCTGTAAGGAGCTTCGACTTAGTTAATGGATGTCAAGACAGTCCCCAAAAACACTGTCACAAGTCTAGACGGACCCTGAGGTCACCCCAGCAATGCAAAGCAGCTCCACGTGCCCCAAATCAACTCGAGAAGAGGATTGATTCCCCTGCAATGACTCCAGAGCCATTCCCCGTTCCCCATTAAACACGACCATTGGCTCGACTTCCTTCAGGCAACTCCAGAGATTCCCCGAGAACACTGTCCCAAGTCTAGAAGAACACCAACTTCAGCACAGCAACTCGAGGAATGCTCCGTGTACCCCAAACCGTCTCGAGATGAGAGCTGATTCCCTGGCTTAGACTCAACACTTATGCCAACATTCCAGAAACACCGAAAGAGGAGGCTTCCTCAGCAATAGGTATGTGGGAGGGACCCCGAGTTTGCTGCCTCAAGTGAAACATACAGCGAGAAGCCCTAACTTGAAAGGAGGCCGGATTTCCTTGCAGTGGCTTGAATACAGGCTCGTCTTTCATCTCACAACATGAAGGGATGTCTGAATCCCCTGTCGAGACCTTAAAGAAAGCTCTAGGTCCCTGCCTCATTGTGACGGAATGCCTCACATTCATTTGGCACCCCGAGAGGCAGGCAGAGTTCACTGCTTCAAAATGTCACGATGCCTGACTCCTCTTGAACAATGTTAGGAATCCCCAAATCCCTGTGGCTCCTGGAAAGTGTCCTTGGTTACCCTGCCTCACCTCGAGAAGCGTCCCTTTTGTAATGCCAAGCCTTGAAGAGATTCCTGAGGTGTCCCTCGTTACTAGACAGGAGTCCTGACGTCACTGAATAAACACGTGTTTTCAAGGGCCATCCCCGCCATAACTCAAGAACGTACAAAAGGTCCCCGCCGCAAGTCGAGAAAAACCAGGAGACATCCCCCTAGATGCGAGATGAGGCCCGATTCCCCTGCATTGCATGCAGAACAATTCCGTGACCATCATCAAACATGTAAGGAGCTTTCACTAGATGAATGGATCTCGAGACAGTCCCCAAGAACACTGTCACAAGTCTAGACGGACACTGACGTCACCCCAGCAAAGCAAAGCAGTTTCATGTGCAACAAATCAACTCGAGATGAGGCCCGATTCCCCTGCATTGCTTCCAGAGCCATCCCCCTTTCCCCATTAAACAGGACTAGTGGTTTGACTTCCTTCAGGCAACTCCAGAGATTGCCTGAGAACACTGTCGCAAGTCTAGAAGAACACCAACTTCAGCACAGCAACTCGAGGAATGCTCCATGTACCCCTAATTGTCTCGAGATGAGAGCTGATTCCCTGGCTTAGGCCCAAGACGTATGCCAACTTTCCAGAAACACCGAAAGAGGAGGCTTCTTTCAACAATAGTTATGTGGAGGGACCCCGAGTTTGATGCCTCAAATGGAATATACAGTGAGAAGCCCTAACTTGAAAGGAGGCCGGATTTCCTTGCAGTGGTGTGAATACAGGCTAGTCTTTCATGTCACAACATGAAGGGATGTCTGAATCCCCTGTCGAGACGTTAGAGAAAGATCTAGGTCCCTGCCTCATTTTGACGGAATGCCTCACATCCCTTTGACACATCGAGAGGCACTCGGAGATCACTACTTCAAAGGGTGACGATGCATGACTCCTCTTGAACATTGTTAGGAATCCCCAAATCCCTGTGACTACTGGAAAGGGTCCTTGGGTGCCCTCCCTTACCTCGAGAAGCGTTCGTTTTACCCTGCCAAGCCTCAAAGAGATTCCTGACGTGTCCCTCGTTACTGGACAGGAGACGTGACATCACTATATAAACACGTGTTTTGAAGGGCCATCCCCGCCTTAACTCGAGAAGATACCCCAGGTCGCCACCGAAAATCGAGCAAAACCATGTGACTTCCCCCTAGAAGTTGGATGAGGCCCGATTCCGCTGCATTTAATGCAGAGCGATTCTGTGATCTCCATCAAACATGTAAGGAGCTTCGACTTGGTTAATGGATCTCAAGACAGTCCCCAAGAACACTGTCACAAGTCTAGACGGATCCTGAGGTCACCCCAGCAACTCAAACAGATCTATGTGCCCCAAATCAACTCGAGATGAGGCCAGATTCCCCTGCATTGACTCCAGAGCCTTCCCCATCCCCATTAAATAAGACCAGTGGCTCGACTTCCTTCACACAATTCCAGAGATTCCCCAAGGACACTGTCCCAAGTCTAGAAGAACACCAACTTCAGCACAGCAACTCGAGGAATGGTCCGTGTACCCCAGATCGTCTCGAGATGAGAGCAGATTCCCTAGCTTAGACTCAACACTTATGCCATCTTTCCAGACAAACCGAAAGAGTAGGCTTCCTCAGCAATAGGTATGTGGGAGGGACACCGAGTTTGCTGCCGCAAGTGGAATATACAGCGAGAAGCCCTAACTTGAAAGGAGGCCGGATTTCCTTGCAGTGGCGTGAATGCAGGCCTGTCTTTCATCTCACAACATGAAGAGATGTCTGAATCCCCTCTCGAGACCTTAGAGAAAGCTCTAGGTCCCTGCCTCATTTTGACGGAATGCCTCTCATAAATTTGGCACCTCGAGAGGCAGGCGGAGTTCACTGCTTCAAAAGGTGACGATGCCTGACTCCTCTTGAACAATGTTAGGAATCCCAGAATCCCTGTGGCTCCTGGAAAGGGTCCTTGGGTGGCCTGCCTCTCCTCGAGAAGCGTCTCTTTTGCAATGCCAAGCCTCGAAGAGATTCCTGAGGTGTCCCCCGTTACTAGACAGATGTCCTGACGTCACTGAATAAACACATGTTTTAAAGGGGCATCCCCGCCGAAACTCGAGAATATACACCAGGTCCCCGCCTCAACTCGAGAAAAACCAGGAGACTGCCCCCTAGATGCGAGATGAGGCCCGATTCCCCTGCATTGCATGCAGAACAATTCCGTGATCATCATCAAACATGTAAGGACCTTCGACTCGATTAATGGATCTTGAGATAGTCCCCAAGAACACTGTCACAAGTCTAGACGGACCCTGAGGTCACCCCAGCAAAGCAAAGCAGCTGCATGTGCAGCAAATCAACTCGAGATGAGGCCCGATTCCCCTGCATTGATTCAAGAGCCATCCCCCTTTCCCCATTAAACACGACCAGTGGTTTGACTTCCTTCAGGCAACTCCAGAGATTCCCTGAGAACACTGTCCCAAGTCTAGAAGAACACCAACTTCTGCACAGCAACTCGAGGAATGCTCCTTGTACCCCTAATCGTCTTGACATGAGAGCTGATTCCCTGGCTTAGGCTCAAGACGTATGCCAACTTTCCAGAAACACCGAAAGAGGAGGCTTCTCTCAGCAATAGGTATGTGGGAGGAACCCCGAGTTTGCTGCCTCAAATTGAATATACAGCGAGAAGCCCTAACTTGAAAGGAGGCCGGATTTCCTTGCAGTGGCGTGAATACAGGCTCGTCTATCATCTCACAACATGAAGGGATGTCTGATACCCTGTCGAGACGTTAGAGAAAGATCTAGGTCCCTGCCTCATTTTGACGGAATGCCTCAGATCCCTTTGACACATCGAGAGGAACCCGGAGATCACTACTTCAAAGGGTGATGATGCAAGACTCCTCTTGAACATTGTTAGGAATCCCAAAATACATGTAACTATTGGAAAGGGACCTTGGGTGCCCTGCCTCACTTCGAGAAGCGTCCCTTTTTGCCCTGCCAAGCCTCAAAGAGATTTCTGAGGTGTCCCTCGTTACTAGACAGGAGTCGTGACATCACTATATAAACACGTGTTTTGAAGGGCCATCCCCGCTGAAACTCGAGAACATTCCCCAGGTCGCCGCCGAAAATCGAGAAAAACCATGTGACTTCCCCCTAGAGGCGAGATGAGGCCCGATTCCCCTGCATTGCATGCAGAGCCATTCTGTGATCTCCATCAAACATGTAAGGAGCTTCGACTTGGTTTTTGGATCTCAAGACAGTCCCCAAGAACACTGTCACAAGTCTAGACGGGCCCTGAGGTCACGCCAGCAATGCAAAGCAGCTCCATGTGCCCCAAATCAACTCGAGATGAGGTCAGATTCCCCTTCATTGACTCCAGAGCCAACCCCCGTTACACATTAAATACGGCCAGTGGCTCGACTTCCTTCACACAATTCCAGATATTCCCCAAGGACACTGTCCCAGCTCTAGAAGAACACGAACTTCAGCACAGCAACTCGAGGAATGTTCCGTGTACCCCTAATCGTCTCGAGATGAGAGCTGATTCCCCGGCTTAGACTCAAAACTTATGCCAACTTTCCAGAGACAGCGAGAGAGGAGGCTTCCTCAGCAATAGGTATGTGGGAGGGACCCCGAGTTTGCTGCCTCAAGTGGAATATACAGCGAGAAGCCCTAACTTGAAAGGAGGCCGGATTTCCTTGCAGTGGCTTGAATACAGGATCGTCTTTCATCTCAAACATGAAGGGATGTCTGAATCCCCTGTCGAGACCTTAGCAGAGCTCTAGGTCCCTGCCTCATTGACGGAATGCCTCACATCCATATGGCAGCTCGAGAGGCAGGCGGAGTTCACTGCCTCAAAATGTCACGATGCCTGACTCCTCTTGAAAAATGTTATGAATCTCAAATCCCTGTGGCTCCTGAAAAGGGTCCTTGGGTGCCCTGCCTCACCTCGAGAAGCGTCCCTTTTGCCCTGCCAAGCCTCAAAATATTCCTGAGGTGTCCCTCATTACTAGACAGGAGTCCTGTTGTCACTGAATAAACACGTGTTTTGAAGGGCCATCCCCGCTGTACCTCGAGAACATACCCCAGGTCGCCGCGGAAAATCGAGAAAAACCATGTGACTTCCCCCTAGAGGCGAGATGAGGCCCAATTCCCCTGCATTGCATCAGAGCCATTCCATGATCTCCATCAAACCTGTAAGGAGCTTCGACTTAGTTAATGGATCTCAAGACAGTCCCCAAGAACACTGTCACAAGTCTAGACGGACCCTGAGGTCACCCCAGCAATGCAAAGCAGCTCCACGTGCCCCAAATCAACTCGAGAAGAGGATTGATTCACCTGCAATGATTCCAGAGCCATTCCCCATTCCCCATTAAACACGACCATTGGCTCGACTTCCTTCAGGCAACTCCAGAGATTCCCCGAGAACACTGTCCCAAGTCTAGAAGAACACCAACTTCAGCACAGCAACTCGAGGAATGCTCCGTGTACCCCAAATTGTCTCGAGATGAGAGCTGATTCCCTGGCTTAGGCTCAACACTTATGCCAACATTCCAGAAACACCGAAAGAGGAGGCTTCCTCAGCAATAGGTATGTGGGAGGGACCCCGAGTTTGCTGCCTCAAGTGGAATATACAGCGAGAAGCCCTAACTTGAAAGGAGGCCAGATTTCCTTGCAGTGGCTTGAATACAGGCTCATCTTTCATCTCACAACATGAAGGGATGTCTGAATCCCCTGTCGAGACCTTAAAGAAAGCTCTAGGTCCCTGCCTCATTGTGACGGAATGCCTCACATTCATTTGGCACCTCGAGAGGCAGGCAGAGTTCAGTGCTTCAAAATGTCACGATGCCTGACTCCTCTTGAACAATGTTAGGAATCCCCAAATCCCTGTGGCTCCTGGAAAGTGTCCTTGGTTACCCTGCCTCACCTCGAGAAGCGTCCCTTTTGTAATGCCAAGCCTTGAAGAGATTCCTGAGGTGTCCCTCGTTACTAGACAGGAGTCCTGACATCACTGAATAAACACATGTTTTCAAGGGCCATCCCTGCCGTAACTCAAGAACATACACCAGGTCCCCGCCGCAAGTCGAGAAAAACCAGGAGACATCCCCCTAGATGCGAGATGAGGCCCGATTCCCCTGCATTGCATGCAGAACAATTCCGTGACCATCATCAAACATGTAAGGAGCTTTCACTAGATGAATGGATCTCGAGACAGTCCCCAAGAACACTGTCACAAGTCTAGACGGACACTGACGTCACCCCAGCAAAGCAAAGCAGTTTCATGTGCAACAAATCAACTCGAGATGAGGCCCGATTCCCCTGCATTGCTTCCAGAGCCATCCCCCTTTCCCCATTAAACAGGGCTAGTGGTTTGACTTCCTTCAGGCAACTCCAGAGATTGCCTGAGAACACTGTCGCAAGTCTAGAAGAACACCAACTTCAGCACAGGAACTCGAGGAATGCTCCATGTACCCCTAATTGTCTCGAGATGAGAGCTGATTCCCTGGCTTAGGCCCAAGACGTATGCCAACTTTCCAGAAACACCGAAAGAGGAGGCTTCTTTCAACAATAGTTATGTGGGAGAGACCCCGAGTTTGCTGCCTCAAATGGAATATACAGCGAGAAGCCCTAACTTGAAAGGAGGCCGGATTTCCTTGCAGTGGCGTGAATACAGGCTCGTCTATCATCTCACAACATGAAGGGATGTCTGAATCCCCTGTCGAGACGTTAGAGAAAGATCTAGGTCCCTGCCTCATTTTGACGGAATGCCTCATATCCCTTTGACATATCGAGAGGAACCCGGAGATCACTACTTCAAAGAGTGACGATGCAAGACTCCTCTTGAACATTGTTAGGAATCCCAGAATACATGTAACTATTGGAAAGGGACCTTGGGTGCCCTGCCTCACCTCGAGAAGCGTCCCTTTTTGCCCTGCCAAGCCTCAAAGAGATTCCTGAGGTGTCCCTCGTTACTAGACAGGAGTCCTGACGTCACTGAATAAACACGTGTTTTGAAGGGCCATCCCCACCGTAACTCAAGATCATACACCAGGTCCCCGCCGCAAGTCGAGAAAAACCAGGAGACATCCCCCTAGATGCGAGATGAGGCCCGATTCCCCTGCATTGCATGCAGAACAATTCCGTGACCATCATCAAACATGTAAGGAGCTTTCACTAGATGAATGGATCTCGAGACAGTCACCAAGAACACTGTCACAAGACTAGACGGACACTGACGACACCCCAGCAAAACAAAGCAGTTTCATGTGCAACAAATCAACTCGAGATGAGGCCCGATTCCCCTGCATTGCTTCCAGAGCCATCCCCCTTTCCCCATTAAACAGGACTAGTGGTTTGACTTCCTTCAGGCAACTCCAGAGATTGCCTGAGAACACTGTCGCAAGTCTAGAAGAACACCAACTTCAGCACAGCAACTCGAGGAATGCTCCGTGTACCCCTAATTGTCTCGAGATGAGAGCTGATTCCCTGGCTTAGGCCCAAGACGTATGCCAACTTTCCAGAAACACCGAAAGAGGAGGCTTCTTTCAACAATAGTTATGTGGGAGGGACCCCGAGTTTGCTGCCTCAAATGGAATATACAGTGAGAAGCCCTAACTTGAAAGGAGGCCGGATTTCCTTGCAGTGGTGTGAATACAGGCTCGTCTTTCATGTCACAACATGAAGGGATGTCTGAATCCCCTGTCGAGACGTTAGAGAAAGATCTAGGTCCCTGCCTCATTTTGACGGAATGCCTCACATCCCTTTGACACATCGAGAGGCACTCGGAGATCACTACTTCAAAGGGTGACGATGCATGACTCCTCTTGAACATTGTTAGGAATCCCCAAATCCCTGTGACTACTGGAAAGGGTCCTTGGGTGCCCTGCCTTACCTCGAGAAGCATTCATTTTATCCTGCCAAGCCTCAAAGAAATTCCTGACGTGTCCCTCGTTACTGGACAGGAGACGTGACATCACTATATAAACACGTGTTTTGAAGGGCCATCCCCGCCGTAATTCGAGAACATACCCCAGGTCGCCACCGAAAATCGAGAAAAACCATGTGACTTCCCCCTAGAGGTTGGATGAGGCCCGATTCCGTTGCATTGCATGCAAAGCGATTCTGTGATCTCCATCAAACATGTAAGGAGCTTCGACTTGGTTAATGGATCTCAAGACAGTCTCCAAGAACACTGTCACAAGTCTAGACGGACCCTGAGGTCACCCCAGCAACGCAAAGCAGCTCCATGTGCCCCAAATCAACTCGAGATGAGGCCAGATTCCCCTGCATTGACTCCAGAGCCTTCCCCCATTCCCCATTAAACACGACCAGTGGCTCGAGTTCCTTCACACAATTCCAGAGATTCCCCAAGTACACTGTCCCAAGTCTAGAAGAACACCAACGTCAGCACAGCAACTCGAGGAATGGTCCATGTACCCCAGATCGTCTCGAGATGAGAGCAGATTCCCTAGCTTAGACTCAACACTTATGCTATCTTTCCAGACACACCGAAAGAGTAGGCTTCCTCAGCAATAGGCATGTGGCAGGGACCCCGAGTTTGCTGCCTCAAGTGGAATATACAGCGAGAAGCCCTAACTTGAAAGGAGGCCGGATTTCCTTGCAGTGGCGTGAATGCAGGCCTGTCTTTCATCTCACAACATGAAGAGATGTCTGAATCCCCTGTCGAGACCTTAGAGAAAGATCTAGGTCCCTGCCTCATTTTGACGGAATGCCTCTCATAAATTTGGCACCTCGAGAGGCAGGCGGAGTTCACTGCTTCAAAAGTTGACGATGCCTGACTCCTCTTGAACAATGTTAGGAATCCCAGAATCCCTGTGGCTCCTGGAAAGGGTCCTTGGGTGGCCTGCCTCTCCTCGAGAAGCGTCTCTTTTGCAATGCCAAGCCTCGAAGAGATTCCTGAGGTGTCCCCCGTTACTAGACAGATGTCCTGACGTCACTGAATAAACACATGTTTTAAAGGGGCATCCCCGCCGAAACTCGAGAATATACACCAGGTCCCCGCCTCAACTCGAGATAAACCAGGAGACTGCCCCCTAGATGCGAGATTAGGCCCGATTCCCCTGCACTGCATGCAGAACAATTCCGTGATCATCATCAAACATGTAAGGACCTTCGACTCGATTAATGGATCTTGAGATAGTCCCCAAGAACACTGTCACAAGTCTAGACGGACCCTGAGGTCACCCCAGCAAAGCAAAGCAGCTGCATGTGCAGCAAATCAACTCGAGATGAGGCCCGATTCCCCTGCATTGATTCAAGAGCCATCCCCCTTTCCCCATTAAACACGACCAGTGGTTTGACTTCCTTCAGGCAACTCCAGAGATTCCCTGAGAACACTGTCCCAAGTCTAGAAGAACACCAACTTCTGCACAGCAACTCGAGGAATGCTCCTTGTACCCCTAATCGTCTTGACATGAGAGCTGATTCCCTGGCTTAGGCTCAAGACGTATGCCAACTTGCCAGAAACACCGAAAGAGGAGGCTTCTCTCAGCGATAGGTATGTGGGAGGAACCCTGAGTTTGCTGCCTGAAATTGAATATACTGCAAGAAGCCCTAAATTGAAAGGAGGCCGGATTTCCTTGCAGTGGCGTGAATACAGGCTCGTCTATCATCTCACAACATGAAGGGATGTCTGAATCCCCTGTCGAGACGTTAGAGAAAGATCTAGGTCCCTGCCTCATTTTGACGGAATGTCTCACATCCCTTTGACACATCGAGAGAAACCCGGAGATCACTACTTCAAAGGGTGACGATGCAAGACTCCTCTTGAACATTGTTAGGAATCCCAGAATACATTTAACTATTGGAAAGGGACCTTGGGTGCCCTGCCTCACCTCGAGAAGCGTCCCTTTTTGCCCTGCCAAGCCTCAAAGAGATTCCTGAGGTGTCCCTTGTTACTAGACAGGAGTCCTGACATCACTATATAAACACGTGTTTTGAAGGGCCATCCCCACTGAAACTCGAGAACATTCCCCAGGTCGCCGCCGAAAATCGAGAAAAACCATGTGACTTCCCCCTAGAGGCGAGATGAGGCCCGATTCCCCTGCATTGCATGCAGAGCCATTCCGAGATCCCCATCAAACATGTAAGGAGCTTCGCCTTGGTTAATGGATCTCAAGACAGTCTCCTAGAACACTGTCACAAGTCTAGACGGACCCTGAGGTCACACCAGCAACGCAAAGCAGCTCCATGTGCCCCAAATCAACTCGATTTGAGGCCAGATTCCCCTGCATTGACTCCAGAGCCATCCCCCCTTCCACATTAAATACGACCAGTGGCACGACTTCCTTCACGCAATTCCAGCATTTCCCTAAGGACACTGTCCGAAGTCTAGAAGAACACCAACTTCAGCAGAGCAACTCGAGGAATGCTGCATGTAACCCACATCGTATGGAGATGAGAGCTGATTTCCTGGCTTAGGCCCAAGACGTATTCCAACTTTCCAGAAGCACCTCAAGAGGAGGCTTCTCTCAGCAACTGGTATGTTGGAGGGACCCTGAATTTGCTGCCTCAAGTGGAATATACAGCGAGAAGCCCTATCTTGAAAGGAGGCTGGATTTCCTTGCAGTGGCTTGAATACAGGTTCGTCTTTCATCTCACAACATGAAGGGATGTCTGAATCCCCTGTCGAGAACTTAGAGAAAGTTCTAGGTCCCTGCCTCATTTTGACGGAATGCCTAACATCCATTTGACACCTCGCGAGGCACGCGGAGTTCACTGATTCAAAACGTTACGATGCTTGACTCTTCTTGAACATTGATAGGAATCCCAAAATCCCTGTGGCTACTGGAAAGGGTCCTTGGGTGCCATGCCTCACCTCGAGAAGCGTCCCTTTTACCCTGCCAAGCCGCAAAAAATTCCTGAGGTGTCCCTCGTTACTAGACCGGAGTCCTGGCCTCACTGAATCACCCCGTGTTTTGAAGGGCCATTCCTGCCGTAACTCGAGAACATACCCCAGGTCCCCACCGCAACTCGAGAAAAACCGTGAGACTTCCCCCTAGATGCGAGATGAGGCCCGATTCACCTGCAGTGCATGCAGAGCAATTCCATGATCCCCATCAAACAAGTCAGGAGCTTCGACTTGCTTAATCGATCTCGAGACAGTCCCCAAGAATACTGTCACAAGTCTAGACGGACCCTGAGGTCACCCCAGCAATGCAAAGCAGCTCCACGTGCCCCAAGTCAACTCGAGATGAGGATCGATTCATCTGCATTGACTCCAGAACCATTCCCCATTTCCCATTAAACACGACCATTGGCTCGACTTCCTTCAGGCAACTCCAGAGATGCCCCGAGAACACTGTACCAAGTCTAGAAGAACACCAACCTCAGCACAGCAACTCGAGGAATGCTCCGTGCACCCCACATTGTGTGGAGATGAGAGCTGATTGCCTGGCCTAGGCCCAAGGGGTATGCCAACTTTCCAGAAGCACCTCAAGAGGAGGCTTCTCTCAACAATAGGTATGTGGGAGGGACCCCGAGTTTTCTGCCTTAAATGGAATATACAGAGAGAAGCCCTAACTAGAAAGGAGCCCCGATTTCCTAGCAGTGGCGTGAATGCAGGATCGTCTTTCATCTCACAACATGAAGGGGTATTTGAATCCCCTGTCGAGACCTTAGAGAAAGATCTAGGTCCCTGCCTCATTTTGACGGAATGCCTCATATCCCTTTGACACATCGAGAGGCACTCAGAGATCACTGCTCCAAAGGGTGACGATGCATGGCTCCTCTTGAACAATGTTAGGAATCCCAATATCTCTGTGGCTAATGGAAAGTGTCCTTGGTGCCCTGGCTCACCTCGAGAAGCGTCCCTTTTGCCCTGCCAAGCCTCAAAGAGATTCCTGAGGTGTCCCTCGTTACTAGACAGGAGTCCTGACGTCACTGAATAAACACGTGTTTTGAAGGGCCATCCCCTCCGTAACTCGAGAACATACACCAGGTCCCGGCCGCAAGTCGAGAAAAACAGGAGACTTCCCCCAAGATGCGAGATGAGGCCCGATTCCCCTGCAGTGCATGCAGAACAATTCCGTGATCATCATCAAACATGTAAGGAGCTGCGACTAGATTAATGGATCTCGAGACAGTGCCCAAGAACACCGTCACAAGTCTAGACGGACCCTGAGGTCAGCCCAGTAAAGCATAGCAGCTTCATGTGCAGCAAATCAACTCGAGATGAGGCCCGATTCCCCTGCATTGAATCCAGAGCCATCCCCCTTTCCCCATTAATCACGACCAGTGGTTTGACTTCCTTCAGGCAACTCCAGAGATTCCCTGAGAACACTGTCACAAGTCTAGAAGAACACCAACTTCAGCAAAGCAACTCGAGGAATGTTCCCTGTACCCCTAATCGTCTCGAGATGAGAGCTGATTCCCTGGCTTAGGCCCAAGACGTATGCCAACTTGCCAGAAACACCGAAAGAGGAGGCTTCTCTCAGTGATAAGTATGTGGGAGGGACCCCGAGTTTGCTGCCTCAAGTGGAATATACAGCGAGAAGCCCTAACTTGATAGGAGGACGGATTTCCTTGCAGTGGCTTGAATATAGGCTAGTCTTTCATCTCACAACATGAAGGGATGTCTGAATCCCCTGTCGACACCTTAGAGAAAGATCTAGGTCCCTGACTCATTTTGACGGAATGCCTCAAACCCATTTGATACCTCGAGAGACACGCAGAGTTCACTGCTTCAAAAGGTAACGATGCCTGGCTAATCTTGAACATTGTTAGGAATCGCAAAATCACTGTGACTACTGAAAAGGGACCTTGGGTGCCCTGCCTCACCTCGAGAAGCATTCCTTTTACACTGCCAAGCCTCAAAGAGATTCCTGAGGTGTCCCTCGTTACTAGACAGGAGTCCTGACATCACTATATAAAGATGTGTTTTGAAGGGCCATCCCCACCGTAACTCGAGAACAAACCCCAGGTCGCCGCCGAAAATCGAGAAAAACCATGTGACTTCCCCCTAGAGGCGAGATGAGGCCGGATTCCCCTGCATTGCATGCAGAGCCATTCTGTGATCTCCATCAAACATGTAAGGAGCTTCGACTTGGTTAATGGATCTCAAGACAGTCCCCAAGAACACTGTCACAAGTCTAGACGGGCCCTGAGGTCACGCCAGCAATGCAAAGCAGCTCCATGTGCCCCAAATCAACTCGAGATGAGGCCAGATTCCCCTTCATTGACTCCAGAGCCAACCCCCGTTACACATTAAATACGGCCAGTGGCTCGACTTCTTTCACACAATTCCAGATATTCCCCAAGGACACTGTCCCAACTCTAGAAGAACACGAACTTCAGCACAGCAACTCGAGGAATGTTCCATGTACCCCTAATCGTCTCGAGATGAGAGCTGATTCCCCGGCTTAGACTCAAAACTTATGCCAGCTTTCCAGAGACACCGAGAGAGGAGGCTTCCTCAGCAATAGGTATGTGGGAGGGACCTCGAGTTTGCTGCCTCAAGTGGAATATACAGCGAGAAGCCCTAACTTGAATGGAGGCCGGATTTCCTTGCAGTGGCTTGAATACAGGCTCGTCTTTCATCTCAAACATGAAGGGATGTCTGAAACCCCTGTCGAGACCTTAGCAGAGCTCTAGGTCCCCGCCTCATTTGACGAAATGCCTCACATCCATATGGCAGCTCGAGAGGCAGGCGGAGTTCACTGCTTCAAAATGTCACAATGCCTGACTCCTCTTGAACAATGTTAGGAATCTCAAATCCCTGTGGCTCCTGAAAAGGGTCTTTGGGTGCCCTGCCTCACCTCGAGAAGCGTCCCTTTTGCCCTGCCAAGCCTCAAAATATTCCTGAGGTGTCCCTCATTAGTAGACAGGAGTCCTGTTGTCACTGAATAAACACGTGTTTTGAAGGGCCATCCCGCTGTACCTCGAGAACATACCCCAGGTCGCCGCGGAAAATCGAGAAAAACCATGTGACATCCCCCTAGAGGCGAGATGAGGCCCGATTCCCCTGCATTGCATCAGAGCCATTCCATGATCTCCATCAAACCTGTAAGGAGCTTCGACTTAGTTAATGGATGTCAAGACAGTCCCCAAAAACACTGTCACAAGTCTAGACGGACCCTGAGGTCACCCCAGCAATGCAAAGCAGCTCCACGTGCCCCAAATCAACTCGAGAAGAGGATTGATTCCCCTGCAATGACTCCAGAGCCATTCCCCGTTCCCCATTAAACACGACCATTGGCTCGACTTCCTTCAGGCAACTCCAGAGATTCCCCGAGAACACTGTCCCAAGTCTAGAAGAACACCAACTTCAGCACAGCAACTCGAGGAATGCTCCGTGTACCCCAAACCGTCTCGAGATGAGAGCTGATTCCCTGGCTTAGACTCAACACTTATGCCAACATTCCAGAAACACCGAAAGAGGAGGCTTCCTCAGCAATAGGTATGTGGGAGAGACCCCGAGTTTGCTGCCTCAAATGGAACATACAGCGAGAAGCCCTAACTTGAAAGGAGGCCGGATTTCCTTGCAGTGGCTTGAATACAGGCTCGTCTTTCATCTCACAACATGAAGGGATGTCTGAATCCCCTGTCGAGACCTTAAAGAAAGCTCTAGGTCCCTGCCTCATTGTGACGGAATGCCTCACATTCATTTGGCACCCCGAGAGGCAGGCAGAGTTCACTGCTTCAAAATGTCACGATGCCTGACTCCTCTTGAACAATGTTAGGAATCCCCAAATCCCTGTGGCTCCTGGAAAGTGTCCTTGGGTGCCCTGCCTCACCTCGAGAAGCGTCCCTTTTGTAATGCCAAGCCTTGAAGAGATTCCTGAGGTGTCCCTCGTTACTAGACAGGAGTCCTGACGTCACTGAATAAACACGTGTTTTCAAGGGCCATCCCCGCCATAACTCAAGAACGTACAAAAGGTCCCCGCCGCAAGTCGAGAAAAACCAGGAGACATCCCCCTAGATGCGAGATGAGGCCCGATTCCCCTGCATTGCATGCAGAACAATTCCGTGACCATCATCAAACATGTAAGGAGCTTTCACTAGATGAATGGATCTCGAGACAGTCCCCAAGAACACTGTCACAAGTCTAGACGGACACTGACGTCACCCCAGCAAAGCAAAGCAGTTTCATGTGCAACAAATCAACTCGAGATGAGGCCCGATTCCCCTGCATTGCTTCCAGAGCCATCCCCCTTTCCCCATTAAACAGGACTAGTGGTTTGACTTCCTTCAGGCAACTCCAGAGATTGCCTGAGAACACTGTCGCAAGTCTAGAAGAACACCAACTTCAGCACAGCAACTCGAGGAATGCTCCGTGTACCCCTAATTGTCTCGAGATGAGAGCTGATTCCCTGGCTTAGGCCCAAGACGTATGCCAACTTTCCAGAAACACCGAAAGAGGAGGCTTCTTTCAACAATAGTTATGTGGGAGGGACCCCGAGTTTGCTGCCTCAAATGGAATATACAGTGAGAAGCCCTAACTTGAAAGGAGGCCGGATTTCCTTGCAGTGGTGTGAATACAGGCTCGTCTTTCATGTCACAACATGAAGGGATGTCTGAATCCCCTGTCGAGACGTTAGAGAAAGATCTAGGTCCCTGCCTCATTTTGACGGAATGCCTCACATCCCTTTGACACATCGAGAGGCACTCGGAGATCACTACTTCAAAGGGTGACGATGCATGACTCCTCTTGAACATTGTTAGGAATCCCCAAATCCCTGTGACTACTGGAAAGGGTCCTTGGGTGCCCTGCCTTACCTCGAGAAGCGTTCGTTTTACCCTGCCAAGCCTCAAAGAGATTCCTGACGTGTCCCTCGTTACTGGACAGGAGACGTGACATCACTATATAAACACGTGTTTTGAAGGGCCATCCCCGCCTTAACTCGAGAAGATACCCCAGGTCGCCACCGAAAATCGAGCAAAACCATGTGACTTCCCCCTAGAAGTTGGATGAGGCCCGATTCCGCTGCATTTCATGCAGAGCGATTCTGTGATCTCCATCAAACATGTAAGGAGCTTCGACTTGGTTAATGGATCTCAAGACAGTCCCCAAGAACACTGTCACAAGTCTAGACGGACCCTGAGGTCACGCCAGCAACGCAAAGCAGCTCTATGTGCCCCAAATCAACTCGAGATGAGGCCAGATTCCCCTGCATTGACTCCAGAGCCTTCCCCCATCCCCATTAAATAAGACCAGTGGCTCGACTTCCTTCACACAATTCCAGAGATTCCCCAAGGACACTGTCCCAAGTCTAGAAGAACACCAACTTCAGCACAGCAACTCGAGGAATGGTCCGTGTACCCCAGAACGTCTCGAGATGAGAGCAGATTCCCTAGCTTAGACTCAACACTTATGCCATCTTTCCAGACAAACCGAAAGAGTAGGCTTCCTCAGCAATAGGTATGTGGGAGGGACACCGAGTTTGCTGCCGCAAGTGGAATATACAGCGAGAAGCCCTAACTTGAAAGGAGGCCGGATTTCCTTGCAGTGGCGTGAATGCAGGCCTGTCTTTCATCTCACAACATGAAGAGATGTCTGAATCCCCTCTCGAGACCTTAGAGAAAGATCTAGGTCCCTGCCTCATTTTGACGGAATGCCTCTCATAAATTTGGCACCTCGAGAGGCAGGCGGAGTTCACTGCTTCAAAAGTTGACGATGCCTGACTCCTCTTGAACAATGTTAGGAATCCCAGAATCCCTGTGGCTCCTGGAAAGGGTCCTTGGGTGGCCTGCCTCTCCTCGAGAAGCGTCTCTTTTGCAATGCCAAGCCTCGAAGAGATTCCTGAGGTGTCCCCCGTTACTAGACAGATGTCCTGACATCACTGAATAAACACATGTTTTAAAGGGGCATCCCCGCCGAAACTCGAGAATATACACCAGGTCCCCGCCTCAACTCGAGAAAAACCAGGAGACTGCCCCCTAGATGCGAGATGAGGCCCGATTCCCCTGCATTGCATGCAGAACAATTCCGTGATCATCATCAAACATGTAAGGACCTTCGACTCGATTAATGGATCTTGAGATAGTCCCCAAGAACACTGTCACAAGTCTAGACGGACCCTGAGGTCACCCCAGCAAAGCAAAGCAGCTGCATGTGCAGCAAATCAACTCGAGATGAGGCCCGATTCCCCTGCATTGATTCAAGAGCCATCCCCCTTTCCCCATTAAACACGACCAGTGGTTTGACTTCCTTCAGGCAACTCCAGAGATTCCCTGAGAACACTGTCCCAAGTCTAGAAGAACACCAACTTCTGCACAGCAACTCGAGGAATGCTCCTTGTACCCCTAATCGTCTTGACATGAGAGCTGATTCCCTGGCTTAGGCTCAAGACGTATGCCAACTTTCCAGAAACACCGAAAGAGGAGGCTTCTCTCAGCAATAGGTATGTGGGAGGAACCCCGAGTTTGCTGCCTCAAATTGAATATACAGCGAGAAGCCCTAACTTGAAAGGAGGCCGGATTTCCTTGCAGTGGCGTGAATACAGGCTCGTCTATCATCTCACAACATGAAGGGATGTCTGATACCCTGTCGAGACGTTAGAGAAAGATCTAGGTCCCTGCCTCATTTTGACGGAATGCCTCAGATCCCTTTGACACATCGAGAGGAACCCGGAGATCACTACTTCAAAGGGTGATGATGCAAGACTCCTCTTGAACATTGTTAGGAATCCCAAAATACATGTAACTATTGGAAAGGGACCTTGGGTGCCCTGCCTCACTTCGAGAAGCGTCCCTTTTTGCCCTGCCAAGCCTCAAAGAGATTTCTGAGGTGTCCCTCGTTACTAGACAGGAGTCGTGACATCACTATATAAACACGTGTTTTGAAGGGCCATCCCCGCTGAAACTCGAGAACATTCCCCAGGTCGCCGCCGAAAATCGAGAAAAACCATGTGACTTCCCCCTAGAGGCGAGATGAGGCCCGATTCCCCTGCATTGCATGCAGAGCCATTCTGTGATCTCCATCAAACATGTAAGGAGCTTCGACTTGGTTTTTGGATCTCAAGACAGTCCCCAAGAACACTGTCACAAGTCTAGACGGGCCCTGAGGTCACGCCAGCAATGCAAAGCAGCTCCATGTGCCCCAAATCAACTCGACATGAGGTCAGATTCCCCTTCATTGACTCCAGAGCCAACCCCCGTTACACATTAAATACGGCCAGTGGCTCGACTTCCTTCACACAATTCCAGATATTCCCCAAGGACACTGTCCCAGCTCTAGAAGAACACGAACTTCAGCACAGCAACTCGAGGAATGTTCCGTGTACCCCTAATCGTCTCGAGATGAGAGCTGATTCCCCGGCTTGGACTCAAAACTTATGCCAACTTTCCAGAGACAGCGAGAGAGGAGGCTTCCTCAGCAATAGGTATGTGGGAGGGACCCCGAGTTTGCTGCCTCAAGTGGAATATACAGCGAGAAGCCCTAACTTGAAAGGAGGCCGGATTTCCTTGCAGTGGCTTGAATACAGGATCGTCTTTCATCTCAAACATGAAGGGATGTCTGAATCCCCTGTCGAGACCTTAGCAGAGCTCTAGGTCCCTGCCTCATTGACGGAATGCCTCACATCCATATGGCAGCTCGAGAGGCAGGCGGAGTTCACTGCCTCAAAATGTCACGATGCCTGACTCCTCTTGAAAAATGTTATGAATCTCAAATCCCTGTGGCTCCTGAAAAGGGTCCTTGGGTGCCCTGCCTCACCTCGAGAAGCGTCCCTTTTGCCCTGCCAAGCCTCAAAATATTCCTGAGGTGTCCCTCATTACTAGACAGGAGTCCTGTTGTCACTGAATAAACACGTGTTTTGAAGGGCCATCCCCGCTGTACCTCGAGAACATACCCCAGGTCGCCGCGGAAAATCGAGAAAAACCATGTGACTTCCCCCTAGAGGCGAGATGAGGCCCAATTCCCCTGCATTGCATCAGAGCCATTCCATGATCTCCATCAAACCTGTAAGGAGCTTCGACTTAGTTAATGGATCTCAAGACAGTCCCCAAGAACACTGTCACAAGTCTAGACGGACCCTGAGGTCACCCCAGCAATGCAAAGCAGCTCCACGTGCCCCAAATCAACTCGAGAAGAGGATTGATTCACCTGCAATGATTCCAGAGCCATTCCCCATTCCCCATTAAACACGACCATTGGCTCGACTTCCTTCAGGCAACTCCAGAGATTCCCCGAGAACACTGTCCCAAGTCTAGAAGAACACCAACTTCAGCACAGCAACTCGAGGAATGCTCCGTGTACCCCAAATTGTCTCGAGATGAGAGCTGATTCCCTGGCTTAGACTCAACACTTATGCCAACATTCCAGAAACACCGAAAGAGGAGGCTTCCTCAGCAATAGGTATGTGGGAGGGACCCCGAGTTTGCTGCCTCAAGTGGAATATACAGCGAGAAGCCCTAACTTGAAAGGAGGCCGGATTTCCTTGCAGTGGTGTGAATGCAGGCCTGTCTTTCATCTCACAACATGAAGAGATGTCTGAATCCCCTGTCGAGACCTTAGAGAAAGATCTAGGTCCCTGCCTCATTTTGACGGAATGCCTCTCATAAATTTGGCACCTCGAGAGGCAGGCGGAGTTCACTGCTTCAAAAGTTGACGATGCCTGACTCCTCTTGAACAATGTTAGGAATCCCAGAATCCCTGTGGCTCCTGGAAAGGGTCCTTGGGTGGCCTGCCTCTCCTCGAGAAGCGTCTCTTTTGAATGCCAAGTCTCGAAGAGATTCCTGAGGTGTCCCCCGTTACTAGACAGATGTCCTGACGTCACTGAATAAACACATGTTTTAAAGGGGCATCCCCGCCGAAACTCGAGAATATACACCAGGTCCCCGCCTCAACTCGAGATAAACCAGGAGACTGCCCCCTAGATGCGAGATTAGGCCCGATTCCCCTGCACTGCAAGCAGAACAATTCCATGATCATCATCAAACATGTAAGGACCTTCGACTCGATTAATGGATCTTGAGATAGTCCCCAAGAACACTGTCACAAGTCTAGACGGACCCTGAGGTCACCCCAGCAAAGCAAAGCAGCTGCATGTGCAGCAAATCAACTCGACATGAGGCCCGATTCCCCTGCATTGATTCAAGAGCCATCCCCCTTTCCCCATTAAACACGACCAGTGGTTTGACTTCCTTCAGGCAACTCCAGAGATTGCCTGAGAACACTGTCGCAAGTCTAGAAGAACACCAACTTCAGCACAGCAACTCGAGGAATGCTCCATGTACCCCTAATTGTCTCGAGATGAGAGCTGATTCCCTGGCTTAGGCCCAAGACGTATGCCAACTTTCCAGAAACACCAAAAGAGGAGGCTTCTTTCAACAATAGTTATGTGGGAGAGACCCCGAGTTTGCTGCCTCAAATGGAATATACAGCGAGAAGCCCTAACTTGAAAGGAGGCCGGATTTCCTTGCAGTGGCGTGAATACAGGCTCGTCTATCATCTCACAACATGAAGGGATGTCTGAATCCCCTGTCGAGACGTTAGAGAAAGATCTAGGTCCCTGCCTCATTTTGACGGAATGCCTCACATCCCTTTGACATATCGAGAGGAACCCGGAGATCACTACTTCAAAGAGTGACGATGCAAGACTCCTCTTGAACATTGTTAGGAATCCCAGAATACATGTAACTATTGGAAAGGGACCTTGGGTGCCCTGCCTCACCTCGAGAAGCGTCCCTTTTTGCCCTGCCAAGCCTCAAAGAGATTCCTGAGGTGTCCCTCGTTACTAGACAGGAGTCCTGACGTCACTGAATAAACACGTGTTTTGAAGGGATATCCCCACCGTAACTCAAGAACATACACCAGGTCCCCGCCGCAAGTCGAGAAAAACCAGGAGACATCCCCCTAGATGCGAGATGAGGCCCGATTCCCCTGCATTGCATGCAGAACAATTCCGTGACCATCATCAAACATGTAAGGAGCTTTCACTAGATGAATGGATCTCGAGACAGTCCCCAAGAACACTGTCACAAGTCTAGACGGACACTGACGTCACCCCAGCAAAGCAAAGCAGTTTCATGTGCAACAAATCAACTCGAGATGAGGCCCGATTCCCCTGCATTGCTTCCAGAGCCATCCCCCTTTCCCCATTAAACAGGACTAGTGGTTTGACTTCCTTCAGGCAACTCCAGAGATTGCCTGAGAACACTGTCGCAAGTCTAGAAGAACACCAACTTCAGCACAGCAACTCGAGGAATGCTCCGTGTACCCCTAATTGTCTCGAGATGAGAGCTGATTCCCTGGCTTAGGCCCAAGACGTATGCCAACTTTCCAGAAACACCGAAAGAGGAGGCTTCTTTCAACAATAGTTATGTGGGAGGGACCCCGAGTTTGCTGCCTCAAATGGAATATACAGTGAGAAGCCCTAACTTGAAAGGAGGCCGGATTTCCTTGCAGTGGTGTGAATACAGGCTCGTCTTTCATGTCACAACATGAAGGGATGTCTGAATCCCCTGTCGAGACGTTAGAGAAAGATCTAGGTCCCTGCCTCATTTTGACGGAATGCCTCACATCCCTTTGACACATCGAGAGGCACTCGGAGATCACTACTTCAAAGGGTGACGATGCATGACTCCTCTTGAACATTGTTAGGAATCCCCAAATCCCTGTGACTACTGGAAAGGGTCCTTGGGTGCCCTGCCTTACCTCGAGAAGCATTCATTTTATCCTGCCAAGCCTCAAAGAAATTCCTGACGTGTCCCTCGTTACTGGACAGGAGACGTGACATCACTATATAAACACGTGTTTTGAAGGGCCATCCCCGCCGTAATTCGAGAACATACCCCAGGTCGCCACCGAAAATCGAGAAAAACCATGTGACTTCCCCCTAGAGGTTGGATGAGGCCCGATTCCGCTGCATTGCATGCAGAGCGATTCTGTGATCTCCATCAAACATGTAAGGAGCTTCGACTTGGTTAATGGATCTCAAGACAGTCTCCAAGAACACTGTCACAAGTCTAGAGGGACCCTGAGGTCACCCCAGCAACGCAAAGCAGCTCCATGTGCCCCAAATCAACTCGCGATGAGGCCAGATTCCCCTGCATTGACTCCAGAGCCTTCCCCCATTCCCCATTAAACACGACCAGTGGCTCGACTTCCTTCACACAATTCCAGAGATTCCCCAAGTACACTGTCCCAAGTCTAGAAGAACACCAACGTCAGCACAGCAACTCGAGGAATGGTCCATGTACCCCAGATCGTCTCGAGATGAGAGCAGATTCCCTAGCTTAGACTCAACACTTATGCCATCTTTCCAGACACACCGAAAGAGTAGGCTTCCTCAGCAATAGGCATGTGGCAGGGACCCCGAGTTTGCTGCCTCAAGTGGAATATACAGCGAGAAGCCCTAACTTGAAAGGAGGCCGGATTTCCTTGCAGTGGCGTGAATGCAGGCCTGTCTTTCATCTCACAACATGAAGAGATGTCTGAATCCCCTGTCGAGACCTTAGAGAAAGATCTAGGTCCCTGCCTCATTTTGACGGAATGCCTCTCATAAATTTGGCACCTCGAGAGGCAGGCGGAGTTCACTGCTTCAAAAGTTGACGATGCCTGACTCCTCTTGAACAATGTTAGGAATCCCAGAATCCCTGTGGCTCCTGGAAAGGGTCCTTGGGTGGCCTGCCTCTCCTCGAGAAGCGTCTCTTTTGAATGCCAAGCCTCGAAGAGATTCCTGAGGTGTCCCCCGTTACTAGACAGATGTCCTGACGTCACTGAATAAACACATGTTTTAAAGGGGCATCCCCGCCGAAACTCGAGAATATACACCAGGTCCCCGCCTCAACTCGAGATAAACCAGGAGACTGCCCCCTAGATGCGAGATTAGGCCCGATTCCCCTGCACTGCATGCAGAACAATTCCGTGATCATCATCAAACATGTAAGGACCTTCGACTCGATTAATGGATCTTGAGATAGTCCCCAAGAACACTGTCACAAGTCTAGACGGACCCTGAGGTCACCCCAGCAAAGCAAAGCAGCTGCATGTGCAGCAAATCAACTCGAGATGAGGCCCGATTCCCCTGCATTGATTCAAGAGCCATCCCCCTTTCCCCATTAAACACGACCAGTGGTTTGACTTCCTTCAGGCAACTCCAGAGATTCCCTGAGAACACTGTCCCAAGTCTAGAAGAACACCAACTTCTGCACAGCAACTCGAGGAATGCTCCTTGTACCCCTAATCGTCTTGACATGAGAGCTGATTCCCTGGCTTAGGCTCAAGACGTATGCCAACTTTCCAGAAACACCGAAAGAGGAGGCTTCTCTCAGCGATAGGTTTGTGGGAGGAACCCCGAGTTTGCTGCCTGAAATTGAATATACTGCAAGAAGCCCTAACTTGAAAGGAGGCCGGATTTCCTTGCAGTGGCGTGAATACAGGCTCGTCTATCATCTCACAACATGAAGGGATGTCTGAATCCCCTGTCGAGACGTTAGAGAAAGATCTAGGTCCCTGCCTCATTTTGACGGAATGTCTCACATCCCTTTGACACATCGAGAGAAACCCGGAGATCACTACTTCAAAGGGTGACGATGCAAGACTCCTCTTGAACATTGTTAGGAATCCCAGAATACATGTAACTATTGGAAAGGGACCTTGGGTGCCCTGCCTCACCTCGAGAAGCGTCCCTTTTTGCCCTGCCAAGCCTCAAAGAGATTCCTGAGGTGTCCCTCGTTACTAGACAGGAGTCCTGACATCACTATATAAACACGTGTTTTGAAGGGCCATCCCCACTGAAACTCGAGAACATTCCCCAGGTCGCCGCCGAAAATCGAGAAAAACCATGTGACTTCCCCCTAGAGGCGAGATGAGGCCCGATTCCCCTGCATTGCATGCAGAGCCATTCTGTGATCTCCATCAAACATGTAAGGAGCTTCGCCTTGGTTAATGGATCTCAAGACAGTCTCCTAGAACACTGTCACAAGTCTAGACGGACCCTGAGGTCACACCAGCAACGCAAAGCAGCTCCATGTGCCCCAAATCAACTCGATTTGAGGCCTGATTCCCGTGCATTGACTCCAGAGCCATCCCCCGTTCCACATTAAATACGACCAGTGGCACGACTTCCTTCACGCAATTCCAACGTTTCCCTAAGGACACTGTCCGAAGTCTAGAAGAACACCAACTTCAGCAGAGCAACTCGAGGAATGCTGCATGTAACCCACATCGTATGGAGATGAGAGCTGATTTCCTGGCTTAGGCCCAAGACGTATTCCAACTTTCCAGAAGCACCTCAAGAGGAGGCTTCTCTCAGCAACTGGTATGTGGGAGGGACCCTGAATTTGCTGCCTCAAGTGGAATATACAGCGAGAAGCCCTATCTTGAAAGGAGGCTGGATTTCCTTGCAGTGGCTTGAATACAGGTTCGTCTTTCATCTCACAACATGAAGGGATGTCTAAATACCCTGTCGAGAACTTAGAGAAAGTTCTAGGTCCCTGCCTCATTTTGACGGAATGCCTAACATCCATTTGACACCTTGCGAGGCACGCGGAGTTCACTGATTCAAAACGTTACGGTGCTTGACTCTTCTTGAACATTGATAGGAATCCCAAAATCCCTGTGGCTACTGGAAAGGGTCCTTGGGTGCCATGCCTCACCTCGAGAAGCGTCCCTTTTACCCTGCCAAGCCGCAAAAAATTCCTGAGGTGTCCCTCGTTACTAGACCGGAGTCCTGGCCTCACTGAATCACCCCGTGTTTTGAAGGGCCATTCCTGCCGTAACTCGAGAACATACCCCAGGTCCCCACCGCAACTCGAGAAAAACCGTGAGACTTCCCCCTAGATGCGAGATGAGGCCCGATTCACCTGCAGTGCATGCAGAGCAATTCCATGATCCCCATCAAACAAGTCAGGAGCTTCGACTTGCTTAATCGATCTCGAGACAGTCCCCAAGAATACTGTCACAAGTCTAGACGGACCCTGAGGTCACCCCAGCAATGCAAAGCAGCTCCACGTGCCCCAAGTCAACTCGAGATGAGGATCGATTCATCTGCATTGACTCCAGAACCATTCCCCATTTCCTATTAAACACGACCATTGGCTCGACTTCCTTCAGGCAACTCCAGAGATGCCCCGAGAACACTGTACCAAGTCTAGAAGAACACCAACCTCAGCACAGCAACTCGAGGAATGCTCCGTGCACCCCACATTGTGTGGAGATGAGAGCTGATTGCCTGGCCTAGGCCCAAGGGGTATGCCAACTTTCCAGAAGCACCTCAAGAGGAGGCTTCTCTCAACAATAGGTATGTGGGAGGGACCCCGAGTTTTCTGCCTTAAATGGAATATACAGAGAGAAGCCCTAACTAGAAAGGAGCCCCGATTTCCTAGCAGTGGCGTGAATGCAGGATCGTCTTTCATCTCACAACATGAAGGGGTATTTGAATCCCCTGTCGAGACCTTAGAGAAAGATCTAGGTCCCTGCCTCATTTTGACGGAATGCCTCATATCCCTTTGACACATCGAGAGGCACTCAGAGATCACTGCTCCAAAGGGTGACGATGCATGGCTCCTCTTGAACAATGTTAGGAATCCCAATATCTCTGTGGCTAATGGAAAGTGTCCTTGGTGCCCTGGCTCACCTCGAGAAGCGTCCCTTTTGCCCTGCCAAGCCTCAAAGAGATTCCTGAGGTGTCCCTCGTTACTAGACAGGAGTCCTGACGTCACTGAATAAACACGTGTTTTGAAGGGCCATCCCCTCCGTAACTCGAGAACATACACCAGGTCCCGGCCGCAAGTCGAGAAAAACAGGAGACTTCCCCCAAGATGCGAGATGAGGCCCGATTCCCCTGCAGTGCATGCAGAACAATTCCGTGATCATCATCAAACATGTAAGGAGCTGCGACTAGATTAATGGATCTCGAGACAGTGCCCAAGAACACTGTCACAAGTCTAGACGGACCCTGAGGTCAGCCCAGTAAAGCATAGCAGCTTCATGTGCAGCAAATCAACTCGAGATGAGGCCCGATTCCCCTGCATTGAATCCAGAGCCATCCCCCTTTCCCCATTAATCACGACCAGTGGTTTGACTTCCTTCAGGCAACTCCAGAGATTCCCTGAGAACACTGTCACAAGTCTAGAAGAACACCAACTTCAGCAAAGCAACTCGAGGAATGTTCCCTGTACCCCTAATCGTCTCGAGATGAGAGCTGATTCCCTGGCTTAGGCCCAAGACGTATGCCAACTTGCCAGAAACACCGAAAGAGGAGGCTTCTCTCAGTGATAAGTATGTGGGAGGGACCCCGAGTTTGCTGCCTCAAGTGGAATATACAGCGAGAAGCCCTAACTTGATAGGAGGACGGATTTCCTTGCAGTGGCTTGAATATAGGCTAGTCTTTCATCTCACAACATGAAGGGATGTCTGAATCCCCTGTCGACACCTTAGAGAAAGATCTAGGTCCCTGACTCATTTTGACGGAATGCCTCAAACCCATTTGATACCTCGAGAGACACGCAGAGTTCACTGCTTCAAAAGGTAACGATGCCTGGCTAATCTTGAACATTGTTAGGAATCGCAAAATCACTGTGACTACTGAAAAGGGACCTTGGGTGCCCTGTCTCACCTCGAGAAGCATTCCTTTTACACTGCCAAGCCTCAAAGAGATTCCTGAGGTGTCCCTCGTTACTAGACAGGAGTCCTGACATCACTATATAAAGATGTGTTTTGAAGGGCCATCCCCACCGTAACTCGAGAACAAACCCCAGGTCGCCGCCGAAAATCGAGAAAAACCATGTGACTTCCCCCTAGAGGCGAGATGAGGCCGGATTCCCCTGCATTGCATGCAGAGCCATTCTGTGATCTCCATCAAACATGTAAGGAGCTTCGACTTGGTTAATGGATCTCAAGACAGTCCCCAAGAACACTGTCACAAGTCTAGACGGGCCCTGAGGTCACCCCAGCAATGCAAAGCAGCTCCATGTGCCCCAAATCAACTCGAGATGAGGCCAGATTCCCCTTCATTGACTCCAGAGCCAACCCCCGTTACACATTAAATACGGCCAGTGGCTCGACTTCTTTCACACAATTCCAGATATTCCCCAAGGACACTGTCCCAACTCTAGAAGAACACGAACTTCAGCACAGCAACTCGAGGAATGTTCCATGTACCCCTAATCGTCTCGAGATGAGAGCTGATTCCCCGGCTTAGACTCAAAACTTATGCCAACTTTCCAGAGACAGCGAGAGAGGAGGCTTCCTCAGCAATAGGTATGTGGGAGGGACCCCGAGTTTGCTGCCTCAAGTGGAATATACAGCGAGAAGCCCTAACTTGAAAGGAGGCCGGATTTCCTTGCAGTGGCTTGAATACAGGCTCGTCTTTCATCTCAAACATGAAGGGATGTCTGAATCCCCTGTCGAGACCTTAGCAGAGCTCTAGGTCCCTGCCTCATTGACGGAATGCCTCACATCCATATGGCAGCTCGAGAGGCAGGCGGAGTTCACTGCCTCAAAATGTCACGATGCCTGACTCCTCTTGAAAAATGTTATGAATCTCAAATCCCTGTGGCTCCTGAAAAGGGTCCTTGGGTGCCCTGCCTCACCTCGAGAAGCGTCCCTTTTGCCCTGCCAAGCCTCAAAATATTCCTGAGGTGTCCCTCATTACTAGACAGGAGTCCTGTTGTCACTGAATAAACACGTGTTTTGAAGGGCCATCCCCGCTGTACCTCGAGAACATACCCCAGGTCGCCGTGGAAAATCGAGAAAAACCATGTGACTTCCCCCTAGAGGCGAGATGAGGCCCAATTCCCCTGCATTGCATCAGAGCCATTCCATGATCTCCATCAAACCTGTAAGGAGCTTCGACTTAGTTAATGGATCTCAAGACAGTCCCCAAGAACACTGTCACAAGTCTAGACGGACCCTGAGGTCACCCCAGCAATGCAAAGCAGCTCCACGTGCCCCAAATCAACTCGAGAAGAGGATTGATTCACCTGCAATGATTCCAGAGCCATTCCCCATTCCCCATTAAACACGACCATTGGCTCGACTTCCTTCAGGCAACTCCAGAGATTCCCCGAGAACACTGTCCCAAGTCTAGAAGAACACCAACTTCAGCACAGCAACTCGAGGAATGCTCCGTGTACCCCAAATTGTCTCGAGATGAGAGCTGATTCCCTGGCTTAGACTCAACACTTATGCCAACATTCCAGAAACACCGAAAGAGGAGGCTTCCTCAGCAATAGGTATGTGGGAGGGACCCCGAGTTTGCTGCCTCAAGTGGAATATACAGCGAGAAGCCCTAACTTGAAAGGAGGCCAGATTTCCTTGCAGTGGCTTGAATACAGGCTCATCTTTCATCTCACAACATGAAGGGATGTCTGAATCCCCTGTCGAGACCTTAAAGAAAGCTCTAGGTCCCTGCCTCATTGTGACGGAATGCCTCACATTCATTTGGCACCTCGAGAGGCAGGCAGAGTTCAGTGCTTCAAAATGTCACGATGCCTGACTCCTCTTGAACAATGTTAGGAATCCCCAAATCACTGTGGCTCCTGGAAAGTGTCCTTGGTTACCCTGCCTCACCTCGAGAAGCGTCCCTTTTGTAATGCCAAGCCTTGAAGAGATTCCTGAGGTGTCCCTCGTTACTAGACAGGAGTCCTGACGTCACTGAATAAACACATGTTTTCAAGGGCCATCCCTGCCGTAACTCAAGAACATACACCAGGTCCCCGCCGCAAGTCGAGAAAAACCAGGAGACATCCCCCTAGATGCGAGATGAGGCCCGATTCCCCTGCATTGCATGCAGAACAATTCCGTGACCATCATCAAACATGTAAGGAGCTTTCACTAGATGAATGGATCTCGAGACAGTCCCCAAGAACACTGTCACAAGTCTAGACGGACACTGACGTCACCCCAGCAAAGCAAAGCAGTTTCATGTGCAACAAATCAACTCGAGATGAGGCCCGATTCCCCTGCATTGCTTCCAGAGCCATCCCCCTTTCCCCATTAAACAGGACTAGTGGTTTGACTTCCTTCAGGCAACTCCAGAGATTGCCTGAGAACACTGTCGCAAGTCTAGAAGAACACCAACTTCAGCACAGCAACTCGAGGAATGCTCCATGTAGCCCTAATTGTCTCGAGATGAGAGCTGATTCCCTGGCTTAGGCCCAAGACGTATGCCAACTTTCCAGAAACACCGAAAGAGGAGACTTCTTTCAACAATAGTTATGTGGGAGAGACCCCGAGTTTGCTGCCTCAAATGGAATATACAGCGAGAAGCCCTAACTTGAAAGGAGGCCGGATTTCCTTGCAGTGGCGTGAATACAGGCTCGTCTATCATCTCACAACATGAAGGGATGTCTGAATCCCCTGTCGAGACGTTAGAGAAAGATCTAGGTCCCTGCCTCATTTTGACGGAATGCCTCACATCCCTTTGACATATCGAGAGGAACCCGGAGATCACTACTTCAAAGAGTGACGATGCAAGACTCCTCTTGAACATTGTTAGGAATCCCAGAATACATGTAACTATTGGAAAGGGACCTTGGGTGCCCTGCCTCACCTCGAGAAGCGTCCCTTTTTGCCCTGCCAAGCCTCAAAGAGATTCCTGAGGTGTCCCTCGTTACTAGACAGGAGTCCTGACGTCACTGAATAAACACGTGTTTTGAAGGGCCATCCCCACCGTAACTCAAGAACATACACCAGGTCCCCGCCGCAAGTCGAGAAAAACCAGGAGACATCCCCCTAGATGCGAGATGAGGCCCGATTCCCCTGCATTGCATGCAGAACAATTCCGTGACCATCATCAAACATGTAAGGAGCTTTCAGTAGATGAATGGATCTCGAGACAGTCACCAAGAACACTGTCACAAGTCTAGACGGACACTGACGTCACCCCAGCAAAACAAAGCAGTTTCATGTGCAACAAATCAACTCGAGATGAGGCCCGATTCCCCTGCATTGCTTCCAGAGCCATCCCCCTTTCCCCATTAAACAGGACTAGTGGTTTGACTTCCTTCAGGCAACTCCAGAGATTGCCTGAGAACACTGTCGCAAGTCTAGAAGAACACCAAGTTCAGCACAGCAACTCGAGGAATGCTCCATGTACCCCTAATTGTCTCGAGATGAGAGCTGATTCCCTGGCTTAGGCCCAAGACGTATGCCAACTTTCCAGAAACACCGAAAGAGGAGGCTTCTTTCAACAATAGTTATGTGGGAGGGACCCCGAGTTTGCTGCCTCAAATGGAATATACAGTGAGAAGCCCTAACTTGAAAGGAGGCCGGATTTCCTTGCAGTGGTGTGAATACAGGCTCGTCTTTCATGTCACAACATGAAGGGATGTCTGAATCCCCTGTCGAGACGTTAGAGAAAGATCTAGGTCCCTGCCTCATTTTGACGGAATGCCTCACATCCCTTTGACACATCGAGAGGCACTCGGAGATCACTACTTCAAAGGGTGACGATGCATGACTCCTCTTGAACATTGTTAGGAATCCCCAAATCCCTGTGACTACTGGAAAGGGTCCTTGGGTGCCCTGCCTTACCTCGAGAAGCGTTCGTTTTACCCTGCCAAGACTCAAAGAGATTCCTGACGTGTCCCTCGTTACTGGACAGGAGACGTGACATCACTATATAAACACGTGTTTTGAAGGGCCATCCCCGCCTTAACTCGAGAAGATACCCCAGGTCGCCACCGAAGATCGAGCAAAACCATGTGACTTCCCCCTAGAAGTTGGATGAGGCCCGATTCCGCTGCATTTCATGCAGAGCGATTCTGTGATCTCCATCAAACATGTAAGGAGCTTCGACTTGGTTAATGGATCTCAAGACAGTCCCCAAGAACACTGTCACAAGTCTAGACGGTCACTGAGGTCACCCCAGCAACGCAAAGCAGCTCTATGTGCCCCAAATCAACTCGAGATGAGGCCAGATTCCCCTGCATTGACTCCAGAGCCTTCCCCCATCCCCATTAAATAAGACCAGTGGCTCGACTTCCTCACACAATTCCAGAGATTCCCCAAGGACACTGTCCCAAGTCTAGAAGAACACCAACTTCAGCACAGCAACTCGAGGAATGGTCCGTGTACCCCAGATCGTCTCGAGATGAGAGCAGATTCCCTAGCTTAGACTCAACACTTATGCCATCTTTCCAGACAAACCGAAAGAGTAGGCTTCCTCAGCAATAGGTATGTGGGAGGGACACCGAGTTTGCTGCCGCAAGTGGAATATACAGCGAGAAGCCCTAACTTGAAAGGAGGCCGGATTTCCTTGCAGTGGCGTGAATGCAGGCCTGTCTTTCATCTCACAACATGAAGAGATGTCTGAATCCCCTCTCGAGACCTTAGAGAAAGCTCTAGGTCCCTGCCTCATTTTGACGGAATGCCTCTCATAAATTTGGCACCTCGAGAGGCAGGCGGAGTTCACTGCTTCAAAAGGTGACGATGCCTGACTCCTCTTGAACAATGTTAGGAATCCCAGAATCCCTGTGGCTCCTGGAAAGGGTCCTTGGGTGGCCTGCCTCTCCTCGAGAAGCGTCTCTTTTGCAATGCCAAGCCTCGAAGAGATTCCTGAGGTGTCCCCCGTTACTAGACAGATGTCCTGACGTCACTGAATAAACACATGTTTTAAAGGGGCATCCCCGCCGAAACTCGAGAATATACACCAGGTCCCCGCCTCAACTCGAGAAAAACCAGGAGACTGCCCCCTAAATGCGAGATGAGGCCCGATTCCCCTGCATTGCATGCAGAACAATTCCGTGATCATCATCAAACATGTAAGGACCTTCGACTCGATTAATGGATCATGAGATAGTCCCCAAGAACACTGTCACAAGTCTAGACGGACCCTGAGGTCACCCCAGCAAAGAAAAGCAGCTGCATGTGCAGCAAATCAACTCGAGATGAGGCCCGATTCCCCTGCATTGATTCAAGAGCCATCCCCCTTTCCCCATTAAACACGACCAGTGGTTTGACTTCCTTCAGGCAACTCCAGAGATTCCCTGAGAACACTGTCCCAAGTCTAGAAGAACATCAACTTCTGCACAGCAACTCGAGGAATGCTCCTTGTACCCCTAATCGTCTTGACATGAGAGCTGATTCCCTGGCTTAGGCTCAAGACGTATGCCAACTTTCCAGAAACACCGAAAGAGGAGGCTTCTCTCAGCAATAGGTATGTGGGAGGAACCCCGAGTTTGCTGCCTCAAATTGAATATACAGCGAGAAGCCCTAACTTGAAAGGAGGCCGGATTTCCTTGCAGTGGCGTGAATACAGGCTCGTCTATCATCTCACAACATGAAGGGATGTCTGACACCCTGTCGAGACGTTAGAGAAAGATCTAGGTCCCTGCCTCATTTTGACGGAATGCCTCAGATCCCTTTGACACATCGAGAGGAACCCGGAGATCACTACTTCAAAGGGTGATGATGCAAGACTCCTCTTGAACATTGTTAGGAATCCCAAAATACATGTAACTATTGGAAAGGGACCTTGGGTGCCCTGCCTCACTTCGAGAAGCGTCCCTTTTTGCCCTGCCAAGCCTCAAAGAGATTTCTGAGGTGTCCCTCGTTACTAGACAGGAGTCCTGACATCACTATATAAACACGTGTTTTGAAGGGCCATCCCCGCTGAAACTCGAGAACATTCCAAAGGTCGCCGCCGAAAATCGAGAAAAACCATGTGACTTCCCCCTAGAGGCGAGATGAGGCCCGATTCCCCTGCATTGCATGCAGAGCCATTCTGTGATCTCCATCAAACATGTAAGGAGCTTCGACTTGGTTTTTGGATCTCAAGACAGTCCCCAAGAACACTGTCACAAGTCTAGACGGGCCCTGAGGTCACGCCAGCAATGCAAAGCAGCTCCATGTGCCCCAAATCAACTCGAGATGAGGTCAGATTCCCCTTCATTGACTCCAGAGCCAACCCCCGTTACACATTAAATACGGCCAGTGGCTCGAATTCCTTCACACAATTCCAGATATTCCCCAAGGACACTGTCCCACCTCTAGAAGAACACGAACTTCAGCACAGCAACTCGAGGAATGTTCCGTGTACCCCTAATCGTCTCGAGATGAGAGCTGATTCCCCGGCTTAGACTCAAAACTTATGCCAACTTTCCAGAGACAGCGAGAGAGGAGGCTTCCTCAGCAATAGGTATGTGGGAGGGACCCCGAGTTTGCTGCCTCAAGTGGAATATACAGCGAGAAGCCCTAACTTGAAAGGAGGCCGGATTTCCTTGCAGTGGCTTGAATACAGGCTCGTCTTTCATCTCAAACATGAAGGGATGTCTGAATCCCCTGTCGAGACCTTAGCAGAGCTCTAGGTCCCTGCCTCATTGACGGAATGCCTCACATCCATATGGCAGCTCGAGAGGCAGGCGGAGTTCACTGCCTCAAAATGTCACGATGCCTGACTCCTCTTGAAAAATGTTATGAATCTCAAATCCCTGTGGCTCCTGAAAAGGGTCCTTGGGTGCCCTGCCTCACCTCGAGAAGCGTCCCTTTTGCCCTGCCAAGCCTCAAAATATTCCTGAGGTGTCCCTCATTACTAGACAGGAGTCCTGTTGTCACTGAATAAACACGTGTTTTGAAGGGCCATCCCCGCTGTACCTCGAGAACATACCCCAGGTCGCCGCGGAAAATCGAGAAAAACCATGTGACTTCCCCCTAGAGGCGAGATGAGGCCCAATTCCCCTGCATTGCATCAGAGCCATTCCATGATCTCCATCAAACCTGTAAGGAGCTTCGACTTAGTTAATGGATCTCAAGACAGTCCCCAAGAACACTGTCACAAGTCTAGACGGACCCTGAGGTCACCCCAGCAATGCAAAGCAGCTCCACGTGCCCCAAATCAACTCGAGAAGAGGATTGATTCACCTGCAATGATTCCAGAGCCATTCCCCATTCCCCATTAAACACGACCATTGGCTCGACTTCCTTCAGGCAACTCCAGAGATTCCCCGAGAACACTGTCCCAAGTCTAGAAGAACACCAACTTCAGCACAGCAACTCGAGGAATGCTCGGTGTACCCCAAATTGTCTCGAGATGAGAGCTGATTCCCTGGCTTAGACTCAACACTTATGCCAACATTCCAGAAACACCGAAAGAGGAGGCTTCCTCAGCAATAGGTATGTGGGGGGGACCCCGAGTTTGCTGCCTCAAGTGGAATATACAGCGAGAAGCCCTAACTTGAAAGGAGGCCAGATCTCCTTGCAGTGGCTTGAATACAGGCTCGTCTTTCATCTCACAACATGAAGGGATGTCTGAATCCCCTCTCGAGACCTTAAAGAAAGCTCTAGGTCCCTCCCTCATTGTGACGGAATGCCTCACATTCATTTGGCACCTCGAGAGGCAGGCAGAGTTCACTGCTTGAAAATGTCACGATGCCTGACTCCTCTTGAACAATGTTAGGAATCCCCAAATCCCTGTGGCTCCTGGAAAGTGTCCTTGGTTACCCTGCCTCACCTCGAGAAGTGTCCCTTTTGTAATGCCAAGCCTTGAAGAGATTCCTGAGGTCTCCCTCGTTACTAGACAGGAGTCCTGACGTCACTGAATAAACACGTGTTTTGAAGGGCCATCGCCGCCATAACTCAAGAACATACACCAGGTCCCCGCCGCAAGTCGAGAAAAACCAGGAGACTTCCCCCTAGATGCGAGATGAGGCCCGATTCCCCTGCATTGCATGCAGAACAATTCCGTGACCATCATCAAACATGTAAGGAGCTTTCACTAGATGAATGGATCTCGAGACAGTCCCCAAGAACACTGTCACAAGTCTAGACGGACACTGACGTCACCCCAGCAAAGCAAAGCAGTTTCATGTGCAACAAATCAACTCGAGATGAGGCCCGATTCCCCTGCATTGCTTCCAGAGCCATCCCCCTTTCCCCATTAAACAGGACTAGTGGTTTGACTTCCTTCAGGCAACTCCAGAGATTGCCTGAGAACACTGTCACAAGACTAGAAGAACACCAACTTCAGCACAGGAACTCGAGGAATGCTCGATGTACCCCTAATTGTCTCGAGATGAGAGCTGATTCCCTGGCTTAGGCCCAAGACGTATGCCAACTTTCCAGAAACATGGAAAGAGGAGGCTTCTTTCAACAATAGTTATGTGGGAGGGACCCCGAGTTTGCTGCCTCAAATGGAATATACAGTGAGAAGCCCTAACTTGAAAGGAGGCCGGATTTCCTTGCAGTGGTGTGAATACAGGCTCGTCTTTCATGTCACAACATGAAGGGATGTCTGAATCCCCTGTCGAGACCTTAGAGAAAGCTCTAGGTCCCTGCCTCATTGTGACGGAATGCCTCACATTCATTTGGCACCCCGAGAGGCAGGCAGAGTTCACTGCTTGAAAATGTCACGATGCCTGACTCCTCTTGAACAATGTTAGGAATCCCAAAATCCCTGTGGCTTCTGGAAAGTGTCCTTGGTTACCCTGGCTCACCTCGAGAAGCGTCCCTTTTGTAATGCCAAGCCTTGAAGAGATTCCTGAGGTGTCCCTCGTTACTAGACAGGAGTCCTGACGTCACTGAATAAACACATGTTTTCAAGGGCCATCCCTGCCGTAACTGAAGAACATACACCAGGTCCCCGCCGCAAGTCGAGAAAAACCAGGAGACATCCCCTTAGATGCGAGATGAGGCCCGATTCCCCTGCATTGCATGCAGAACAATTCCGTGACCATCATCAAACATGTAAGGAGCTTTCACTAGATGAATGGATCTCGAGACAGTCCCCAAGAACACTGTCACAAGTCTAGACGGACACTGACGTCACCCCAGCAAAGCAAAGCAGTTTCATGTGCAACAAATCAACTCGAGATGAGGCCCGATTCCCCTGCATTGCTTCCAGAGCCATCCCCCTTTCCCCATTAAACAGGACTAGTGGTTTGACTTCCTTCAGGCAACTCCAGAGATTGCCTGAGAACATTGTCGCAAGTCTAGAACACCAACTTCAGCACAGGAACTCGAGGAATGCTCCATGTACCCATAATTGTCTCGAGATGAGAGCTGATTCCCTGGCTTAGGCCCAAGACGTATGCCAACTTTCCAGAAACACCGAAAGAGGAGGCTTCTTTCAACAATAGTTATGTGGGAGGGACCCCGAGTTTGCTGCCTCAAATGGAATATACAGTGAGAAGCCCTAACTTGAAAGGAGGCCGGATTTCCTTGCAGTGGTGTGAATACAGGCTCGTCTTTCATGTCACAACATGAAGGGATGTCTGAATCCCCTGTCGAGACGTTAGAGAAAGATCTAGGTCCCTGCCTCATTTTGACGGAATGCCTCACATCCCTTTGACACATCGAGAGGCACTCGGAGATCACTACTTCAAAGGGTGACGATGCATGACTCCTCTTGAACATTGTTAGGAATCCCCAAATCCCTGTGACTACTGGAAAGGGTCCTTGGGTGCCCTGCCTTACCTCGAGAAGCGTTCGTTTTACCCTGCCAAGCCTCAAAGAGATTCCTGACGTGTCCCTCGTTACTGGACAGGAGACGTGACATCACTATATACACACGTGTTTTGAAGTGCCATCCCCCCCGTAACTCGAGAACATACCCCAGGTCGCCAACGAAAATCGAGAAAAACCATGTGACTTCCCCCTAGAGGTTGGATGAGGCCCGATTCCGCTGCAATGCATGCAGAGCGATTCTGTGATCTCCATCAAACATGTAAGGAGCTTCGACTTGGTAAATGGATCTCAAGACAGTCCCCAAGAACACTGTCACAAGACTAGACGGACCCTGAGGTCACCCCAGCAACGCAAAGCAGCTCCATGTGCCCAAAATCAACTCGAGATGAGGCCAGATTCCCCTGCATTGACTCCAGAGCCTTCCCCCATTCCCCATTAAATAAGACCAGTGGCTCGACTTCCTTCACACAATTCCAGAGATTTCCCAATTACACTGTCCCAAGTCTAGAAGAACACCAACTTCAGCACAGCAACTCGAGGAATGGTCCGTGTACCCCAGATCGTCTCGAGATGAGAGCAGATTCCCTAGCTTAGACTCAACACTTATGCCATCTTTCCAGACACACCAAAAGAGTAGGCTTCCTCAGCAATAGGCATGTGGCAGGGACCCCGAGTTTGCTGCCTCAAGTGGAATATACAGCGAGAAACCCTAACTTGAAAGGATGCCGGATTTCCTTGCAGTGGCCTGAATGCAGGCCTGTCTTTCATCTCACAACATGAAGAGATGTCTGAATGCCCTGTCGAGACCTGAGAGAAAGATCTAGGTCCCTGCCTCATTTTGACGGAATGCCTCTCATAAATTTGGCACCTCGAGAGGCAGGCGGAGTTCACTGCTTCAAAAGGTGACGATGCCTGACTCCTCTTGAACAATGTTAGGAATCCCAGAATCCCTGTGGCTCCTGGAAAGGGTCCTTGGGTGGCCTGCCTCACCTCGAGAAGCGTCTCTTTTGCAATGCCAAGCCTCGAAGAGATTCCTGAGGTGTCCCCCGTTACTAGACAGATGTCCTGACGTCACTGAATAAACACATGTTTTAAAGGGGCATCCCTGCCGAAACTCGAGAATATACACCAGGTCCCCGCCTCAACTCGAGAAAAACCAGGAGACTGCCCCCTAGATGCGAGATGAGGCCCGATTCCCCTGCATTGCATGCAGAACAATTCCGTGATCATCATCAAACATGTAAGGACCTTCGACTCGATTAATGGATCTTGAGATAGTCCCCAAGAACACTGTCACAAGTCTAGACGGACCCTGAGGTCACCCCAGCAAAGAAAAGCAGCTGCATGTGCAGCAAATCAACTCGAGATGAGGCCCGATTCCCCTGCATTGATTCAAGAGCCATCCCCCTTTCCCCATTAAACACGACCAGTGGTTTGACTTCCTTCAGGCAACTCCAGAGATTCCCTGAGAACACTGTCCCAAGTCTAGAAGAACACCAACTTCTGCACAGCAACTCGAGGAATGTTCCTTGTACCCCTAATCGTCTTGACATGAGAGCTGATTCCCTGGCTTAGGCTCAAGACGTATGCCAACTTTCCAGAAACACCGAAAGAGGAGGCTTCTCTCAGCGATAGGTATGTGGGAGGAACCCCGAGTTTGCTGCCTCAAATTGAATATACAGCGAGAAGCCCTAACTTGAAAGGAGGCCGGATTTCCTTGCAGTGGCGTGAATACAGGCTCGTCTATCATCTCACAACATGAAGGGATGTCTGAATCCCCTATCGAGACGTTAGAGAAAGATCTAGGTCCCTGCCTCATTTTGACGGAATCCCTCACATCCCTTTGACATATCGACAGGAACCCGGAGATCACTACTTCAAAGGGTGACGATGCAAGACTCCTCTTGAACATTGTTAGGAATCCCAGAATACATGTAACTATTGGAAAGGGACTTGGGTGCCCTGCCTCACCTCAAGAAGCGTCCCTTTTTGCCCTGCCAAGCCTCAAAGAGATTCCTGAGGTGTCCCTCGCTACTAGACAGGAGTCCTGACATCACTATATAAACACGTGTTTTGAAGATCCATCCCCGCTGAAACTCGAGAACATTCCCCAGGTCGCCGCCGAAAATCGAGAAAAACCATGTGACTTCCCCCTAAAGGCGAGATGAGGCCCGATTCCCCTGCATTGCATGCAGAGCCATTCTGTGATCTCCATCAAACATGTAAGGAGCTTCGACTTGGTTAATGGATCTCAAGACAGTCCCCAAGACCACTGTCACAAGTCTAGACGGGCCCTGAGGTCACGCCAGCAATGCAAAGCAGCTCCATGTGCCCCAAATCAACTCGAGATGAGGCCAGATTCCCCTTCATTGACTCCAGAGCCAACCCCCGTTACACATTAAATACGGCCAGTGGCTCGACTTCCTTCACACAATTCCAGATATTCCCCAAGGACACTGTCCCAACGCTAGAAGAACACGAACTTCAGCAGAGCAACTCGAGGAATGTTCCGTGTACCCCTAATCGTCTCGAGATGAGAGCTGATTCCCCGGCTTAGACTCAAATCTTATGCCAACTTTCCAGAGACTGCGAAAGAGGAGGCTTCCTCAGCAATAGGTATGTGGGAGGGACCCCGAGTTTGCTGCCTCAAGTGGAATATACAGCGAGAAGCCCTAACTTGAATGGAGGCCGGATTTCCTTGCAGTGGCTTGAATACAGGCTCGTCTTTCATCTCAAACATGAAGGGATGTCTGAAACCCCTGTCGAGACCTTCGCAGAGCTCTAGGTCCCCGCCTCATTTGACGGAATGCCTCACATCCATATGGCAGCTCGAGAGGCAGGCGGAGTTCACTGCTTCAAAATGTCACGATGCCTGACTCCTCTTGAACAATGTTAGGAATCTCAAATCCCTGTGGCTCCTGAAAAGGGTCCTTGGGTGCCCTGCCTCACCTCGAGAAGCGTCCCTTTTGCCCTGCCAAGCCTCAAAATATTCCTGAGGTGTCCCTCATTACTAGACAGGAGTCCTGTTGTCACTGAATAAACACGTGTTTTGAAGGGCCATCCCCGCTCTACCTCAAGAACATACCCCAGGTCGCCGCGGAAAATCGAGAAAAACCATGTGACTTCCCCCTAGAGGCGAGATGAGGCCCGATTCCCCTGCATTGCATCAGAGCCATTCCATGATCTCCATCAAACCTGTAAGGAGCTTTGACTTAGTTAATGGATGTCAAGACAGTCCCCAAGAACACTGTCACAAGTCTAGACGGACCCTGAGGTCACCCCAGCAATGCAAAGCAGCTCCACGTGCCCCAAATCAACTCGAGAAGAGGATTGATTCCCCTGCAATGACTCCAGAGCCATTCCCTGTTCCCCATTAAACACGACCATTGGCTCGACTTCCTTCAGGCAACTCCAGAGATTCCCCGAGAACACTGTCCCAAGTCTAGAAGAACACCAACTTCAGCACAGCAACTCGAGGAATGCTCCGTGTACCCCAAACCGTCTCGAGATGAGAGCTGATTCCCTGGCTTAGACTCAACACTTATGCCAACATTCCAGAAACACCGAAAGAGGAGGCTTCCTCAGCAATAGGTATGTGGGAGGGACCCCGAGTTTGCTGCCTCAAGTGGAACATACAGCGAGAAGCCCTAACTTGAAAGGAGGCCAGATTTCCTTGCAGTGGCTTGAATACAGGCTCGTCTTTCATCTCACAACATGAAGGGATGTCTGAATCCCCTGTCGAGACCTTAAAGAAAGCTCTAGGTCCCTGCCTCATTGTGACGGAATGCCTCACATTCATTTGGCACCTCGAGAGGCAGGCAGAGTTCACTGCTTCAAAATGTCACGATGCCTGACTCCTCTTGAACAATGTTAGGAATCCCAAAATCACTGTGGCTCCTGGAAAGTGTCCTTGGTTACCCTGCCTCACCTCGAGAAGCGTCCCTTTTGTAATGCCAAGCCTTGAAGAGATTCCTGAGGTGTCCCTCGTTACTAGACAGGAGTCCTGACGTCACTGAATAAACACATGTTTTCAAGGGCCATCCCCGCCATAACTCAAGAACGTACACCAGGTCCCCGCCGCAAGTCGAGAAAAACCAGGAGACATCCCCCTAAATGCGAGATGAGGCCCGATTCCCCTGCATTGCATGCAGAACAATTCCGTGACCATCATCAAACATGTAAGGAGCTTTCACTAGATGAATGGATCTCGAGACAGTCCCCAAGAACACTGTCACAAGTCTAGACGGACACTGACGTCACCCCAGCAAAGCAAAGCATTTTCATGTGCAACAAATCAACTCGAGATGAGGCCCGATTCCCCTGCATTGCTTCCAGAGCCATCCCCCTTTCCCCATTAAACAGGACTAGTGGTTTGACTTCCTTCAGGCAACTCCAGAGATTGCCTGAGAACACTGTCGCAAGTCTAGAAGAACACCAACTTCAGCACAGGAACTCGAGGAATGCTCCATGTACCCCTAATTGTCTCGAGATGAGAGCTGATTCCCTGGCTTAGGCCCAAGACGTATGCCAACTTTCCAAAAACACCGAAAGAGGAGGCTTCTTTCAACAATAGTTATGTGGGAGGGACCCCGAGTTTGCTGCCTCAAATGGAATATACAGTGAGAAGCCCTAACTTGAAAGGAGGCCGGATTTCCTTGCAGTGGTGTGAATACAGGCTCGTCTTTCATGTCACAACATGAAGGGATGTCTGAATCCCCTGTCGAGACGTTAGAGAAAGATCTAGGTCCCTGCCTCATTTTGACGGAATGCCTCACATCCCTTTGACACATCGAGAGGCACTCGGAGATCACTACTTCAAAGGGTGACGATGCATGACTCCTCTTGAACATTGTTAGGAATCCCCAAATCCCTGTGACTACTGGAAAGGGTCCTTGGGTGCCCTGCCTTACCTCGAGAAGCGTTCGTTTTACCCTGCCAAGACTCAAAGAGATTCCTGACGTGTCCCTCGTTACTGGACAGGAGACGTGACATCACTATATAAACACGTGTTTTGAAGGGCCATCCCCGCCTTAACTCGAGAAGATACCCCAGGTCGCCACCGAAGATCGAGCAAAACCATGTGACTTCCCCCTAGAAGTTGGATGAGGCCCGATTCCGCTGCATTTCATGCAGAGCGATTCTGTGATCTCCATCAAACATGTAAGGAGCTTCGACTTGGTTAATGGATCTCAAGACAGTCCCCAAGAACACTGTCACAAGTCTAGACGGTCACTGAGGTCACCCCAGCAACGCAAAGCAGCTCTATGTGCCCCAAATCAACTCGAGATGAGGCCAGATTCCCCTGCATTGACTCCAGAGCCTTCCCCCATCCCCATTAAATAAGACCAGTGGCTCGACTTCCTTCACACAATTCCAGAGATTCCCCAAGGACACTGTCCCAAGTCTAGAAGAACACCAACTTCAGCACAGCAACTCGAGGAATGGTCCGTGTACCCCAGATCGTCTCGAGATGAGAGCAGATTCCCTAGCTTAGACTCAACACTTATGCCATCTTTCCAGACAAACCGAAAGAGTAGGCTTCCTCAGCAATAGGTATGTGGGAGGGACACCGAGTTTGCTGCCGCAAGTGGAATATACAGCGAGAAGCCCTAACTTGAAAGGAGGCCGGATTTCCTTGCAGTGGCGTGAATGCAGGCCTGTCTTTCATCTCACAACATGAAGAGATGTCTGAATCCCCTCTCGAGACCTTAGAGAAAGCTCTAGGTCCCTGCCTCATTTTGACGGAATGCCACTCATAAATTTGGCACCTCGAGAGGCAGGCGGAGTTCACTGCTTCAAAAGGTGACGATGCCTGACTCCTCTTGAACAATGTTAGGAATCCCAGAATCCCTGTGGCTCCTGGAAAGGGTCCTTGGGTGGCCTGCCTCTCCTCGAGAAGCGTCTCTTTTGCAATGCCAAGCCTCGAAGAGATTCCTGAGGTGTCCCCCGTTACTAGACAGATGTCCTGACGTCACTGAATAAACACATGTTTTAAAGGGGCATCCCCGCCGAAACTCGAGAATATACACCAGGTCCCCGCCTCAACTCGAGAAAAACCAGGAGACTGCCCCCTAGATGCGAGATGAGGCCCGATTCCCCTGCATTGCATGCAGAACAATTCCGTGATCATCATCAAACATGTAAGGACCTTTGACTCGATTAATGGATCTTGAGATAGTCCCCAAGAACACAGTCACAAGTCTAGACGGACCCTGAGGTCACCCCAGCAAAGAAAAGCAGCTGCATGTGCAGCAAATCAACTCGAGATGAGGCCCGATTCCCCTGCATTGATTCAAGAGCCATCCCCCTTTCCCCATTAAACACGACCAGTGGTTTGACTTCCTTCAGGCAACTCCAGAGATTCCCTGAGAACACTGTCCCAAGTCTAGAAGAACACCAACTTCTGCACAGCAACTCGAGGAATGCTCCTTGTACCCCTAATCGTCTTGACATGAGAGCTGATTCCCTGGCTTAGGCTCAAGACGTATGCCAACTTTCCAGAAACACCGAAAGAGGAGGCTTCTCTCAGCAATAGGTATGTGGGAGGAACCCCGAGTTTGCTGCCTCAAATTGAATATACAGCGAGAAGCCCTAACTTGAAAGGAGGCCGGATTTCCTTGCAGTGGCGTGAATACAGGCTCGTCTATCATCTCACAACATGAAGGGATGTCTGACAGCCTGTCGAGACGTTAGAGAAAGATCTAGGTCCCTGCCTCATTTTGACGGAATGCCTCAGATCCCTTTGACACATCGAGAGGAACCCGGAGATCACTACTTCAAAGGGTGATGATGCAAGACTCCTCTTGAACATTGTTAGGAATCCCAAAATACATGTAACTATTGGAAAGGGACCTTGGGTGCCCTGCCTCACTTCGAGAAGCGTCCCTTTTTGCCCTGCCAAGCCTCAAAGAGATTTCTGAGGTGTCCCTCGTTACTAGACAGGAGTCGTGACATCACTATATAAACACGTGTTTTGAAGGGCCATCCCCGCTGAAACTCGAGAACATTCCCCAGGTCGCCGCCGAAAATCGAGAAAAACCATGTGACTTCCTCCTAGAGGCGAGATGAGGCCCGATTCCCCTGCATTGCATGCAGAGCCATTCTGTGATCTCCATCAAACATGTAAGGAGCTTCGACTTGGTTTTTGGATCTCAAGACAGTCCCCAAGAACACTGTCACAAGTCTAGACGGGCCCTGAGGTCACGCCAGCAATGCAAAGCAGCTCCATGTGCCCCAAATCAACTCGACATGAGGTCAGATTCCCCTTCATTGACTCCAGAGCCAACCCCCGTTACACATTAAATACGGCCAGTGGCTCGACTTCCTTCACACAATTCCAGATATTCCCCAAGGACACTGTCCCAGCTCTAGAAGAACACGAACTTCAGCACAGCAACTCGAGGAATGTTCCGTGTACCCCTAATCGTCTCGAGATGAGAGCTGATTCCCCGGCTTAGACTCAAAACTTATGCCAACTTTCCAGAGACAGCGAGAGAGGAGGCTTCCTCAGCAATAGGTATGTGGGAGGGACCCCGAGTTTGCTGCCTCAAGTGGAATATACAGCGAGAAGCCCTAACTTGAAAGGAGGCCGGATTTCCTTGCAGTGGCTTGAATACAGGCTCGTCTTTCATCTCAAACATGAAGGGATGTCTGAATCCCCTGTCGAGACCTTAGCAGAGCTCTAGGTCCCTGCCTCATTGACGGAATGCCTCACATCCATATGGCAGCTCGAGAGGCAGGCGGAGTTCACTGCCTCAAAATGTCACGATGCCTGACTCCTCTTGAAAAATGTTATGAATCTCAAATCCCTGTGGCTCCTGAAAAGGGTCCTTGGGTGCCCTGCCTCACCTCGAGAAGCGTCCCTTTTGCCCTGCCAAGCCTCAAAATATTCCTGAGGTGTCCCTCATTACTAGACAGGAGTCCTGTTGTCACTGAATAAACACGTGTTTTGAAGGGCCATCCCCGCTGTACCTCGAGAACATACCCCAGGTCGCCGCGGAAAATCGAGAAAAACCATGTGACTTCCCCCTAGAGGCGAGATGAGGCCCAATTCCCCTGCATTGCATCAGAGCCATTCCATGATCTCCATCAAACCTGTAAGGAGCTTCGACTTAGTTAATGGATCTCAAGACAGTCCCCAAGAACACTGTCACAAGTCTAGACGGACCCTGAGGTCACCCCAGCAATGCAAAGCAGCTCCACGTGCCCCAAATCAACTCGAGAAGAGGATTGATTCACCTGCAATGATTCCAGAGCCATTCCCCATTCCCCATTAAACACGACCATTGGCTCGACTTCCTTCAGGCAACTCCAGAGATTCCCCGAGAACACTGTCCCAAGTCTAGAAGAACACCAACTTCAGCACAGCAACTCGAGGAATGCTCCGTGTACCCCAAATTGTCTCGAGATGAGAGCTGATTCCCTGGCTTAGACTCAACACTTATGCCAACATTCCAGAAACACCGAAAGAGGAGGCTTCCTCAGCAATAGGTATGTGGGAGGGACCCCGAGTTTGCTGCCTCAAGTGGAATATACAGCGAGAAGCCCTAACTTGAAAGGAGGCCAGATTTCCTTGCAGTGGCTTGAATACAGGCTCGTCTTTCATCTCACAACATGAAGGGATGTCTGAATCCCCTGTCGAGACCTTAAAGAAAGCTCTAGGTCCCTGCCTCATTGTGACGGAATGCCTCACATTCATTTGGCACCTCGAGAGGCAGGCAGAGTTCACTGCTTGAAAATGTCACGATGCCTGACTCCTCTTGAACAATGTTAGGAATCCCCAAATCCCTGTGGCTCCTGGAAAGTGTCCTTGGTTACCCTGCCTCACCTCGAGAAGCATCCCTTTTGTAATGCCAAGCCTTGAAGAGATTCCTGAGGTGTCCCTCGTTACTAGACAGGAGTCCTGACGTCACTGAATAAACACATGTTTTCAAGGGCCATCCCTACCGTAACTCAAGAACATACACCAGGTCCCCGCCGCAAGTCGAGCAAAACCAGGAGACATCCCCCTAGATGCGAGATGAGGCCCGATTCCCCTGCATTGCATGCAGAACAATTCCGTGACCATCATCAAACATGTAAGGAGCTTTCACTAGATGAATGGATCTCGAGACAGTCCCCAAGAACACTGTCACAAGTCTAGACGGACACTGACGTCACCCCAGCAAAGCAAAGCAGTTTCATGTGCAACAAATCAACTCGAGATGAGGCCCGATTCCCCTGCATTGCTTCCAGAGCCATCCCCCTTTCCCCATTAAACAGGACTAGTGGTTTGACTTCCTTCAGGCAACTCCAGAGATTGCCTGAGAACACTGTCGCAAGTCTAGAAGAACACCAACTTCAGCACAGGAACTCGAGGAATGCTCCATGTACCCCTAATTGTCTCGAGATGAGAGCTGATTCCCTGGCTTAGGCCCAAGACGTATGCCAACTTTCCAGAAACACCGAAAGAGGAGGCTTCTTTCAACAATAGTTATGTGGGAGAGACCCCGAGTTTGCTGCCTCAAATTGAATATACAGCGAGAAGCCCTAACTTGAAAGGAGGCCGGATTTCCTTGCAGTGGCGTGAATACAGGCTCGTCTATCATCTCACAACATGAAGGGATGTCTGAATCCCCTGTCGAGACGTTAGAGAAAGATCTAGGTCCCTGCCTCATTTTGACGGAATGCCTCACATCCCTTTGACATATCGAGAGGAACCCAGAGATCACTACTTCAAAGAGTGACGATGCAAGACTCCTCTTGAACATTGTTAGGAATCCCAGAATACATGTAACTATTGGAAAGGGACCTTGGGTGCCCTGCCTCACCTCGAGAAGCGTCCCTTTTTGCCCTGCCAAGCCTCAAAGAGATTCCTGAGGTGTCCCTCGTTACTAGACAGGAGTCCTGACGTCACTGAATAAACACGTGTTTTGAAGGGCCATCCCCACCGTAACTCAAGAACATACACCAGGTCCCCGCCGCAAGTCGAGAAAAACCAGGAGACATCCCCCTAGATGCGAGATGAGGCCCGATTCCCCTGCATTGCATGCACTACAATTCCGTGACCATCATCAAACATGTAAGGAGCTTTCAGTAGATGAATGGACTCGAGACAGTCACCAAGAACACTGTCACAAGTCTAGACGGACACTGACGTCACCCCAGCAAAACAAAGCAGTTTCATGTGCAACAAATCAACTCGAGATGAGGCCCGATTCCCCTGCATTGCTTCCAGAGCCATCCCCCTTTCCCCATTAAACAGGACTAGTGGTTTGACTTCCTTCAGGCAACTCCAGAGATTGCCTGAGAACACTGTCGCAAGTCTAGAAGAACACCAACTTCAGCACAGCAACTCGAGGAATGCTCCATGTACCCCTAATTGTCTCGAGATGAGAGCTGATTCCCTGGCTTAGGCCCAAGACGTATGCCAACTTTCCAAAAACACCGAAAGAGGAGGCTTCTTTCAACAATAGTTATGTGGGAGGGACCCCGAGTTTGCTGCCTCAAATGGAATATACAGTGAGAAGCCCTAACTTGAAAGGAGGCCGGATTTCCTTGCAGTGGTGTGAATACAGGCTCGTCTTTCATGTCACAACATGAAGGGATGTCTGAATCCCCTGTCGAGACGTTAGAGAAAGATCTAGGTCCCTGCCTCATTTTGACGGAATGCCTCACATCCCTTTGACACATCGAGAGGCACTCGGAGATCACTACTTCAAAGGGTGACGATGCATGACTCCTCTTGAACATTGTTAGGAATCCCCAAATCCCTGTGACTACTGGAAAGGGTCCTTGGGTGCCCTGCCTTACCTCGAGAAGCGTTTGTTTTACCCTGCCAAGACTCAAAGAGATTCCTGACGTGTCCCTCGTTACTGGACAGGAGACGTGACATCACTATATAAACACGTGTTTTGAAGGGCCATCCCCGCCTTAACTCGAGAAGATACCCCAGGACGCCACCGAAGATCGAGCAAAACCATGTGACTTCCCCCTAGAAGTTGGATGAGGCCCGATTCCGCTGCATTTCATGCAGAGCGATTCTGTGATCTCCATCAAACATGTAAGGAGCTTCGACTTGGTTAATGGATCTCAAGACAGTCCCCAAGAACACTGTCACAAGTCTAGACGGTCACTGAGGTCACCCCAGCAACGAAAAGCAGCTCTATGTGCCCCAAATCAACTCGAGATGAGGCCAGATTCCCCTGCATTGACTCCAGAGCCTTCCCCCATCCCCATTAAATAAGACCAGTGGCTCGACTTCCTTCACACAATTCCAGAGATTCCCCAAGGACACTGTCCCAAGTCTAGAAGAACACCAACTTCAGCACAGCAACTCGAGGAATGGTCCGTGTACCCCAGATCGTCTCGAGATGAGAGCAGATTCCCTAGCTTAGACTCAACACTTATGCCATCTTTCCAGACAAACCGAAAGAGTAGGCTTCCTCAGCAATAGGTATGTGGGAGGGACACCGAGTTTGCTGCCGCAAGTGGAATATACAGCGAGAAGCCCTAACTTGAAAGGAGGCCGGATTTCCTTGCAGTGGCGTGAATGCAGGCCTGTCTTTCATCTCACAACATGAAGAGATGTCTGAATCCCCTCTCGAGACCTTAGAGAAAGATCTAGGTCCCTGCCTCATTTTGACGGAATGCCTCTCATAAATTTGGCACCTCGAGAGGCAGGCGGAGTTCACTGCTTCAAAAGGTGACGATGCCTGACTCCTCTTGAACAATGTTAGGAATCCCAGAATCCCTGTGGCTCCTGGAAAGGGTCCTTGGGTGGCCTGCCTCTCCTCGAGAAGCGTCTCTTTTGCAATGCCAAGCCTCGAAGAGATTCCTGAAGTGTCCCCCGTTACTAGACAGATGTCCTGACGTCACTGAATAAACACATGTTTTAAAGGGGCATCCCCGCCGAAACTCGAGAATATACACCAGGTCCCCGCCTCAACTCGAGAAAAACCAGGAGACTGCCCCCTAGATGCGAGATGAGGCCCGATTCCCCTGCATTGCATGCAGAACAATTCCGTGATCATCATCAAACATGTAAGGACCTTCGACTCGATTAATGGATCTTGAGATAGTCCCCAAGAACACTGTCACAAGTCTAGACGGACCCTGAGGTCACCCCAGCAAAGAAAAGCAGCTGCATGTGCAGCAAATCAACACGAGATGAGGCCCGATTCCCCTGCATTGATTCAAGAGCCATCCCCCTTTCCCCATTAAACACGACCAGTGGTTTGACTTCCTTCAGGCAACTCCAGAGATTCCCTGAGAACACTGTCCCAAGTCTAGAAGAACACCAACTTCTGCACAGCAACTCGAGGAATGCTCCTTGTACCCCTAATCGTCTTGACATGAGAGCTGATTCCCTGGCTTAGGCTCAAGACGTATGCCAACTTTCCAGAAACACCGAAAGAGGAGGCTTCTCTCAGCAATAGGTATGTGGGAGGAACCCCGAGTTTGCTGCCTCAAATTGAATATACAGCGAGAAGCCCTAACTCGAAAGGAGGCCGGATTTCCTTGCAGTGGCGTGAATACAGGCTCGTCTATCATCTCACAACATGAAGGGATGTCTGACACCCTGTCGAGACGTTAGAGAAAGATCTAGGTCCCTGCCTCATTTTGACGGAATGCCTCAGATCCCTTTGACACATCGAGAGGAACCCGGAGATCACTACTTCAAAGGGTGATGATGCAAGACTCCTCTTGAACATTGTTAGGAATCCCAAAATACATGTAACTATTGGAAAGGGACCTTGGGTGCCCTGCCTCACTTCGAGAAGCGTCCCTCTTTGCCCTGCCAAGCCTCAAAGAGATTTCTGAGGTGTCCCTCGTTACTAGACAGGAGTCGTGACATCACTATATAAACACGTGTTTTGAAGGGCCATCCCCGCTGAAACTCGAGAACATTCCCCAGGTCGCCGCCGAAAATCGAGAAAAACCATGTGACTTCCCCCTAGAGGCGAGATGAGGCCCGATTCCCCTGCATTGCATGCAGAGCCATTCTGTGATCTCCATCAAACATGTAAGGAGCTTCGACTTGGTTTTTGGATCTCAAGACAGTCCCCAAGAACACTGTCACAAGTCTAGATGGGCCCTGAGGTCACGCCAGCAATGCAAAGCAGCTCCATGTGCCCCAAATCAACTCGAGATGAGGTCAGATTCCCCTTCATTGACTCCAGAGCCAACCCCCGTTACACATTAAATACGGCCAGTGGCTCGACTTCCTTCACACAATTCCAGATATTCCCCAAGGACACTGTCCCAGCTCTAGAAGAACACGAACTTCAGCACAGCAACTCGAGGAATGTTCCGTGTACCCCTAATCGTCTCGAGATGAGAGCTGATTCCCCGGCTTAGACTCAAAACTTATGCCAACTTTCCAGAGACAGCGAAAGAGGAGGCTTCCTCAGCAATAGGTATGTGGGAGGGACCCCGAGTTTGCTGCCTCAAGTGGAATATACAGCGAGAAGCCCTAACTTGAAAGGAGGCCGGATTTCCTTGCAGTGGCTTGAATACAGGCTCGTCTTTCATCTCAAACATGAAGGGATGTCTGAATCCCCTGTCGAGACCTTAGCAGAGCTCTAGGTCCCTGCCTCATTGACGGAATGCCTCACATCCATATGGCAGCTCGAGAGGCAGGCGGAGTTCACTGCCTCAAAATGTCACGATGCCTGACTCCTCTTGAAAAATGTTATGAATCTCAAATCCCTGTGGCTCCTGAAAAGGGTCCTTGGGTGCCCTGCCTCACCTCGAGAAGCGTCCCTTTTGCCCTGCCAAGCCTCAAAATATTCCTGAGGTGTCCCTCATTACTAGACAGGAGTCCTGTTGTCACTGAATAAACACGTGTTTTGAAGGGCCATCCCCGCTGTACCTCGAGAACATACCCCAGGTCGCCGCGGAAAATCGAGAAAAACCATGTGACTTCCCCCTAGAGGCGAGATGAGGCCCAATTCCCCTGCATTGCATCAGAGCCATTCCATGATCTCCATCAAACCTGTAAGGAGCTTCGACTTAGTTAATGGATCTCAAGACAGTCCCCAAGAACACTGTCACAAGTCTAGACGGACCCTGAGGTCACCCCAGCAATGCAAAGCAGCTCCACGTGCCCCAAATCAACTCGAGAAGAGGATTGATTCACCTGCAATGATTCCAGAGCCATTCCCCATTCCCCATTAAACACGACCATTGGCTCGACTTCTTTCAGGCAACTCCAGAGATTCCCCGAGAACACTGTCCCAAGTCTAGAAGAACACCAACTTCAGCACAGCAACTCGAGGAATGCTCCGTGTACCCCAAATTGTCTCGAGATGAGAGCTGATTCCCTGGCTTAGACTCAACACTTATGCCAACATTCCAGAAACACCGAAAGAGGAGGCTTCCTCAGCAATAGGTATGTGGGAGGGACCCCGAGTTTGCTGCCTCAAGTGGAATATACAGCGAGAAGCCCTAACTTGAAAGGAGGCCGGATTTCCTTGCAGTGGTGTGAATACAGGCTCGTCTTTCATGTCACAACATGAAGGGATGTCTGAATCCCCTGTCGAGACGTTAGAGAAAGATCTAGGTCCCTGCCTCATTTTGACGGAATGCCTCACATCCCTTTGACACATCGAGAGGCACTCGAAGATCACTACTTCAAAGGGTGACGATGCATGACTCCTCTTGAACATTGTTAGGAATCCCCAAATCCCTGTGACTACTGGAAAGTGTCCTTGGGTGCCCTGCCTTACCTCGAGAAGCGTTCGTTTTACCCTGCCAAGACTCAAAGAGATTCCTGACGTGTCCCTCGTTACTGGACAGGAGACGTGACATCACTATATAAACACGTGTTTTGAAGGGCCATCCCCGCCTTAACTCGAGAAGATACCCCAGGTCGCCACCGAAGATCGAGCAAAACCATGTGACTTCCCCCTAGAAGTTGGATGAGGCCCGATTCCGCTGCATTTCATGCAGAGCGATTCTGTGATCTCCATCAAACATGTAAGGAGCTTCGACTTGGTTAATGGATCTCAAGACAGTCCCCAAGAACACTGTCACAAGTCTAGACGGTCACTGAGGTCACCCCAGCAACGCAAAGCAGCTCTATGTGCCCCAAATCAACTCGAGATGAGGCCAGATTCCCCTGCATTGACTCCAGAGCCTTCCCCCATCCCCATTAAATAAGACCAGTGGCTCGACTTCCTTCACACAATTCCAGAGATTCCCCAAGGACACTGTCCCAAGTCTAGAAGAACACCAACTTCAGCACAGCAACTCGAGGAATGGTCCGTGTACCCCAGATCGTCTCGAGATGAGAGCAGATTCCCTAGCTTAGACTCAACACTTATGCCATCTTTCCAGACAAACCGAAAGAGTAGGCTTCCTCAGCAATAGGTATGTGGGAGGGACACAGAGTTTGCTGCCGCAAGTGGAATATACAGCGAGAAGCCCTAACTTGAAAGGAGGCCGGATTTCCTTGCAGTGGCGTGAATGCAGGCCTGTCTTTCATCTCACAACATGAAGAGATGTCTGAATCCCCTCTCGAGACCTTAGAGAAAGCTCTAGGTCCCTGCCTCATTTTGACGGAATGCCTCTCATAAATTTGGCACCTCGAGAGGCAGGCAGAGTTCATTGCTTCAAAAGGTGACGATGCCTGACTCCTCTTGAACAATGTTAGGAATCCCAGAATCCCTGTGGCTCCTGGAAAGGGTCCTTGGGTGGCCTGCCTCTCCTCGAGAAGCGTCTCTTTTGCAATGCCAAGCCTCGAAGAGATTCCTGAGGTGTCCCCCGTTACTAGACAGATGTCCTGACGTCACTGAATAAACACATGTTTTAAAGGGGCATCCCCGCCGAAACTCGAGAATATACACCAGGTCCCCGCCGCAACTCGAGAAAAACCAGGAGACTGCCCCCTAGATGCGAGATGAGGCCCGATTCCCCTGCATTGCATGCAGAACAATTCCGTGATCATCATCAAACATGTAAGGACCTTCGACTCGATTAATGGATCTTGAGATAGTCCCCAAGAACACTGTCACAAGTCTAGACGGACCCTGAGGTCACCCCAGCAAAGAAAAGCAGCTGCATGTGCAGCAAATCAACTCGAGATGAGGCCCGATTCCCCTGCATTGATTCAAGAGCCATCCCCCTTTCCCCATTAAACACGACCAGTGGTTTGACTTCCTTCAGGCAACTCCAGAGATTCCCTGAGAACACTGTCCCAAGTCTAGAAGAACACCAACTTCTGCACAGCAACTCGAGGAATGCTCCTTGTACCCCTAATCGTCTTGACATGAGAGCTGATTCCCTGGCTTAGGCTCAAGACGTATGTCAACTTTCCAGAAACACCGAGAGAGGAGGCTTCTCTTAGCAATAGGTATGTGGGAGGAACCCCGAGTTTGCTGCCTCAAATTGAATATACAGCGAGAAGCCCTAACTTGAAAGGAGGCCGGATTTCCTTGCAGTGGCGTGAATACAGGCTCGTCTATCATCTCACAACATGAAGGGATGTCTGGTACCCTGTCGAGACGTTAGAGAAAGATCTAGGTCCCTGCCTCATTTTGACGGAATGCCTCAGATCCCTTTGACACATCGAGAGGAACCTGGAGATCACTACTTCAAAGGGTGATGATGCAAGACTCCTCTTGAACATTGTTAGGAATCCCAAAATACATGTAACTATTGGAAAGGGACCTTGGGTGCCCTGCCTCACCTCGAGAAGCGTCCCTTTTTGCCCTGCCAAGCCTCAAAGAGATTTCTGAGGTGTCCCTCGTTACTAAACAGGAGTCGTGACATCACTATATAAACACGTGTTTTGAAGGGCCATCCCCGCTGAAACTCGAGAACATTCCCCAGGTTGCCGCCGAAAATCGAGAAAAACCATGTGACTTCCTCCTAGAGGCGAGATGAGGCCCGATTCCCCTGCATTGCATGCAGAGCCATTCTGTGATCTCCATCAAACATGTAAGGAGCTTCGACTTGGTTTTTGGATCTCAAGACAGTCCCCAAGAACACTGTCACAAGTCTAGACGGGCCCTGAGGTTACGCCAGCAATGCAAAGCAGCTCCATGTGCCCCAAATCAACTCGAGATGAGGTCAGATTCCCCTTCATTGACTCCAGAGCCAACCCCCGTTACACATTAAATACGGCCAGTGGCTCGACTTCCTTCACACAATTCCAGATATTCCCCAAGGACACTGTCCCAGCTCTAGAAGAACACGAACTTCAGCACAGCAACTCGAGGAATGTTCCGTGTACCCCTAATCGTCTCGAGATGAGAGCTGATTCCCCGGCTTAGACTCAAAACTTATGCCAACTTTCCAGAGACAGCGAGAGAGGAGGCTTCCTCAGCAATAGGTATGTGGGAGGGACCCCGAGTTTGCTGCCTCAAGTGGAATATACAGCGAGAAGCCCTAACTTGAAAGGAGGCCGGATTTCCTTGCAGTGGCTTGAATACAGGCTCGTCTTTCATCTCAAACATGAAGGGATGTCTGAATCCCCTGTCGAGACCTTAGCAGAGCTCTAGGTCCCTGCCTCATTGACGGAATGCCTCACATCCATATGGCAGCTCGAGAGGCAGGCGGAGTTCACTGCCTCAAAATGTCACGATGCCTGACTCCTCTTGAAAAATGTTATGAATCTCAAATCCCTGTGGCTCCTGAAAAGGGTCCTTGGGTGCCCTGCCTCACCTCGAGAAGCGTCCCTTTTGCCCTGCCAAGCCTCAAAATATTCCTGAGGTGTCCCTCATTACTAGACAGGAGTCCTGTTGTCACTGAATAAACACGTGTTTTGAAGGGCCATCCCCGCTGTACCTCGAGAACATACCCCAGGTCGCCGCGGAAAATCGAGAAAAACCATGTGACTTCCCCCTAGAGGCGAGATGAGGCCCAATTCCCCTGCATTGCATCAGAGCCATTCCATGATCTCCATCAAACCTGTAAGGAGCTTCGACTTAGTTAATGGATCTCAAGACAGTCCCCAAGAACACTGTCACAAGTCTAGACGGACCCTGAGGTCACCCCAGCAATGCAAAGCAGCTCCACGTGCCCCAAATCAACTCGAGAAGAGGATTGATTCACCTGCAATGATTCCAGAGCCATTCCCCATTCCCCATTAAACACGACCATTGGCTCGACTTCCTTCAGGCAACTCCAGAGATTCCCCGAGAACACTGTCCCAAGTCTAGAAGAACACCAACTTCAGCACAGCAACTCGAGGAATGCTCCGTGTACCCCAAATTGTCTCGAGATGAGAGCTGATTCCCTGGCTTAGACTCAACACTTATGCCAACATTCCAGAAACACCGAAAGAGGAGGCTTCCTCAGCAATAGGTATGTGGGAGGGACCCCGAGTTTGCTGCCTCAAGTGGAATATACAGCGAGAAGCCCTAACTTGAAAGGAGGCCAGATTTCCTTGCAGTGGCTTGAATACAGGCTCATCTTTCATCTCACAACATGAAGGGATGTCTGAATCCCCTGTCGAGACCTTAAAGAAAGCTCTAGGTCCCTGCCTCATTGTGACGGAATGCCTCACATTCATTTGGCACCTCGAGAGGCAGGCAGAGTTCACTGCTTGAAAATGTCACGATGCCTGACTCCTCTTGAACAATGTTAGGAATCCCCAAATCCCTGTGGCTCCTGGAAAGTGTCCTTGGTTACCCTGCCTCACCTCGAGAAGCGTCCCTTTTGTAATGCCAAGCCTTGAAGAGATTCCTGAGGTGTCCCTCGTTACTAGACAGGAGTCCTGACGTCACTGAATAAACACATGTTTTCAAGGGCCATCCCTGCCGTAACTCAAGAACATACACCAGGTCCCCGCCGCAAGTCGAGAAAAACCAGGAGACATCCCCCTAGATGCGAGATGAGGCCCGATTCCCCTGCATTGCATGCAGAACAATTCCGTGACCATCATCAAACATGTAAGGAGCTTTCACTAGATGAATGGATCTCGAGACAGTCCCCAAGAACACTGTCACAAGTCTAGACGGACACTGACGTCACCCCAGCAAAGCAAAGCAGTTTCATGTGCAACAAATCAACTCGAGATGAGGCCCGATTCCCCTGCATTGCTTCCAGAGCCATACCCCTTTCCCAATTAAACAGGAATAGTGGTTTGACTTCCTTCAGGCAACTCCAGAGATTGCCTGAGAACACTGTCGCAAGTCTAGAAGAACACCAACTTCAGCACAGCAACTCGAGGAATGCTCCATGTACCCCTAATTGTCTCGAGATGAGAGCTGATTCCCTGGCTTAGGCCCAAGACGTATGCCAACTTTCCAGAAACACCGAAAGAGGAGGCTTCTTTCAACAATAGTTATGTGGGAGGGACCCCGAGTTTGCTGCCTCAAATGGAATATACAGTGAGAATCCCTAACTTGAAAGGAGGCCGGATTTCCTTGCAGTGGTGTGAATACAGGCTCGTCTTTCATGTCACAACATGAAGGGATGTCTGAATCCCCTGTCGAGACGTTAGAGAAAGATCTAGGTCCCTGCCTCATTTTGACGGAATGCCTCACATCCCTTTGACACATCGAGAGGCACTCGGAGATCACTACTTCAAAGGGTGACGATGCATGACTCCTCTTGAACATTGTTAGGAATCCCCAAATCCCTGTGACTACTGGAAAGGGTCCTTGGGTGCCCTGCCTTACCTCGAGAAGCGTTCGTTTTACCCTGCCAAGACTCAAAGAGATTCCTGACGTGTCCCTCGTTACTGGACAGGAGACGTGACATCACTATATAAACACGTGTTTTGAAGGGCCATCCCCGCCTTAACTCGAGAAGATACCCCAGGTCGCCACCGAAAATCGAGCAAAACCATGTGACTTCCCCCTAGAAGTTGGATGAGGCCCGATTCCGCTGCATTTCATGCAGAGCGATTCTGTGATCTCCATCAAACATGTAAGGAGCTTCGACTTGGTTAATGAATCTCAAGACAGTCCCGAAGAACACTGTCACAAGTCTAGACGGACCCTGAGGTCACCCCAGCAACGCAAAGCAGCTCTATGTGCCCCAAATCAACTCGAGATGAGGCCAGATTCCCCTGCATTGACTCCAGAGCCTTCCCCCATCCCCATTAAATAAGACCAGTGGCTCGACTTCCTTCACACAATTCCAGAGATTCCCCAAGGACACTGTCCCAAGTCTAGAAGAACACCAACTTCAGCACAGCAACTCGAGGAATGGTCCGTGTACCCCAGATCGTCTCGAGATGAGAGCAGATTCCCTAGCTTAGACTCAACACTTATGCCATCTTTCCAGACAAACCGAAAGAGTAGGCTTCCTCAGCAATAGGTATGTGGGAGGGACACCGAGTTTGCTGCCGCAAGTGGAATATACAGCGAGAAGCCCTAACTTGAAAGGAGGCCGGATTTCCTTGCAGTGGCGTGAATGCAGGCCTGTCTTTCATCTCACAACATGAAGAGATGTCTGAATCCCCTCTCGAGACCTTAGAGAAAGATCTAGGTCCCTGCCTCATTTTGACGGAATGCCTCTCATAAATTTGGCACCTCGAGAGGCAGGCAGAGTTCATTGCTTCAAAAGGTGACGATGCCTGACTCCTCTTGAACAATGTTAGGAATCCCAGAATCACTGTGGCTCCTGGAAAGGGTCCTTGGGTGGCCTGCCTCTCCTCGAGAAGCGTCTCTTTTGCAATGCCAAGCCTCGAAGAGATTCCTGAGTTGTCCCCTGTTACTAGACAGATGTCCTGACGTCACTGAATAAACACATGTTTTAAAGGGGCATCCCCGCCGAAACTCGAGAATATACACCAGGTCCCCGCCTCAACTCGAGAAAAACCAGGAGACTGCCCCCTAGATGCGAGATGAGGCCCGATTCCCCTGCATTGCATGCAGAACAATTCCGTGATCATCATCAAACATGTAAGGACCTTCGACTCGATTAATGGATCTTGAGATAGTCCCCAAGAACACTGTCACAAGTCTAGACGGACCCTGAGGTCACCCCAGCAAAGCCAAGCAACTGCATGTGCAGCAAATCAACTCGAGATGAGGCCCGATTCCCCTGCATTGATTCAAGAGCCATCCCCCTTTCCCCATTAAACACGACCAGTGGTTTGACTTCCTTCAGGCAACTCCAGAGATTCCCTGAGAACACTGTCCCAAGTCTAGAAGAACACCAACTTCTGCACAGCAACTCGAGGAATGCTCCTTGTACCCCTAATCGTCTTGACATGAGAGCTGATTCCCTGGCTTAGGCTCAAGACGTATGCCAACTTTCCAGAAACACCGAAAGAGGAGGCTTCTCTCAGCAATAGGTATGTGGGAGGAACCCCGAGTTTGCTGCCTCAAATTGAATATACAGCGAGAAGCCCTAACTTGAAAGGAGGCCGGATTTCCTTGCAGTGGCGTGAATACAGGCTCGTCTATCATCTCACAACATGAAGGGATGTCTGACACCCTGTCGAGACGTTAGAGAAAGATCTAGGTCCCTGCCTCATTTTGACGGAATGCCTCAGATCCCTTTGACACATCGAGAGGAACCCGGAGATCACTACTTCAAAGGGTGATGATGCAAGACTCCTCTTGAACATTGTTAGGAATCCCAAAATACATGTAACTATTGGAAAGGGACCTTGGGTGCCCTGCATCACTTCGAGAAGCGTCCCTTTTTGCCCTGCCAAGCCTCAAAGAGATTTCTGAGGGGTCCCTCGTTACTAGACAGGAGTCGTGACATCACTATATAAACCCGTGTTTTGAAGGGCCATCCCCGCTGAAACTCGAGAACATTCCCCAGGTCGCCGCCGAAAATCGAGAAAAACCATGTGACTTCCCCCTAGAGGTGAGATGAGGCCCGATTCCCCTGCATTGCATGCAGAGCCATTCTGTGATCTCCATCAAACATGTAAGGAGTTTCGACTTGGTTTTTGGATCTCAAGACAGTCCCCAAGAACACTGTCACAAGTCTAGATGGGCCCTGAGGTCACGCCAGCAATGCAAAGCAGCTCCATGTGCCCCAAATCAACTCGAGATGAGGTCAGATTCCCCTTCATTGACTCCAGAGCCAACCCCCGTTACACATTAAATACGGCCAGTGGCTCGACTTCCTTCACACAATTCCAGATATTCCCCAAGGACACTGTCCCAGCTCTAGAAGAACACGAACTTCAGCACAGCAACTCGAGGAATGTTCCGTGTACCCCTAATCGTCTCGAGATGAGAGCTGATTCCCCGGCTTAGACTCAAAACTTATGTCAACTTTCCAGAGACAGCGAGAGAGGAGGCTTCCTCAGCAATAGGTATGTTGGAGGGACCCCGAGTTTGCTGCCTCAAGTGGAATATACAGCGAGAAGCCCTAACTTGAAAGGAGGCCGGATTTCCTTGCAGTGGCTTGAATACAGGCTCGTCTTTCATCTCAAACATGAAGGGATGTCTGAATCCCCTGTCGAGACCTTAGCAGAGCTCTAGGTCCCTGCCTCATTGACGGAATGCCTCACATCCATATGGCAGCTCGAGAGGCAGGCGGAGTTCACTGCCTCAAAATGTCACGATGCCTGACTCCTCTTGAAAAATGTTATGAATCTCAAATCCCTGTGGCTCCTGAAAAGGGTCCTTGGGTGCCCTGCCTCACCTCGAGAAGCGTCCCTTTTGCCCTGCCAAGCCTCAAAATATTCCTGAGGTGTCCCTCATTACTAGACAGGAGTCCTGTTGTCACTGAATAAACACGTGTTTTGAAGGGCCATCCCCGCTGTACCTCGAGAACATACCCCAGGTCGCCGCGGAAAATCGAGAAAAACCATGTGACTTCCCCCTAGAGGCGAGATGAGGCCCAATTCCCCTGCATTGCATCAGAGCCATTCCATGATCTCCATCAAACCTGTAAGGAGCTTCGACTTAGTTAATGGATCTCAAGACAGTCCCCAAGAACACTGTCACAAGTCTAGACGGACCCTAAGGTCACCCCAGCAATGCAAAGCAGCTCCACGTGCCCCAAATCAACTCGAGAAGAGGATTGATTCACCTGCAATGATTCCAGAGCCATTCCCCATTCCCCATTAAACACGACCATTGGCTCGACTTCCTTCAGGCAACTCCAGAGATTCCCCGAGAACACTGTCCCAAGTCTAGAAGAACACCAACTTCAGCACAGCAACTCGAGGAATGCTCCGTGTACCCCAAATTGTCTCGAGATGAGAGCTGATTCCCTGGCTTAGACTCAACACTTATGCCAACATTCCAGAAACACCGAAAGAGGAGGCTTCCTCAGCAATAGGTATGTGGGAGGGACCCCGAGTTTGCTGCCTCAAGTGGAATATACAGCGAGAAGCCCTAACTTGAAAGGAGGCCAGATTTCCTTGCAGTGGCTTGAATACAGGCTCGTCTTTCATCTCACAACATGAAGGGATGTCTGAATCCCCTGTCGAGACCTTAAAGAAAGCTCTAGGTCCCTGCTTCATTGTGACGGAATGCCTCACATTCATTTGGCACCTCGAGAGGCAGGCAGAGTTCACTGCTTGAAAATGTCACGATGCCTGACTCCTCTTGAACAATGTTAGGAATCCCCAAATCCCTGTGGCTCCTGGAAAGTGTCCTTGGTTACCCTGCCTCACCTCGAGAAGCGTCCCTTTTGTAATGCCAAGCCTTGAAGAGATTCCTGAGGTGTCCCTCGTTACTAGACAGGAGTCCTGACGTCACTGAATAAACACATGTTTTCAAGGGCCATCCCTGCCGTAACTCAAGAACATACACCAGGTCCCCGCCGCAAGTCGAGCAAAACCAGGAGACATCCCCCTAGATGCGAGATGAGGCCCGATTCCCCTGCATTGCATGCAGAACAATTCCGTGACCATCATCAAACATGTAAGGAGCTTTCACTAGATGAATGGATCTCGAGACAGTCCCAAAGAACACTGTCACAAGTCTAGATGGACACTGACGTCACCCCAGCAAAGCAAAGCAGTTTCATGTGCAACAAATCAACTCGAGATGAGGCCCGATTCCCCTGCATTGCTTCCAGAGCCATCCCCCTTTCCCCATTAAACAGGACTAGTGGTTTGACTTCCTTCAGGCAACTCCAGAGATTGCCTGAGAACACTGTCGCAAGTCTAGAAGAACACCAACTTCAGCACAGGAACTCGAGGAATGCTCCATGTACCCCTAATTGTCTCGAGATGAGAGCTGATTCCCTGGCTTAGGCCCAAGACGTATGCCAACTTTCCAGAAACACCGAAAGAGGAGGCTTCTTTCAACAATAGTTATGTGGGAGAGACCCCGAGTTTGCTGCCTCAAATGGAATATACAGCGAGAAGCCCTAACTTGAAAGGAGGCCGGATTTCCTTGCAGTGGCGTGAATACAGGCTCGTCTATCATCTCACAACATGAAGGGATGTCTGAATCCCCTGTCGAGACGTTAGAGAAAGATCTAGGTCCCTGCCTCATTTTGACGGAATGCCTCACATCCCTTTGACATATCGAGAGGAACCCGGAGATCACTACTTCAAAGAGTGACGATGCAAGACTCCTCTTGAACATTGTTAGGAATCCCAGAATACATGTAACTATTGGAAAGGGACCTTGGGTGCCCTGCCTCACCTCGAGAAGCGTCCCTTTTTGCCCTGCCAAGCCTCAAAGAGATTCCTGAGGTGTCCCTCGTTACTAGACAGGAGTCCTGACGTCACTGAATAAACACGTGTTTTGAAGGGCCATCCCCACCGTAACTCAAGAACATACACCAGGTCCCCGCCGCAAGTCGAGAAAAACCAGGAGACATCCCCCTAGATGCGAGATGAGGCCCGATTCCCCTGCATTGCATGCAGAACAATTCCGTGACCATCATCAAACATGTAAGGAGCTTTCAGTAGATGAATGGATCTCGAGACAGTCACCAAGAACACTGTCACAAGTCTAGACGGACACTGACGTCACCCCAGCAAAACAAAGCAGTTTCATGTGCAACAAATCAACTCGAGATGAGGCCCGATTCCCCTGCATTGCTTCCAGAGCCATCCCCCTTTCCCCATTAAACAGGACTAGTGGTTTGACTTCCTTCAGGCAACTCCAGAGATTGCCTGAGAACACTGTCGCAAGTCTAGAAGAACACCAACTTCAGCACAGCAACTCGAGGAATGCTCCATGTACCCCTAATTGTCTCGAGATGAGAGCTGATTCCCTGGCTTAGGCCCAAGACGTATGCCAACTTTCCAAAAACACCGAAAGAGGAGGCTTCTTTCAACAATAGTTATGTGGGAGGGACCCCGAGTTTGCTGCCTCAAATGGAATATACAGTGAGAAGCCCTAACTTGAAAGGAGGCCGGATTTCCTTGCAGTGGTGTGAATACAGGCTCGTCTTTCATGTCACAACATGAAGGGATGTCTGAATCCCCTGTCGAGACGTTAGAGAAAGATCTAGGTCCCTGCCTCATTTTGACGGAATGCCTCACATCCCTTTGACACATCGAGAGGCACTCGGAGATCACTACTTCAAAGGGTGACGATGCATGACTCCTCTTGAACATTGTTAGGAATCCCCAAATCCCTGTGACTACTGGAAAGGGTCCTTGGGTGCCCTGCCTTACCTCGAGAAGCGTTCGTTTTACCCTGCCAAGACTCAAAGAGATTCCTGACGTGTCCCTCGTTACTGGACAGGAGACGTGACATCACTATATAAACACGTGTTTTGAAGGGCCATCCCCGCCTTAACTCGAGAAGATACCCCAGGTCGCCACCGAAGATCGAGCAAAACCATGTGACTTCCCCCTAGAAGTTGGATGAGGCCCGATTCCGCTGCATTTCATGCAGAGCGATTCTGTGATCTCCATCAAACATGTAAGGAGCTTCGACTTGGTTAATGGATCTCAAGACAGTCCCCAAGAACACTGTCACAAGTCTAGACGGTCACTGAGGTCACCCCAGCAACGCAAAGCAGCTCTATGTGCCCCAAATCAACTCGAGATGAGGCCAGATTCCCCTGCATTGACTCCAGAGCCTTCCCCCATCCCCATTAAATAAGACCAGTGGCTCGACTTCCTTCACACAATTCCAGAGATTCCCCAAGGACACTGTCCCAAGTCTAGAAGAACACCAACTTCAGCACAGCAACTCGAGGAATGGTCCGTGTACCCCAGATCGTCTCGAGATGAGAGCAGATTCCCTAGCTTAGACTCAACACTTATGCCATCTTTCCAGACAAACCGAAAGAGTAGGCTTCCTCAGCAATAGGTATGTGGGAGGGACACCGAGTTTGCTGCCGCAAGTGGAATATACAGCGAGAAGCCCTAACTTGAAAGGAGGCCGGATTTCCTTGCAGTGGCGTGAATGCAGGCCTGTCTTTCATCTCACAACATGAAGAGATGTCTGAATCCCCTCTCGAGACCTTAGAGAAAGATCTAGGTCCCTGCCTCATTTTGACGGAATGCCTCTCATAAATTTGGCACCTCGAGAGGCAGGCGGAGTTCACTGCTTCAAAAGGTGACGATGCCTGACTCCTCTTGAACAATGTTAGGAATCCCAGAATCCCTGTGGCTCCTGGAAAGGGTCCTTGGGTGGCCTGCCTCTCCTCGAGAAGCGTCTCTTTTGCAATGCCAAGCCTCGAAGAGATTCCTGAGGTGTCCCCCGTTACTAGACAGATGTCCTGACGTCACTGAATAAACACATGTTTTAAAGGGGCATCCCCGCCGAAACTCGAGAATATACACCAGGTCCCCGCCTCAACTCGAGAAAAACCAGGAGACTGCCCCCTAGATGCGAGATGAGGCCCGATTCCCCTGCATTGCATGCAGAACAATTCCGTGATCATCATCAAACATGTAAGGACCTTCGACTCGATTAATGGATCTTGAGATAGTCCCCAAGAACACTGTCACAAGTCTAGACGGACCCTGAGGTCACCCCAGCAAAGAAAAGCAGCTGCATGTGCAGCAAATCAACTCGAGATGAGGCCCGATTCCCCTGCATTGATTCAAGAGCCATCCCCCTTTCCCCATTAAACACGACCAGTGGTTTGACTTCCTTCAGGCAACTCCAGAGATTCCCTGAGAACACTGTCCCAAGTCTAGAAGAACACCAACTTCTGCACAGCAACTCGAGGAATGCTCCTTGTACCCCTAATCGTCTTGACATGAGAGCTGATTCCCTGGCTTAGGCTCAAGACGTATGCCAACTTTCCAGAAACACCGAAAGAGGAGGCTTCTCTCAGCAATAGGTATGTGGGAGGAACCCCGAGTTTGCTGCCTCAAATTGAATATACAGCGAGAAGCCCTAACTCGAAAGGAGGCCGGATTTCCTTGCAGTGGCGTGAATACAGGCTCGTCTATCATCTCACAACATGAAGGGATGTCTGACACCCTGTCGAGACGTTAGAGAAAGATCTAGGTCCCTGCCTCATTTTGACGGAATGCCTCAGATCCCTTTGACACATCGAGAGGAACCCGGAGATCACTACTTCAAAGGGTGATGATGCAAGACTCCTCTTGAACATTGTTAGGAATCCCAAAATACATGTAACTATTGGAAAGGGACCTTGGGTGCCCTGCCTCACTTCGAGAAGCGTCCCTCTTTGCCCTGCCAAGCCTCAAAGAGATTTCTGAGGTGTCCCTCGTTACTAGACAGGAGTCGTGACATCACTATATAAACACGTGTTTTGAAGGGCCATCCCCGCTGAAACTCGAGAACATTCCCCAGGTCGCCGCCGAAAATCGAGAAAAACCATGTGACTTCCCCCTAGAGGCGAGATGAGGCCCGATTCCCCTGCATTGCATGCAGAGCCATTCTGTGATCTCCATCAAACATGTAAGGAGCTTCGACTTGGTTTTTGGATCTCAAGACAGTCCCCAAGAACACTGTCACAAGTCTAGATGGGCCCTGAGGTCACGCCAGCAATGCAAAGCAGCTCCATGTGCCCCAAATCAACTCGAGATGAGGTCAGATTCCCCTTCATTGACTCCAGAGCCAACCCCCGTTACACATTAAATACGGCCAGTGGCTCGACTTCCTTCACACAATTCCAGATATTCCCCAAGGACACTGTCCCAGCTCTAGAAGAACACGAACTTCAGCACAGCAACTCGAGGAATGTTCCGTGTACCCCTAATCGTCTCGAGATGAGAGCTGATTCCCCGGCTTAGACTCAAAACTTATGCCAACTTTCCAGAGACAGCGAAAGAGGAGGCTTCCTCAGCAATAGGTATGTGGGAGGGACCCCGAGTTTGCTGCCTCAAGTGGAATATACAGCGAGAAGCCCTAACTTGAAAGGAGGCCGGATTTCCTTGCAGTGGCTTGAATACAGGCTCGTCTTTCATCTCAAACATGAAGGGATGTCTGAATCCCCTGTCGAGACCTTAGCAGAGCTCTAGGTCCCTGCCTCATTGACGGAATGCCTCACATCCATATGGCACCTCGAGAGGCAGGCGGAGTTCACTGCCTCAAAATGTCACGATGCCTGACTCCTCTTGAAAAATGTTATGAATCTCAAATCCCTGTGGCTCCTGAAAAGGGTCCTTGGGTGCCCTGCCTCACCTCGAGAAGCGTCCCTTTTGCCCTGCCAAGCCTCAAAATATTCCTGAGGTGTCCCTCATTACTAGACAGGAGTCCTGTTGTCACTGAATAAACACGTGTTTTGAAGGGCCATCCCCGCTGTACCTCGAGAACATACCCCAGGTCGCCGCGGAAAATCGAGAAAAACCATGTGACTTCCCCCTAGAGGCGAGATGAGGCCCAATTCCCCTGCATTGCATCAGAGCCATTCCATGATCTCCATCAAACCTGTAAGGAGCTTCGACTTAGTTAATGGATCTCAAGACAGTCCCCAAGAACACTGTCACAAGTCTAGACGGACCCTGAGGTCACCCCAGCAATGCAAAGCAGCTCCACGTGCCCCAAATCAACTCGAGAAGAGGATTGATTCACCTGCAATGATTCCAGAGCCATTCCCCATTCCCCATTAAACACGACCATTGGCTCGACTTCCTTCAGGCAACTCCAGAGATTCCCCGAGAACACTGTCCCAAGTCTAGAAGAACACCAACTTCAGCACAGCAACTCGAGGAATGCTCCGTGTACCACAAATTGTCTCGAGATGAGAGCTGATTCCCTGGCTTAGACTCAACACTTATGCCAACATTCCAGAAACACCGAAAGAGGAGGCTTCCTCAGCAATAGGTATGTGGGAGGGACCCCGAGTTTGCTGCCTCAAGTGGAATATACAGCGAGAAGCCCTAACTTGAAAGGAGGCCAGATTTCCTTGCAGTGGCTTGAATACAGGCTCATCTTTCATCTCACAACATGAAGGGATGTCTGAATCCCCTGTCGAGACCTTAAAGAAAGCTCTAGGTCCCTGCCTCATTGTGACGGAATGCCTCACATTCATTTGGCACCTCGAGAGGCAGGCAGAGTTCACTGCTTGAAAATGTCACGATGCCTGACTCCTCTTGAACAATGTTAGGAATCCCCAAATCCCTGTGGATCCTGGAAAGTGTCCTTGGTTACCCTGCCTCACCTCGAGAAGCGTCCCTTTTGTAATGTCAAGCCTTGAAGAGATTCCTGAGGTGTCCCTCGTTACTAGACAGGAGTCCTGACGTCACTGAATAAACACATGTTTTCAAGGGCCATCCCTGCCGTAACTGAAGAACATACACCAGGTCCCCGCCGCAAGTCGAGAAAAACCAGGAGACATCCCCCTAGATACGAGATGAGGCCCGATTCCCCTGCATTGCATGCAGAACAATTCCGTGACCATCATCAAACATGTAAGGAGCTTTCACTAGATGAATGGATCTCGAGACAGTCCCCAAGAACACTGTCACAAGTCTAGACGGACACTGACGTCACCCCAGCAAAGCAAAGCAGTTTCATGTGCAACAAATCAACTCGAGATGAGGCCCGATTCCCCTGCATTGCTTCCAGAGCCATCCCCCTTTCCCCATTAAACAGGAATAGTGGTTTGACTTCCTTCAGGCAACTCCAGAGATTGCCTGAGAACACTGTCGCAAGTCTAGAAGAACACCAACTTCAGCACAGCAACTCGAGGAATGCTCCATGTACCCCTAATTGTCTCGAGATGAGAGCTGATTCCCTGGCTTAGGCCCAAGACGTATGCCAACTTTCCAGAAACACCGAAAGAGGAGGCTTCTTTCAACAATAGTTATGTGGGAGGGACCCCGAGTTTGCTGCCTCAAATGGAATATACAGTGAGAAGCCCTAACTTGAAAGGAGGCCGGATTTCCTTGCAGTGGTGTGAATACAGGCTCGTCTTTCATGTCACAACATGAAGGGATGTCTGAATCCCCTGTCGAGACGTTAGAGAAAGATCTAGGTCCCTGCCTCATTTTGACGGAATGCCTCACATCCCTTTGACACATCGAGAGGCACTCGGAGATCACTACTTCAAAGGGTGACGATGCATGACTCCTCTTGAACATTGTTAGGAATCCCCAAATCCCTGTGACTACTGGAAAGGGTCCTTGGGTGCCCTGCCTTACCTCGAGAAGCGTTCGTTTTACCCTGCCAAGCCTCAAAGAGATTCCTGACGTGTCCCTCGTTACTGGACAGGAGACGTGACATCACTATATAAACACGTGTTTTGAAGGGCCATCCCCGCCTTAACTCGAGAAGATACCCCAGGTCGCCACCGAAAATCGAGCAAAACCATGTGACTTCCCCCTAGAAGTTGGATGAGGCCCGATACCGCTGCATTTAATGCAGAGCGATTCTGTGATCTCCATCAAACATGTAAGGAGCTTCGACTTGGTTAATGAATCTCAAGACAGTCCCCAAGAACACTGTCACAAGTCTAGACGGACCCTGAGGTCACCCCAGCAACGCAAAGCAGCTCTATGTGCCCCAAATCAACTCGAGATGAGGTCAGATTCCCCTTCATTGACTCCAGAGCCAACCCCCGTTACACATTAAGTACGGCCAGTGGCTCGACTTCCTTCACACAATTCCAGATATTCCCCAAGGACACTGTCCCAGCTCTAGAAGAACACGAACTTCAGCACAGCAACTCGAGGAATGTTCCGTGTACCCCTAATCGTCTCGAGATGAGAGCTGATTCCCCGGCTTAGACTCAAAACTTATGCCAACTTTCCAGAGACAGCGAGAGAGGAGGCTTCCTCAGCAATAGGTATGTGGGAGGGACCCCGAGTTTGCTGCCTCAAGTGGAATATACAGCGAGAAGCCCTAACTTGAAAGGAGGCCGGATTTCCTTGCAGTGGCTTGAATACAGGCTCGTCTTTCATCTCAAACATGAAGGGATGTCTGAATCCCCTGTCGAGACCTTAGCAGAGCTCTAGGTCCCTGCCTCATTGACGGAATGCCTCACATCCATATGGCAGCTCGAGAGGCAGGCGGAGTTCACTGCCTCAAAATGTCACGATGCCTGACTCCTCTTGAAAAATGTTATGAATCTCAAATCCCTGTGGCTCCTGAAATGGGTCCTTGGGTGCCCTGCCTCACCTCGAGAAGCGTCCCTTTTGCCCTGCCAAGCCTCAAAATATTCCTGAGGTGTCCCTCATTACTAGACAGGAGTCCTGTTGTCACTGAATAAACACGTGTTTTGAAGGGCCATCCCCGCTGTACCTCGAGAACATACCCCAGGTCGCCGCGGAAAATCGAGAAAAACCATGTGACTTCCCCCTAGAGGCGAGATGAGGCCCAATTCCCCTGCATTGCATCAGAGCCATTCCATGATCTCCATCAAACCTGTAAGGAGCTTCGACTTAGTTAATGGATCTCAAGACAGTCCCCAAGAACACTGTCACAAGTCTAGACGGACCCTGAGGTCACCCCAGCAATGCAAAGCAGCTCCACGTGCCCCAAATCAACTCGAGAAGAGGATTGATTCACCTGCAATGATTCCAGAGCCATTCCCCATTCCCCATTAAACACGACCATTGGCTCGACTTCCTTCAGGCAACTCCAGAGATTCCCCGAGAACACTGTCCCAAGTCTAGAAGAACACCAACTTCAGCACAGCAACTCGAGGAATGCTCCGTGTACCCCAAATTGTCTCGAGATGAGAGCTGATTCCCTGGCTTAGACTCAACACTTATGCCAACATTCCAGAAACACCGAAAGAGGAGGCTTCCTCAGCAATAGGTATGTGGGAGGGACCCCGAGTTTGCTGCCTCAAGTGGAATATACAGCGAGAAGCCCTAACTTGAAAGGAGGCCAGATTTCCTTGCAGTGGCTTGAATACAGGCTCAT